CCTCAGAGCGGCTAGCCCCGACTCTGAGACCGTTTAGACTGATAGAGTTCCCCTCAGAGCGGCTAGCCCCGACTCTGAGACTGTTTAGACTGATAGAGTTCCCCTCAGAGCGGCTAGCCCCGACTCCAACATCTGTAGTTATTTACGGGTTAAACCAGCGGCCCCACCTCAAGTGGTGACTTCAGCTTCTTCTAATCACTCTCCACTGTGACCGAGTCTTGTACAGTGGAGAGTGATTAGAAGAAGCTGAAGCTTTTTATTCTTATTTCCTATTCCACCTTAAATGAGGTAGCAGCTACGTTCAGACACCTGGATGGACGCTAATGTGTAACTGCAGCACTATTTAAGATGGAAAGTACAAAAGTATTTGCCTTCAAATGTACTTAAGTATCGAGAGTAAAAGTACTAAAAGATTAATTATGACTCTGATGTCCTATTATAGTTTTTATAACGACTCTTACTTTATCAACTAATTTTAGGTGAAAATACTCCAGTGTTTCTCTTGGTAAACCAGTCTTTTCATAGAATGTCATTGATTAGTCATTAATTAGTGACTCCCGTGCAAAACAGGGCCAAGCCCAACATACCAATAATGTGTGTACTGATGGTTATGGCCTGCTCAGAGTCTCACATTAAATACAAACTAGCGTGTGAGAGTTTTTCAGCCGTCAGTGCTTCATCAATGATTTGTTGCTTAGACCGTTAGAAGTTTAATGTTTTGCCATTTTGACCCACTTTTTTCCTTTTTTTTTTGCACAGGAGTGTACATTCACTAATACTCTTTTAAAAAGACCACGAGATCTGGCCGCAGTGCGAGAATGTGACACTTCAGAGGAATGTCTAAAGAGCACTGTTAGCTGAAAGTTACAGATTTAATTGCCCCCACACCTGTTGTCCCCCCACTTCTGCACAAAATCAACCCCCATGTTTTATGCCGTGTTGTGAGGACAGTGCATGCAGTGCATTCCTACAGTGTTACCTGTCTTCCTCCTTGACGCTTGGTGGGCTGATCCAGCAGATTGAAGACAAAACACATTGAAAACATTAAATACAACTACAAATGCAATCTCATTCAGAAAAGTTTAGCCTTTATAGGGCGGCTGCAGAAGAAACGCATGCAGATTTTCTCCGTTCAGAAGCACTTTCACTTACATCCCCTCTGGAATCTCTCCTTCCTGTTCAGGCAGGTGAAGGAGGGGCTCAGGAAACAGACAGAAGCTCACAGTATCACACATTTATCTGCTATGAGAAAGCCAGTAAAATCAACTAGGCTTTTCGAGTCAGGTTTCCTGGTGATGTGACAGATGCAGAGCAGTAAACAATACTACAAGTCAAGACTCAGTGAGGTCAGGTGTGATTACTTTGCTCTCAATGTGCTACATTTTTATTTAGCCAGATTGTTTAGTTTATGATTTTTTAATCTAATCAGTGCATAATTAACTGCTGGCTGGTTGATTGTACCTTTAATGATATACACCAAGGTGCCACTTTATTAGAAACACCTACCTTGTACTTCCACTGACTGGCCACTTTATTAGAAACACCTACTACCTTGTATTTCCACTAATTGGCCACTTTATTAGAAACACTTTGTGCTTCCACTCACTGCTTCCACTCAGTGTGCTTCCACTTTATTAGAAACACCTACTACCTTGTACTTCCACTAACGGGCAACTTTATTAGAAACACTTTGTGCTGCCACTCACTGCCCACTTTACTAGAAACACCTACCTTGTATTTCCACTCACTGCCCACTTTACTAGAAACACCTACCTTGTATTTCCACTCACTGGCCACTTTATTAGAAACACCTGTCAATACATACCTGCTGATATGAGTTTGTCAGACACAGCAGTGTTTCTGGGGTTTTTACACGTCAGTGTCACGGCTAGGTTGAGAGGGTTCCACCTCCCAAAAACATCCAGATAAGAGCTGCTTGGGAGACAGTGACCTCTAGTGGAGATCGTAGGAATTCAGAGAATGGGGGCATATTAGTAGTGTTTGGACTGGAACTTTTAAAATTAGATAGATTTCCAACAGCAGGGTTGCTGAACACTACGCTAAATCATGCTAAAGCAAGAATTCAGAAAATTAGTTCACTCCAAAGGTAGTCATGAAAACAAGAAATATTCAGAGTCTGAAGTTCAGCTTCTTTAGTTTCAGCACTGGAGCTGCAAGGCTAATGTAGCTAACAAGCAGTGGAAGCCAACAGACAACAAACATGGGATGAGTGGGCAAAAGTGGGTAGATTTGATTTTTGATAAAATAATACACTTTAGTATGTTTTAATATATAATGCCAGAGTGGGTAATTAGGAGAAACAGGAGAATTTCTGCTCAAAAAGACTATAAAAGTTACATCCTAGTGTGTATCTGTGGTAATTTAAGGGGTTAAACCAGTGGCCCTCACCGCAAGTTGGGCAGCCTCGGTTTAGCACCTGTTACCATTTGTCTCATACAAGTGCACATATTTAGTGAGTTTGACATACTAATTAACACAGATTAAATGTAATTGAACATAAAACTGCCAAAAATATAATGTGCCATTACAATTGTGCAGGCAAATATGTTAAATTCAACAAATAAACAGTAACCATGTATTAAAATATTCAGAAGTTTGTTCTCTGTAGAGGATGTGTAACTCATTTTCACTAGAAAATCAACATGGAATTTGGCTGGAGATGCACAAACCTTTGCAAATGACTGTGTAACTGGTTCTGGCTGTGTAAAGAAATTATGTATTCAGGTTGTAAATAAAACCAGTCGTCCTGAGTGAAAGTATAAAGCTATAAGCCTCAGTGATGTCGGACAAACTTAAAAAAAGAGGAAAATTTCAAATTTGGATGAATGCTTCCTGGACAGGCTGTCTGTGTCATCGCCAGGATCTCTAGACTGATCTCAGCTCTTAGCAGCAGCTTCAGTTTCAGCTGCAGGTTTCTCTGGGCTTTCTTCTTCTCCCATTACAGGCAGATGAAACAAAAACGTCAGTCACTGCATGAGTCTTCATCAGGCAAAATAGGTCCACAGTCGTACTGCATCTCATTCATATCAACGGGTGTAAACAGCATGGCTTACATCACATCAAACTTAAAAATAACTTAAAATTATATGAAAATAAACATAACTGAATTTGCTGCAGCCAAACAGAGAGACAAATGTGACCAAACAATGGTTTGTTTTGCTCTCCCCAGTTACCAGATCTTATTCATTAGTGATTCAAGTGAGGTAAAAATGTCTAGAAATGAGTTAAATAGTCCTACAACAATCTCAAAATAACAAATAGTAGATATATCAACTAGATTTCACTTGTTAGGATGTTGTGCCAATCAGGATGCCAGAGTCTCAACTAATTGAACAAAGTGCATCCAGGGAGCCTCATTCCTGTTTTTTTTTTTGCCTCAGGCCCAATAATCACCAAATCCACGATTACTCAGTAACCATCTTGATTACATCCCTGGCAGTTAAATAGTTAAATAGTTGATCATTGAATAAGTTGTTGGTATTGTAGCTGTCTACCACAGCATATTGGAGTTGAATTTATATACCGAATACAAGCTTAAAGTGCAGACTACATCCAAAATGGGTCAATAGGATAGGAATTACAAGCATTAACATTAACTTTAACATTACATACACTATATTTCCACAAGTATTCGCTCATCTGCCTTCACACGCATATGAACTTGAGTGACATCCCATTCTTAATCCATAGGGTTTAATATGATGTCGGCCCACCCTTTGCAGCTATAACAGCTTCAACTCTTCTGGGAAGGCTTTCCACAAGGTTTAGGAGTGTTTATGGGAATTTTTGACCATTCTTCCAGAAGCGCATTTGTGAGGTCAGACGCTGATGTTGGACGAGAAGGCCTGGCTCACAGTCTCTCGGCTCTAATTCATCCCAAAGGTGTTCTGTCGGGTTGAGGTCAGGACTCTGTGCAGGCCAGTCAAGTTCTTCTACACCAAACTCGCTCATCCATGTCTTTATGGACCTTGCTTTGTGCACTGGTGCGCAGTCATGTTGGAACAGGAAGGGGCCAAACTCCCCGAACTGTTCCCACTCAGTTGGGAGCATGAACTTGTCCAAAATCTCTTGGTGCTGAAGCATTAAGAGTTCCTTTCACTGGAACTAAGGGTCCGAGCCCAACTCCTGGAAAACACCCCCACACCATAATCCCCCTCCACCAAACTTTACACTTGGCACAATGCAGTCAGACAAGTACCGTCTCCTGGCAACCGCCAAACCCAGACTTGTCCATCGGATTGCCAGACGGAGAAGCGTGATTGGTCACTCCAGAGAACACGTCTCCACTGCTCCAGTGGCGGCGCATTACACCACTGCATTTGACGCTTTGCATTGCGCTTGGTGATGTAAGGCTTGGATGCAGCTGCTCGGCCATGGAAACCCATTCCATGAAGCTCTCTACGCTGTTCTTGAGCTGATCTGAAGGCCACATGAAGTTTGGAGTTGCTGTCATTCCCAAGCCCTTCCACTTTGCTGTAACACCACTGACAGCTGACTGTGGAATATTTAGTAGTGAGGAAATTTCACGACTGGACTTGTTGCCCAGGTGGCATCCTATCACGGTACCACGCTGGAATTCTCTGAGCTCCTGAGAGCGACTCATTCTTTCACTAATGTCTGTAGAAGCAGTCTGCAGGCCTAGGTGCTTGGTTTTATACACCTGTGGCCATGGAAGTGACTGGAACACCAGAATTCAATGATTTGGATGGGTGACTGAATACTTTTGGCAATGTAGTGTGCATGCCTACAAGGCTGGTGTAAAGATTACTGACCTTTAAGGTTGATAAAACAGAAATGATGAACAGCTTCCAGGCTGATTAGGCTAATTATTTCCTTTTATTTATTAAGACCCACTTCAGAAACCCTGAAGCATAAACAATGTACAGTGCAGAGTTACTAAAAGCATCCCTGCTAAGTCCACCTTACTGCAGTAATTAATTTTATGTTTAAATAATAACGTAATTAATGAGTCTCAGAGCTACAACACCATGAAGGCCTTTATGGAGATGAACAGTACACACACACACATCTTCTAAGCCGCTTCTCCTTCTGGGTCGCGGGGGAGCTGGAGCCTATCCCAGCTGTCATCGGGCAGAAGGCAGGATACACCCTTGACAGGTCGCCAGTCCATCATAGGGATCTACCTTACATACTTTTATTATTTGAGAATCTACCTAGAACACCCTAACACACACTCTTAGACACATACATATTTACATAGAACGTGTACACCATTGTAGTAGTGGCTAGTATAGCCAAAAAGATATATCATGGCCTAATTACATTTTCTTAATTAAATAAAATACTTTTAGATACTTAAATAAACTTATTTTGTACTTGAATAGTTGCTTTTATTCTGGGCTGTTCCTTGTCTTTTTAATAAAAACCTGACTGAAACATTCCTGACTTGGCCATTCAGCTAAATAGAATAACGTTAGCGCTTGTGTGTCTTATCATGTGTTTCATCTGTTTTCTGCCCACTGCAACACAACTGTCACAGTTTTTCTTCCATTTATCTATTTTCCTGTCTTATACAATTTTGTTAGACACACAAACACACGCTCAGAACTAAAGAGTGCATATGTTCCTTTGTAATTTTATGAGACTCGTTATGTGGGACAAATCTTTAGCTCTGTCTCTGCTAGATAAACTGTAACTAAAAACATGATGTGGAAAACCGGAAAACTGCAATTGTGTTAAAGGCTTCCAACGTGATTCCTGGTGTCATCTCTAGTGTCTCTAGACTGAACTCAGCTCTGGGCAACAGGGTCAGGTTCAGTTGCAGGTTTCTCTGGATTTGGTGGGCTTTTTTCTTCTCCCACTGCAGGCAAAGAAAAACTTAGTTACTACATGGACCTTCAACAAGCCACACAGTTCCACAGTTTCAGTGCAGTTCAATGCATTTCATTCATATGAGTAGCTCTACACAGCATGGCTCAGATAATATGAGACCAATTAAAGCTGAACTATGTAAGACTATGTTGGAGCCCCCTCTGGTAGAAACGTGTTATTGTACACAATGTGCGGTGGAACGTTGTGTAACATGGGTTGTGCTTCGCCCCCTTCTCCGAGTGGGTAAATCCAATGATTGAAAGAGAATTTAAAGAGAACTCTGAACTTGGTGAAGGAGCGTCTCTGAGGATGTGAGTGAATTATCTACTACTGTCATCATATCTTAATCAGTATGATGTTGATTTTGAGATAATCTGAGGCGGACCTTCTTTTTGAGCCTGTGTGTGACGTTAATACATGAAGATCATGTTCTGAAAAACTCCCACGAAAAAACAGATATTCAAGTCAGGAGGCTTCCAGAAGCTTCAACTTGCATTTCTTGAAGTAGTTCATGGTGGACTTTGAGGTCTGTGTTGGGTCATTATCCTGTTGTAGAAGCCTCTTTCCAGCTTCAGCTTCTTTACTGTGTGGGTCACATTTGCCTCTAGAATGTCCTGATATTTAGTTCAATTAATTCTTCCCTCCACCCTTGCAGTGTTTCTTGAGCCACTGGCTTCCACACAACCCCAAAGCATTACAGATATTTTTTTTATCAGACGCTGCTCCTGTTTTTCTCCAAAAATAAACAAACAAACTGAACAAAAACAGTATTTGTTTTGCACACCTCCAACACTGACTTATGTGATGAAGTAAGGTTTCCTTCTGATGACTCTTCCATGCAGATTATGTTAGCACAAGCAGTGCTGCACAGTGCACCACCTCTCGTGTCAGCTAAACCTTCCTGCAGGTCCTTTGCTGTCATGTGGGGGTTTTGCTTTGCCTTTTGAATATGAGCAGTTCTTTTTATACTCTTCTCCTTTTTAGTAGGTATCAGTTTGCTTCATTTTCACATCCTCAGCTGCTTAGAGGAGCCCATGGTTGTTGAATGTTAGCACAGGGCTTGAAGAGTCAGGGAATCAGAGGCAGAGAGGTCCATTCAGAGTATGTCACATCAGATCACTCTGAATGACTGTTTACATCTTAAACATTTAATTATGCAGAAATTTTAAAAAGCCAGTGGTATTCCCCTTTAAGTTCTTTGTAACAGTGTTAAATCAAGACAATTGAATAATGAACAATGACTGACAACCTGACAGGATAATGACTTACAGTTTGGAGGTTCTCCAATGCTTCCTCTTCGTTTTTTGAGGGGGAAGATATATGGATAACTTGTTATTGGGGACGGCAAAGACCCTGTAAAATTACAATATCACAGAAACAGAAAAATCAAAGAATCTACTTCAATAATAAAGCTATTTCAGTAAAAAATGTAAATCATTGAATAGCACCTAAGCTGAAAAGGATATATCATCACTTACCATGTGAAATGAGTTTTTCTTCTGTCGGTGGTTGCTTTCCCTTCACACTACTTTCTGTTAGTTTTAGATCTCTTAGTCTCCTTTCCAGCTCTCTTTCTCTCACTTGCAGTGCATCCTCTCTCGAATCCAGATCATGTTCTCTGTCATGTATGTACTCCCACGTACTTCCCCCATACAAGCGGTACTTTCTTGGGTCTGTCTGTCTCTCTCTTCTTTGCAGGCGCTTTTCTCTCTCATCCAAACGAATATCTCTTTCGTCCAAGCGCTTTTCTCTTTCTTCCAAACGGGTCTCTCTCCCATCCAGATGCTTTTCTCTCTCTAATAAACGAGTCTCTCTCCCATCCAGATGTTTTTCTTTTTCTAGAAAATGAATTTCTTTCTGATTCAGATGCCTTTCTCTTTCTTCTAAGATTTTTTCTCTCTCCTCCATTCTCTCCTCTTTTTCCATTCTTCTTTTGATTCCTCTGAGATAGGTCTTCTTGGACAGGTGAGGTTAACCTAGGCCTGTCTGCAAAAATATAATAGATATTAGAATGTAGAAATGGTTAATGTATGAATGTGGCAATTAGGTCTGAGCAGCCTCTCTATCAGTTTTCATGGCATTGTTTTCCATTAACCAATTTTAGCACATCAGGTAAAGAGAAGCCTGCTTGAACTGGACAAAACAAACACAGGCATGCTTAGTTTTAGCATATTTCACACATAGCATTAACAATTAAGCAGAAAAAAGAGGAATGATTATCACAAAACTTTACTGTTGATCACTCATCTGACTTTGGAGCTTTAGCATTTTATTTTAAACCAAAAAGATCCAAGAACAGAGATAAGCTTCAGATCCTGATAGACGCTGCATGAACTAAAAAGTCCCACTGCAGTTCTATAAGCTACTCAGTAATCAGTGTCATTACTAGGGGTGCGACGATTATTCGACTTAATCGACTAAAATCGACGACCAAATTAGTTGGCAACTAATTTAGTAGTCGATTAGTTGGTGACGTCATTATATGTCTTTCTCGCGTTCACTAGGAACGTTTTAACATTGCCACTCACTGGAGAGTCAACAATGCAATGGCTACCCGAAGAACAAAATCCTCAAAAGTGCTAAACTCCGAAAAAAGGTGGTCAGTTGTGCTGTTTGTAAAGCCGACCTCAGCTGGCAGGGAGCACATCCTCCATGCGGGAGCGTCCGAAGAGGAAACACGGCGGCTTACTGTGAAGAAGATTTCCCCTCTGCTCCATCGGAGCGCATCTCCTCTGCAGTGGGGAATGTCTGCTCTGAGAGGAGAGCGACACACTCCCAAGAGCACAGAGAGATGCTGACTTCCCTCCGTTTCAATAAAGACCTGTGATTGTAAAATTTAGTTTCAGCAGAGTTTAGACAGACAGCAGAGCACAGAGCACAGACTGCACAGTTTACATTTAACATTTAAATTTAGAATGTTTTTTATTTACTTGATTTAGTTTTGTTATATTTTCTTGCTGCTACTTTGCACATTCTTGGTTTGTACATTCTTAGTTGGAAAAATATATTGGGGTTTTTTTTATCTTTTGTATTAGCAGGAAAGTTAATGAGTACAGTGAATTCTTGAATGGTATTCACCTTTATTGTCTTCACTGTTAGTTAGCAAATACATAAAACAAAATTTAAAAGCTAACAGCTACATAAAAGTTATTTGGTAATGTAGTGATTCATAATCCGAATAATTGATTATTCGTTTCAGTAATCGATCGATTATTCGACTATCAAATTAGTTGTTTGTTGCAGCCCTAGCCATCACTAGAGGTTTATGGATGGGGGTCCTGTTGATCATTAACTTTTAGAGCAGGACCAGCCAGAAAATCTATCAGCAGATCTGTCTCTCTGTATTAAACACAGACATAATATGACTTAAACACTCTATTCATCCACTTACAACAGACACAAATGAAGCAAAGACACTAAAGGTCAGCAGCGCTGTCTCCTCTCTTAGATCAGCTACAGGTTCTAAATATATTATTCAAATACACAAACTATAGATCAGTTCAGTCTCATTGGTGCAGTAAGAAGCAGTGAATTTTGCTCTGTAAGCATGTGTAATAGGCTAGACAACTGAACTTCATCATGACATATATCAATGTAATTAAATTCAGCGTTCATTTTAATTGAAAACGTAATCAATTGTGCCTCGTGAGAGAAAATATTGTCACCATGTTATTTTCCTTTCTGATGTAATTCTCTCAACATGTTATTCTCTTGTATTGTTATTTTCTTATAATCTTAAGCTTGTTTATTGTAGAGTTTTAGCAAATGGTCTTTTGCTTGCAGAGTAGTGATAACTGTCACACTCTCACCTTGCCCCCTCCCTCCTTTGTTTGTATTTAAATGACCCTTCGTCTCACGGCCTTAAGGTGATAACAATCACCCCCTTATCTCTGCCCCCTACATCGCTATTAATATCCCCCATCTATAACCCCTCCTCAAAGTCCTTTTGCTCCTCCTTCCCTCCTTAGTTGTTCAATGTATATAAGGTCCTTCCAAAATGTTAGACTAGACTCCTGATCCTGCTGACTGACTGATCGACCACGCTGTACCCAGACTCTGTATGTGGAAATGAACTCCAGTCAACGCCAAAGCTCCACTCTCCTGACTCTCCTTGCCGAATTTCTCACACTCGCTTTCATCTTGATCACTGACCTCCATAACCTCCTTCAAATCTGTAATGAACCTTCATTCTCTACACTCTCAGAAATAAAGGCAGTAAACTTGTCACTGTGGTGGAACCCTCAAGGGTCCATCTCAGTACCTTTAGTCAGGGAACATAACTGAACCATAATCCACTGAATGATATGTTCTAAGCTGTACTGACTCCACACACCCCGTCTCGGCTCCAGGCTTTTATTTTACTGTTCTGTTTCGGTTATGAAAAGGTACAAATACGAACTTTTCACCTGGAAACACTTATTTAAGGCTCACAACTGGACCTTAAAACCACTGTTGGAGCTTTGAGGGAACATTTACACTGTTTGTACCTTGATGAACGAGAAATGTACCTGAACAGAACCTTTATTTCTGACAGTGTATATTATGGACTAAATAAGGCCTAACGTTTATTTTGTGAGCTTTTAGACAAAATCCTGTCTTCAGCTGCCACCCTGCAGCGTGAGTAAACCCAGAGACTCTCTTCTAGCACTGGTGGTGTCTGATAGGATTGGGTGAATGGGCATCCACTTTTCAGGCTACACTAGTAAATCTGGTAGCAGAGCAGAGGCAGCGCTGCATTTAGTGCAGCAGCAGCACCTCCCCAGGTCACTCCCTGCTATCACAGTCACAGCCAGGAACTGCATCACTTTTCATCCAATTTACTTGAAAAGATTTGCTTTAATTTACCCTTTTTTGCTATATGTACTTCAATGGTAATAAGAGAGTCAATCCCAAGACAGTGTATGAACTATGAACTACAACAATTATAAACTGCTTTAGTCCACTGTAGGGGTCTCTGAATTTGTATTACAGTGTCTTTCTTAGATGTTTTAGTGTCAATTTTAAAAATGATTTACTGTCATTTATAATAATAATAATAATAATAATCATATCTTCATTTATGGAGCACTTTTCACACTGGTGGCAGCTCAGAGTGTTTTACAGACAGGTGATAAAGCTTAATAGTAACAGAAGAAACTATGAGTATTGAATTAAAATCATATAAGTCAATAACAGATCAGATTAAATATAAACACCAAAGAGTCGTAGAGTTTTACTGAAGCGCTGAGTTAAAGAGCTGCGTTTTCAGATGTTTATTAAAAGTGAGCTCTGAGCTCGACTGTCTAATAAAAGCTGAACTGAGCTCCACAGTTTAGAAGCAGAATAACTGAAAGAGTCTCTCCACGTTTTCTGTGTTTTACTGAAGGTGTTCAGAATCTGCAGATCTGAGATCATAAACAGACGGTCAGGAGCTTTAAGGTCATTTAGAGCTTTAAAAACCAGCAGCAGAGCTTTAAACTCTCTCTAACAGATCCAGGCGGTCAGTGCAGTGTGTAACGGGGTGATATGAGCTCTCTGTGTTGGTGCTGTGAGGATCCGTTTTCTTAGGAAGCCCAGTAAGGAAAGAATAACAAAATAATAAACTCTGCTATAAGAGCCCCCTACCCTAACCTATTGCCTCTGCCTCCTTTGGGTGAGGTTGAACCACACCCTGCCTACCCCGTAATTCATATCATGTCTAATGTGGTTCATAGAGCAGCACAGGGAGTCAACAGAGAGCAAACATTAAGTGGTCAATCACATTTTAAAATGAGGTCTTCACTCTGGAACACTTGCACTGTTTTTAATCTCTGTTCAGCAGCAAACTGTGGGACTAAGACACAAAGAAATATTGCAGCCAGCGATAGTCTTACAGTATAAAGCAACTCAAGATCAGATAACTGAATGTGTGAGATTTTACAGTCTCCTCAGTCAGCAGGAGTAAGATCATCTGGTAGGGAAAACCTTGTGGGTAGCAAGAGACCATCTGTGGGAGAATGTGAGGAACTGCACAGAGAATGGATTGTATCTATAATGTCTGTCTTATACCAGTTAGTTTCAGCGGCACAGTCTGGTTGGGGAACATTTTACGTCAGATTCTAAACTGATTTGATTCACTGAAGCGCGGCTTTTTGATACATTGTTTTGAGTCCATATCAGAATGAAAAATCACGTGACCAGCATTAACGAGGTTTCACACTGTTTCTAAACGCTTGGGGTGTTTTTCCTGCATTCCTGGGGAGAAGTGTGAGCTGCTGATCTGGGATGAAGATGTTTTGAACACACTAAAATCCACCTAATGGAGAGCCAGAAAATCCTCTCTGTTCTCAGATCTGTGACTGTCATCAACACAACATCATCGGATTTCCCACATACTCACAATTTTTAAAAGAGATGCAAAGCTATCTCCCTATTTTTATTTATTTTGTGTTTAGGGAGAACTGATGTGCCAGACTGCACTGTGTTAATAATAATAATGATAATAGGAAGAAGAAAAACAAAGTTTTATCATTGGTTTTACTCCTAATCTCAGCTGCATAAGCGCTCTCCTCACAACTTACAACAGCCTAGTAAATACAAAAACATATTAACAAAATCTTATGGATGTTTAGTTTAATGGAGAAATGTAGCTTTAATTAAACAACATTTCTTACCATATATATTAATATAATAACCATACATGCATATACAATAAAGACATGGAGGCTGAATATCTGATGTCAGAATGTTTCTAAACACCATCATGAAAAATAGTGCTAAACCTGATAATGCAGCATGTTTAAGGCTCTGTCTGTAACATAGAGGGCTAATACTTTTTGTAGCTGCAGTAATCGCCAATATCAAAGCAAACTGGATACAATGTTTTATTATTTATTTTGCACAACTGCCCTGCTGCAAGTCTAAACTGGATTATGCCATCTGGCGCTGGTTTAGCTGGTTTAGCCATCATGGTGATGCTCGTTGTCCAGCATACCTGCATCTAAAACATATTATATGCTGGTTTTGCTGGCTATGCTGTGTTTTTTCCAGCAGCAGGTTGTATAAAAGCAGTGGAGCACTGGGGGTCGGGACTTATTGTAGCATCACGGCTGTGATGTTATTTGTGATAACTATGGTTCTAAAAACCCACTGATGTAGTACCAGCATATGACCACAAGATGTCCCTCGTTGCACAGCATTCAGTGGCCACCGGATTTCACGTATATTTACTAATACGCCCTTAAGATCAGTTTTCAGCCAGAAATTCTCTGTAATGTGTGAGATTTGAAAGGTGAAGCTGAAAATGGCAGGTTTAACTACCTCACTCACCCTCAGCTCTGCCCCCCCACTTCTGAACAAAATCAGCCCCCTGTGTTGCTCCGTGTTGTGACTGCAGTGCATTCATCCTCCATTTACCTTTCTTCTTCTTCAGCAGTTTGACGGGCTGATCCAGCAGATCGGAGAGAAACTTGCTGAAGAAAAACACTGAAAGCATCGAATACAACTACAAAACCACCGCGCTGTAAAAAGTTGAGCTTTTCCTATGATGGCGGCAGAAACAACGCCTGAAACTGCTCCCCGTTCAGACGCACTTTCGGTTTCGTTCCCTCTGGAATCTCTCCGCCCTGGCGAAGCAGCTGAAGGAGGGGCTCAGGAAACGGGCAGCAGCTCACAGCAGCTCTTCTTTCTCTCACAGTAATGTCTGTAAAGTCTGCTGGGCTGAGCGAGATTTCCTGTTGATATGTTTGATGCAGAACAGTAAAAAAGTACTTACAGAGACTCAATAAGGTCGGGTATGATTACTTTATCAGATGTAATACACTCCATTACATCTGATTCAGCCAGATTGTCTAGTTTATATATTTTTTTAATCTATTCAATGCATAGTCAACTGCTGTCTGGCCACTATATTAGAAACACCCACCTTGTGCTTCCACTCGCTGGCCACTTTATTAGAAACGCCCACCTTGCGCTTCCACTCGCTGGCCACTTTATTAGAAACGCCCACCTTGCGCTTCCACTCGCTGGCCACTTTATTAGAAACGCCCACCTTGCGCTTCCACTCGCTGGCCACTTTATTAGGAACGCCCACCTTGCGCTTCCACTCGCTGGCCACTTTATTAGAAACGCCCTCCTTGCGCTTCCACTCGCTGGCCACTTTATTAGAAACGCCCTCCTTGCGTTTCCACTCGCTGGCCACTTTATTAGAAACGCCCTCCTTGCGCTTCCACTCGCTGGCCACTTTATTAGAAACGCCCTCCTTGCGCTTCCACTCGCTGGCCACTTTATTAGAAACGCCCTCCTAGCGCTTCCACTCGCTGGCCACTTATTTAGAAACGCCCTCCTTGTGCTTCTACTCGCTGGCCACTTAATTAGAAACACCTATGAACACGCACCTGCTTGTGCGAGTGTATCAGTCACAGAGTTTTCACACACGTCAGTGTCACTGCTAGGTTGAGAGTCTGATAAAGTGGACAGGGAGGGTATAACAAAGGCAGTCATTGAAAATGGACAATTGTGCACCATGAACACTGCCTGGGAGACAGTGACCTCTAGTGGAGATCTTAGGAACTCACAGATGAGAATTGGAAAGTATTAGTAGTGTTTAGACTGGAACTAACATCTAGACACATGTACCACAGCAAGGTTGCTGACCACTATGTTAAATCATGCTAAAGCAAGAGTTCAGTAAAATTCAGCAAATTTATGTAGCTCTCCTTCCTCACTTCAAATGCAGCCATTCAGACAAGACATGTTTGGTGTCTGAAGTTTGCGTTTTAAGTTTTAGCAGTGGAGCTGCAAGGCTAATGTAGCTAACAGGTAATAGACCAAATCAGAATGTCTCCAAACATTAACATTGGCTGTAGCAGAGAACTTGTAGAGAGGAGAATTTCCACTCTGCAAAATCTTCCGGTTTTCTCAAACGCTAGAGGGCGCTCCCGAGTGAGTCCAAAATGAATGGGCTGATATGGAGCATCTGAGCAAAATCATAGTTTATAAATACTTAAACATTTTTAGAGTAAAAGAATACAATAATTTCCTGAACACAGAGCAGCATAAAACATTTAACACTGCTGTTATATTTGTAAGAGCTTTTAAACTCGAGCTATAGGAGTTTGAAACAGCACCTCATGTACGTTCATGACATCAGTGAGCGCGAACAGCCAATGAGCTGCTCCGCTCGCCAATCAATCATCACTCTCTAGCAGTAATGCCCGCCTTATGCTGCCCCAAACCCGTTTGCTGTAGAAAAAGGAAACATACAGGTGTGATTTCTTTGCTTTTTAGTGAAATTCATCCACCTCCTTTAAAGGAAAGTTCTGGGTGATTAGAAACTATTTGAACTTTCCGTTTTTAGCCGTTGGGCTCCATTCTACTCCCATTCATTGAGGACTCACTCGCAGGCGCCCTCTGCTGTTTAGCAGTCCTGTTTATGTTATAACAGAGGGAATAGGAAATGGCCAGGCTTCTCATAAACCGGCTCTGGCTGTCCTCCTGGGTGGAAGACACACCCAGGCAGCCATCCAGTCATACATCCAATAGAAGCAGCTCGTTTTAAGAGGCAGTAAATACAAACAGAACAGTCTGAACCGAACTATGGTTAATAAAGGTAAATTACTGTTGCGTTTGAGGCTGTAATGTCAAATGTTTTGGAAAGGCATATAGAAAAAGGTCCATATGCCTTTAATAAATGAGAAAGTACCGAACTTTTTCTTGCTACTGCAGAAAGAGAGAGAGAGACAGAAAGAGAGAAAGAGAGAGAAAGAAAATGAAAAAGTATGTTAACTACTAACTAATTTTTACTCTCTGTTTTATCCACCTGACGGCTCCTCAGAGCGGCTAGCCCCGACTCTGAGACCATTTAGAGTACTGAAGTTCCCTCAGAGCCACTAGCCCTGACTCTGAGACCGTTTAGAGTACTGAAGTTCCCTCAGGGCGGCTAGCCCCGACTCCGAGACATTTGGCATAAGTGGGGAAAAGTGCATGAATTAGATTTTTGATTAAATAATCCATAATAGTCAGTTCCAAAGTGGGTAATTGAAAGAGTCGGTAGAATTCCCAGCTTTGGGCCAGTTACTGTGAGCTTCCATATATAAGCACAAAAACGCTCAGACAAACTATAAATGTTACATCCTAGTGTTCATCTGTACTTATTTAAGGGTTAAACCAGCGGCCACACCTGGTTTACTGACTGTAGCCGAGACTGGTACAGTGGAGAGTGATTAGAAGAAGCTGAAGTTAGCTTTTGATTCTTATTTCCTATTCCACCTTAAATGAGGTAGCAGCTACGTTCAGACACCTGGATGGACGCTAACATGTAACTGCTGCACTATTTAAGATGGAGCAGAAATTTGAATAAGAAGCTAAGTCAGCATTGAGAGGTTCAAGCATGACATTCAGAGTCACTGTGAATCTGGTACTGGTTGACAGAACAGGCAGCTCTATAGAGTTCATTACTTTTTATGCGTCACAGATCATTCAGCCTGCTGCTGACTTTTAGCATAAAGACCAGCTAAAACAAAATACAGCTGTAATTTAGCCACAGTGCTCTAATTCCAGTAGCAAATAACTAAATTCAGTGTAGGGATAGGCAATATGATGATAGGTTACTGTTATTATTATAAATTACATCTCTGTAGACATTTCTGAGCATGCTGTGGATATTGTCAGTGTAAAGAACAAATGCACTATATTGCCAAAAGTATTCACTCACCCATCCAAATCATTGAATTCAGGTGTTCCAATCCCTTCCATGGCCACAGGTGTATAAAACCAAGCACCTAGGCCTGCAGACTGCTTCTACAAACATTAGTGAAAGAATGAGTCGCTCTCAGGAGCTCAGTGAACTCCAGCGTGGTACCGTGATAGGACGCCACCTGTGCAACAAGTCCAGTCGTGAAATTTTCTCACTACTAAATATTCCACAGTCAGCTGTCAGTGGTATCATAACAAAGTGGAAGCGATTGGGAACGACAGCAGCTCAGCCACGAAGTGGTCGGCCACGTAAAATGACGGAGCGGGGTCAGCGGATGCTGAGGCACATAGTGTGCAGAGGTCACCAACTTTCTGCAGAGTCAATCGCTACAGACCTCCAAACTTCATGTGGCCTTCAGATTAGCTCAAGAACAGCATAGAGAGCTTCATGGAATGGGTTTCCATGGCTGAGCAGCTGCATCCAAGCCTTACATCACCAAGCACAATGCAAAGCGTCGAATGCAGTGGTGTAAAGCACCGTCACTGGACTCTAGAGCAGTGGAGACGTGTTCTCTGGAGTGACCAATCACGCTTCTCCGTCTGGCAATCCGATGGACGAGTCTGGGTTTGGCGGTTGCCAGGAGAACAGTACTTGTCTGACTGCATTGTGCCGAGTGTAAAGTTTGGTGCAGGGGGGATTATGGTGTGGGGGTGTTTTTCAGGAGGTGGGCTCGGCCCCTTAGTTCCAGTGAAAGGAGCTCTTAATGCTTCAGCACCAAGAGATTTTGGACAATTTCATGCTCCCAACCTTGTGGGAACAGTTTGGGGAGTTTGGCCCCTTCCTGTTCCAACATGACTGCGCACCAGTGCACAAAGCAGCTCCATAAAGACATGGATGAGCGAGTTTGGTGTAGAAGAACTTGACTGGCCTGCACAGAGTCCTGACCTCAACCCAATAGAACACCTTTGGGATAAATTAGAGCGGAGACTGCGAGCCAGGCCTTCTCGTCCAACATCAGCGTCTGACTGCACAAATGCGCTTCTGGAAGAATGACCAAAAACTCCCATAAACACTCCTAAACCTTGTGGAAAGCCTTCCCAGAAGAGTTGAAGCTGTTATAGCTGCAAAGGGTGGGCCAACATCATATTAAACCCTATGGATTAAGAATGGGATGTCACTCAAGTTCATATACGTGTGAAGGCAGACGAGCGAATACTTTTGGCAATATAGTGTATATACTTCATAAAATCTAAAAGAAAATGCTACTTATTCTTACATTTTTTAAAATAAATAAACATCATATAATAATAATTATTATATAATTATATAATATTATTGTATACTTATAATTATATAATATAATATAATTATATAATAATGTGTCACTTGGGGAATATAATAATATATATAATTACTATCATTATTATAACATATTATAATAATTCCACATTTCATGGACATAGTAAACTCAACTGTTCCGACTCAAACGTCACATTTTACTAAATCTGTGACCTTGGCTTTGCACCCTGAAGGTCACTTGGGGTCTTCTTTATGATACAGTGCCCTGGCCCCTCTTTCGTAAAAGCATGTCAAAATAAAAGTGCTTTGTTTTGGTTGTGCCACCTGACATTGAGGAAGTAAGAACTTGCGTAAAAGTGTTTCAGTGACTTGAGCACTTTTAATGTTGCCTTATTTTCCAACATGGTTTTTATTTTTGATTTTTTTTTTACACATAAAATCCTGCCTAACTATTTTATTTAGAATTTTATATAACTGAAATACCTTTTTTTGATAGTCCACTTAATTATCATTGGGAAAATAATGGGCTTAGACACAAAAATAAACATCATGTCAATGACAGGAAAATGAAAATGCGGTTGGATTGAAGTGGTTGTGTAGGCTCTGTGTTCAGAGGCTATAGTAGCAGTGCAACATCAGTCTTGTGCTTTTTTCTTTTCCATGCTGGTGAAAGAGTGAGCTTCTTTCAATCGCTCCTTTCTTTTCATATTGACATATATAGGCAACAAATATGTCATAGTCTTTATATGAGTCAACAAATCTGTGTTTACTCAATATTTTTGATGTTCTGTGGTGACATTAAGCTTAATACAGCCCTACACACTGCTAGCAGCAGAAAGCTAAGCTAGCTAGACAATACATGTGAATCCTGATGGTCGTTTCTTGTATATTGTTCAAAATGTTATATTACAACATTTGTCCAGTTCATGTATACTTCAACCAGAGATAAAAGCATATTGGTTTTAAACAGCAGGTAGATCTGCATGGCAATATTTTCATTTTGAGCCCAAAATTTTCATTTTGTGCCCAACATTTTCATTTTGAGCCCGAAATTTAAATTCAAACATAAGACATACATTTTACATATTACATTTTCATTCTAAGTTTGCTGCTGATATGCTTCTGTAGTGGTGAGTAGCTTATAGGCAGCTATCACAACCCACAAAACCAGAGAAGCCAAAAGCAAATGCTGTATGTGCATAATATTATATGTGATATATATATATATATATACATATATATATATATACACACTATAATGTAAACAACAATAACAAATATATAGAGAAAAACAGTAGTGAGAAATGTATTTTTTTTGTGTGTGTTTTTAAAAACCTTTTTTGCTCTGAAAAGATGTTGATAATGTTAATGTGATTCATCTAAATGCACAGTGGCCTGGTTTGGGTGCTTAAAATTCTTCATATAAGGATTTTATAAAACGTCCATGGAGAAAATAAACTGGAGCCACTGAAAAAGTGAGTGGTCACTGTTCAGCTCTATAGGAGAGCCAGTTGAGAGTATTTGAAAAGAAGCCATCGCAAAGAAACAAAGAGAGGAGGCTTTGTGAAACTCTGAATCAGTTGAACCAAAGACACCAGAAAACAAATCACTGTTTCAAAACATGGCACACTGACGACATATGCTGGACAAAAAAGACATTTAAAACCCAACAAATTGCATAAATTTCCATTTAAGAGCAATCTGTAATATTCTGAAATGAACAGACCTGAATATAATATGTATACAGTATCATTTATTCAGTAAGCAGCCCTTCATATGGTGTGTTTTAATTAGGGCTCAGAGAAAAAACTGCACATGACCATAATGTTTCTAAACAGGTTAGAAAATAATAAAATGGTGAATTCTGTTTGTGTCCCTATAGGCTGGATGTAGGACTAATATAATCAAATTACAGGCTTGGAAATCTATTAGACTGGGCAGCTGTGTTCGTATTGGTAAGAGCTTAGTCCACACATTATATGTTACGTAATCTTACATCAGGCAGACACTGTGATTTTCAGCCCAATTTGGTCATAACTGACTGAATTTCATAAAGGGGCTGCATTTCAGCTTCATTGGTAGTTGCCTGAAGTGCAGTGTGAGAAGGGAAGCAATTAACTTCCCAAACAGGCTCCAACTGAGCAGCTGGACGATCAGATGAATTTCGGACACCTGAAATCTTAGTTGCTTAGTTTGATCAGATCTCACACACTGATTTCTCAAAGTTGCATCCAAAACCACACACAAACATAATCACAACCACTGATCCTACACATAGGCTGACAAAACGGGGCAAAAAGTCGACATTTGTGGAACCAAAATCCATATATGCCAACTTGTTTGTCTGATAGCAAAGCTGTTGTAGCTCAGTTTGTCAAAGGCTGAATCTGAAATGGTCTTTCTTTTTTATTTTTTAAGGGTAATTTTCAAAAATGTATTATTAAATTTGCTGGGATGGTGGTGTCCAGCAGAACTAAAGGGTGCATGTGTTCCTTTGTAATCTTTTGAGACTCGTTACGTGGGACTAATATTTAGTTTCTGCTAGATTAAATAAAAAAAAATGTAAATAAAAAAATGATGTGGAAAAAGGAAAAACTACAGTTGTGTTAAAAGCTTCCAACATGATTCCTGGTGTCATCTCCAGTATCTCTAGACTGAACTTCCACACTGGGCAGCAGTTTCAGGTTCAGTCGCAGGTTTCTCAGGATTCGGTGGGCTTTTTTCTTCTCCAACTGCAGGCAAAGAAAAACTTAGTTACTACATGGAACAAGCAGTACGGTTCCACAGTTTCAGTGCAGTTGTATGCATTTCAATCATACGAGTAGCTCTAGACAGCATTGCTCAGATAATATAACACCAATTAAAGCCAAACTATGTAGGATTTGGGGATTTGGAGACCTCTCTGGTGGAAATGTGTAATTGCACACAACATGTGGAAGCACATTTTGTAACGTGGGTTGTGTTTCAGACTTCTTCCCCAAGCAGATGAATCTGATAATTGAAAGAGAATTCAAAGAGAACTCGGTCTAAACTTGGTGAAGGAGCGTCTTCTGAGGATGTGAGTGAATTATCTACTGTTGTCATCACATTCCAGAATGTCCTGATATTTAGTGGAATCTTTTCTTCCATCTATCCGTGCAGCTTTTCCTGAGCCACTGGCTGTCAAACAACCCCAAAGCATTGCAGATCCACATCCATGCTTAGTTGGCATGGTGTTTTTTTCAATCCGATGCTGCTCCTTTTTTCCTCCAAACATACTTCTGGTGATTGTAGCCAGAGATCCATTTTTACTTCATCACTCCACAGTATTTGTTTTGCACACCTTCAACGCTGACTTATGTGATGAAGTAAGGTTTTTTTCTGGTGACTCTTCTATGCAGAACCTTCCTGCAGGTCATTGCTGTCATGTGGGGGTTTTGCTTTGCCTTTTGAATATGAGCAGTTCTTTTTATACTCTTCTCCTTCGTTGTAGGCATCAGTCTGCTTCATGTTCACATCCTCAGCTGCTTAGAGGAGCCCATGGTTGTTGAATGTTAGCACAGGGCTTGAAGAGTCAGGGAATCAGAGGCAGAGAGGTTCATTCAGAGTATGTCGCATCAGATCGCTCTGAATGACTGTTTACATCTTAAACATTTAATTATGCAGAGATTTTAAAACGTCAGTGGTATTCCCCTTTAAGTTAATGGTAACATCGTTAAATCAAGACAATTGAATAATGACCAGTGACTCACAATCTGACAGACTAGTGACTTACAGGCTGGGGGATGATCAGTGCTTCCTCTTCTTTTCATGCTGGGGAAGGTAAATGGAAAACTTTCTTCTGGGGGAAAAGTGTCAGACTCTGTAAAATTACAACATCACAGTAATTAGAGAAATATAAATGTACTTCAGTAATAAATGTAAATGCCTGAATAGCACCTAAAGTTCGTAGAGAATCAGAGCGTTTCACAGAAGAAGGTGTTTCTAAGGCTGTAGGAGGTGAAACAGCTGATATTCACATTTCACAATGTTCACAGAAGAACATTCATTCTAAAGGGTTCCACAGCTCAGAAAGTGACTATCAACCGGTTCACCTGTCCTGGAACTTCCAGGTGAAAAGGCTATAACTTCACTCACTGTGTTCAGTGGGTTTTCCTTCTGTCGGCGATTGTTTTCCTATCACACTACTTTCCATTAGTTTTCGATCTCTAAGTCTCATTTCCAGGTCTCTTTCTCTCAAATTCAGATCCATTTCTCTTCCGCGTAGCCTTTCCCACAAATGCTCTCTTGGGTCTCTTTGTCGCTCTCTCCCATCCAGGTGCTTTACTCTTTCTTCCAAACAGGGTCTCTCTCCCTATCCAAACGCTGCTCTCTCTCTCATAAACGAGTCTCTCTCCCATCCAGATGTTTTTCTCTTTCTTGTAAATGAATTTCTTTCTGATTCAGAAGCTTTTCTCTTTCTTCTAAGATTTTTTCCCTCTCCTCCATTTTCTCCTCTTTTTCCACTCTTCGTTTGATTCCTCTGAGATAGGTCTTCTTAGACAGGTCAGTTTAACCTAGTTCAGTTTGTAAGAATAAAGTAGATATTAGAATGTAGAAATATTTAGATGTTAAATGTTGCTGCTGGCTTATGTTTAACAATGATAATAATAAAAAATAATAATAATATTTCATTATTAGCTTGCAGATTATTAACATAGGACAGTGAAACAGAACATGTTTCTCAATAAAGATGATTTGTGTTTATTTAAAATGATAAAATTACCTTCCTGTTCTGTTTATGTTTATAATAACCATATAATATAGACAAGAGGCTGAATGTCTGTTGTCAGTTTGCTTCTTAACACTATTATGAAAAAACGTGCTTTTTCTGTGGTCTAAAAACCAGCATTGCACTGAGCATCATCAGATGGGTGCTGATTCGAATGCTTCGAAAGATCAAAACTTTTTCTGAATCAATTGTTTATTTACTTTGATCTCTCAAAAGTCCCATTTAAGCCATCAGTAGTTTCACTATTCCTATTATTTGCAATAAATGGGACATCCAGGTTAATGTGGCAAGTATTGAAGAGAAGTGAGCTGAACCTGGCATAGCAATGCCAGCAATCATTTATTTCGCAGAAGATTGGTATAAAAGCAACAGAAACACACAGGTTATCCTGAATCTATGCAATAACTAGGATCAGAATTTTAGTGAGGTCAATTTTGCAGAAATGTGACCTACATCTCATTGTGAATAAAATATTTGTCAAATATAAGTATTACACAAACCATAATAATCGCTCCTTTTTATGCATCCATAACTGTTATACACCTTTCCCTTTCATTTGTTCTTTCCCCATCCCTTTATTCTTCTATAAACTGCTTGCTATTACTCTTCTAGAAATTGATTTGACTCCAGGTTCTCTGTTTAAGTTTATTTATGTAATCATTTAACTGCTTATTTATATTTTCATTTTCAGCTGAAAATACATGCTGAAACCTACACTACACCAAGTGATAGTTTTAAATTAATTTCAATTGACCTATCTCTCACTCTCTCTCTCTCTCTCTCTCTGCTTGTCTCTTTTGCATCTCTGTCCTCACTGATTACTGAAAAGCACATATAAAACATACATTATAAAAGGCTGTCTCTATCAAAAATGTTAGCTACATTATACTATGCCATCAATATGCTGGTTAACAGTGAACTCATGCTGGGTGTAGTTGACTATGGAGCCTGTAACCTAAACTGAGCAGCTACCGGAGATAGACTAAGGCCCCTCACCCCTACCATTTAGCCCTTAGTCATCTGTTTTCCGTATTCACATCTAGGGGTAGGGTGTCCTGATTCTTGTTGAGATAGAGGGGTAGGGCGAAGTGTTAGAGCTACATGAACTTCCAAATAGAGGTTTTTCAGATTGTTATGAGAAAAAAATACAAACCGGCAAGATGCTGTGCAAGAGACCAAAGAAACCCACAAATGTGAGAATTTTCTCTGTTAAAAGTTATGATAACCATAGTTTTATCTTAGTTTAATGTCGTTTCAGTGTATTTTGTTTCTTTCCTTTATAACAAGCTTGAAAAAATCACACTGTTAGTAATAAAGGTTCTGTTCAGGTACATTTCTCGTTCATCAAGGTACAAACAGTGTAAATGTTCCCTCAAAGCTCCAACAGTGGTTTTAAGGTCTGATTGTGAACCTTAAATAAGTGTTTCCAGGTGAAAAGTTCGTATTTGTACCTTTTCATAACCGAATGTTTTAAACAGAACAGTAAAATAAAAGCCTGGAGACGAGACGGGGTGTGTGGAGTCAGTACAGCTTAGAACATATCATTTCAGTGGATTATGGTTCAGTTATGTTCCCTGACTAAAGGTGCTGCGTTTTTCCCTGAGGGGTACTCCCCAAGTGACAGTTTCATACATTCATTTCTGAGAGTGTAGAATGCTGATGTCTCCTTAATCTCATGTTCCACCTTAAATAGTCCAGCAGTTCTGACGCCTGAAGCGGCAGAATGTAACTGCTGCTCCATTTAAGGTGGAACGGGAAAATGTGAACAAGAATCTGGTGAATATCTGACTTCAGCTTCATATCACTGAAGAATTAGGGGTGGGTGATAATAAATAATTGCCCCCCTCTTTGAAGATCATATGATGCCCTAAATGTAACTAAAGCCCAGCAGTGAGGAGCTGAACTTTACCCTCCTCTGCTGTCACTGCAGACTGGCAGGGTCTCACATTTTCACCATAGCAATGTTACGTGTTATCTTATAGTATATGTGCTACATACCTGAACATCTCAAGAAGTCAAAACTTACTCTGGTACACAGGTCAGTGTAGTGTCGTACTGAGCGGGCAGTTCAGTCTAGGGCCGAACCACATGCTAATCACAGCTGTGATGTTACTAGTGATAAGCCCTTCTGTTCTATTGCTGAACTCCCCTGATGTAGAACAAGGATATGACCACAAGATGTCCCCCAGCATACAATGGCCAACTCTATACTATACATACACTCCCGTAACCAACATACCAATGGTGTGTACTGATGGGTTTGGTCTGCTCGGAGTCTCACCGTAAACACAAACTAGCTCAGCAGTGTTTTTCAGCTGTGTGAAGCCGTCAGTGCTGAGTGGATCAATACTGACTCTTCTGTCTGTAAAAGACTGTCTGCAGGTTTAAACACTAAACTACAACACTTAAAGAAATCAAAGGGAAAACTCTCCACACTGACTCACTGCAGCTATTTCTTTAATTCTTACCAATTTACTGATTAATGATTTGTTGTTAAGACCATTAAAAGCATAATGTTTTGCCATTTGGGCTTGGCCCATTTTTTTTTTTTTGCACAGGAGTGTACATTCACTAATACTCTTTTAAAAAGACCACGAGATCTGACCGCAGTGCGAGAATGTGACACTTCAGAGGTATGTCTAAAGAGCACTGTGTTGTTAGCTGAAAGTTACAGATTTAATTGCCCCCAAACCTGTTGTCCCCCCACTTCTGCACAAAATCAACCCCCATGTTTTATGCCGTGTTGTGAGGACAGTGCATGCAGTGCATTCCTACAGTTTACCTGTCTTCCTCCTTGACGCTTGGTGGGCTGATCCAGCAGATTGAAGACAAAACACATTGAAAACATCAAATACAACTACAAATGCAATCTCATTCAAAAAGTTTAGCCTTGTATAGGGCGGCTGCAGAAGAAACGCATGCAGATTTTCTCTGTTCAGAAGCACTTTCACTTTCATCCCCTCTGGAATCTCTTCTTCCTGTTCAGGCAGGTGAAGGAGGGGCTCAGGAAACAGACAGAAGCTCACAGTATCTCACGTTTATCTGCTATGAGAAAGCCGGTAAAATCAACTAGGCTTTTCGAGTCAGGTTTCCTGGTGATGTGACAGATGCAGAACAGTAAACAATACTACAAGTCAAGACTCAGTGAGGTCTGATGTGATTACTTTGCTCTCAATGTGTTACATTTGTATTTAGCCAGATTGTTTAGTTTATGATTTTTTTTATCTAATCAGTGCATAATCAACTGCTGGCTGGTTGATTGTACCTTTAATGATATACACCAAGGTGCCACTTTATTAGAAACACCTACTTTGTACTTCCACTTACCTGGCCACTTTATTAGAAACACCTACTTTGTACTTCCACTAACTGGCCACTTTATTAGAAACACCTGCCTTGTGTTTCCACTCACTGGAGAGGAGTTTCTGACAAAGTGGACAGTCAGTATAAAACAAAAGCAGATGCTGAAAATGTGCAGACTTGCAGCATTAACACTGTCTGTTTGGAAGACAGTGACCTCTGGTGTTGATCTAAGGAATTCATGGGTGAGAATGAGAGTGTATTAGTAGTGTTTGGACTAGAATTAAACTTCTAAATGTAAATACATTTACAACAGCAGGGTTGCTGACCACTACCAAAGTTAGCAGCCATCTTTGCAACACCGCCAGGCAGTTATTTCCAGCCATACAAGACAAGACTTCTCTCTCTCTGAATTAGGAGAGACCAAGATACTGTGAACTGAAGGTCAAATTACTGTTTAAAGACATATTTGAAATCACTGATAAAGTCTGACAGAAACCTGATAAATAGTTTTTCTTACTCACTCCAAATGTAATCTTTCAGTCTTGACAGGTTTGGTATCTGCAGGGTTGGGATGTAACAGAATACAGGTATTCAGAATACAGAAATTAAATAACTGTGTTCGTCCAAGTTACATTTTATAAAGGCAGCCTTCAGAATACAGAATACATACTTTTTTAGGAGAATACTTTTAGAATACTTTCCTGCTAATTAAAAAAAAATGTATGATATATAAAAATAAATCTTTAAAAGAAACACTTTTTTAAAATCAGCCTGAGTAGACTGATAAATCAATGTGATCAGTTATTAATCTCAGTGTCACTGAGCTCTGCTAAAGCCTGAGTAGACTGATAAATCAATGTGATGATCAGTTATTAATCTCAGCGTTACTGAGCTCTGCTAAAGCCTGAGTAGACTGATAAATCAATGTGATCGGTTATTAATCTCAGCGTTACTGAGCTCTGCTAAAGCCTGAGTAGACTGATAAATCAATGTGATGATCAGTTATTAATCTCAGTGTTACTGAGCTCTGCTAAAGCCTGAGTAGACTGATAAATCAATGTGATCGGTTATTAATCTCAGCGTTACTGAGCTCTGCTAAAGCCTGAGTAGACCGATAAATCAATGTGATGATCAGTTATTAATCTCAGCGTTACTGAGCTCTGCTAAAGCCTGAGTAGACCGATAAATCAATGTGATGATCAGTTATTAATCTCAGCGTTACTGAGCTCTGCTAAAGCCTGAGTAGACCGATAAATCAATGTGATGATCAGTTATTAATCTCAGCGTTACTGAGCTCTGCTAAAGCCTGAGTAGACTGATAAATCAATGTGATGATCAGTTATTAATCTCAGCGTTACTGAGCTCTGCTAAAGCCTGAGTAGACTGATAAATCAATGTGATCAGTTATTAATCTGTGTTACTGAGCTCTGCTAAAGCCTGAGTAGACTGATAAATCAATGTGATCGGTTATTAATCTCAGCGTTACTGAGCTCTGCTAAAGCCTGAGTGGACTGATAAATCAATGTGATCAGTTATTGATCTCAGTGTTACTGAGCTCTGCTAAAGCCTGAGTGGACTGATAAATCAATGTGATGATCAGTTATTAATCTCAGTGTTACTGAGCTCTGCTAAAGCCTGAGTAGACTGATAAATCAATGTGATGATCAGTTATTAATCTCAGTGTTACTGAGCTCTGCTAAAGCCTGAGTAGACTGATAAATCAATGTGATGATCAGTTATTAATCTGTGTTACTGAGCTCTGCTAAAGCCTGAGTAGACTGATAAATCAATGTGATGATCAGTTATTAATCTCAGTGTTAGTAAACTTCTTTGAGGGATGAATCAAAAGGGCCCCTTAGTAGTGGACTTGTTCACAAGTGATTAGCTTAGGTTTAGTGTTGTACCTTTGTGCATGCATTTTGCAGCAAGTTACATACATGTAATTAACTGAAACAGCTGCTCACTTTATAGTCAAATTAGCAAGATTTTGTAAATGGGAAATGGCAGAGTGTTGGCTTAGGCCATGAAAAGTCAGTAGCATTATGGACGCAGCAGTGGAGTGAAGCAGACAATGAGAGACAAATTAATTTTGAGAATTTTATAATCATTTTGGTATTCATTTTTTCATGTAACATATTAACAAAAGAATTACGTGATGAAACTGCCAACCAGTAACCAGTGTGAATTAAATCAAAATTACAGCTTTCAGTTTTCCCCATGTACTCTAATATATTTGTATTCTGAATATGTTACTTTTTATGTATTGACATGGAACACATCACTGCATACACAGCCACCACTACTTTTTCAAAGTATTTTTCCCAACACTGGGTCTCTGAAGTTTGCTTCTGTACTTCAAAACATGTCACTTCACTTACATGGGAATTCCAGCAGTTATTTTCAAAATTCCCCATAATTCAGTGTGTGACACATATTCAGAGTGATTCAGAGTGGTTTGGTGTGAAATGGTTCAGATGTCTTTACAGTGGTGGTGATAGGAACCAGGGGTCGCCATGACTACAACACAGATATAGACATTTTATTTACTATCCAGAACCACCAGTGAACCTACACGAGTCTTCTGAGTTTATATGGAATGTTGATGATGGAAAATAGTGATATGTAAAATAATAATAATAATTTCTTTTGCCTCACAGCACCCTCCAGTTTAAAACAAATACAGTTTAGGCCAAAACTTTATCTCAAAGTTTCATCATTAAACAGCGTCTCAGTCATCAGGCAGTGAATTCATCACCATTTCATGTAGTAACTTTCTGTGAGGGAGCTTTTAGAGGTGGACGTCTGGTTCCTATCACCACCACTGTGAACAGTTCTGACTCAGTGCATTTCTCTGCAACAGAGCGTTTCACAGTAAACCGCGTGGAATGACTTTATTTACGTCATAGCCAGTCAATTATGAGGAAATCTGGAAAACAAGTGCAATTTCCCTTCAGAATGATGACGGAAAAATTGGCCCTGATGCTGAAACTACTGAATCACACTGGTAACCCTACAGGAAACACTACACGGTTACAACATCACACAGTGCTGTTTCAGGATAGACCTGTTAACGGAACCAATCACGTTTTATTCTTTAACTACCTCACATATCACATCCAGCTTTTTCTGATCATATCAGCCCCACACTGATACCCCTCTATATTAATACCCTCTATACTGATACCCCTTTATACTGATACCCCTCTACACTGATACCCTTTTATACTGAAACCCCTTTATACTGATACCCCTTTATACTGATACCCCTCTACACTGATACCCTTTTATACTGATACCCCTCTACACTGATACCCTTTTATACTGATACCCCTTTATACTGAAACCCCTTTATACTGATACCCCTTTATACTGATACCCCTCTACACTGATACCCTTTTATACTGATACCCCTCTACACTGATACCCTTTTATACTGAAACCCCTTTATACTGATACCCCTTTACACTGATACCCCTCTACACTGATACCCTTTTATACTGATACCCCTCTACACTGATACCCTTTTATACTGATACCCCTTTATACTGAAACCCCTTTATACTGATACCCCTTTATACTGATACCCCTCTACACTGATACCCTTTTATACTGATACCCCTCTACACTGATACCCTTTTATACTGATACCCCTTTATACTGAAACCCCTTTATACTGATACCCCTCTACACTGATACCCTTTTATACTGATACCCCTCTACACTGATACCCTTTTATACTGAAACCCCTTTATACTGATACCCCTTTATACTGATACCCCTTTATACTGATACCCTTCTACACTGATACCCCTTTTATACTGAAACCCCTTTATACTGAAACCCCTTTATACTGATACCCCTTTATACTGAAACCCCTTTATACTGATACCCCTTTATACTGATACCCCTTTATACTGATACCCTTTTATACTGAAACCCCTTTATACTGAAACCCCTTTATACTGATACCCCTTTATACTGATACCCCTCTACACTGATACCCTTTTATACTGAAACCCCTTTATACTGATACCCCTTTATACTGATACCCCTCTACACTGATACCCTTTTATACTGAAACCCCTTTATACTGATACCCCTTTATACTGATACCCCTTTATACTGATACCCCTCTACACTGATACCCTTTTATACTGAAACCCCTTTATACTGATACCCCTTTATACTGATACCCCTTTATACTGATACCCCTCTACACTGATACCCTTTTATACTGAAACCCCTTTATACTGATACCCCTCTACACTGATACCCTTTTATACTGAAACCCCTTTATACTGATACCCCTTTATACTGATACCCCTTTATACTGATACCCCTCTACACTGATACCCTTTTATACTGAAACCCCTTTATACTGATACCCCTTTATACTGATACCCCTTTATACTGATACCCCTCTACACTGATACCCTTTTATACTGAAACCCCTTTATACTGATACCCCTCTACACTGATACCCTTTTATACTGAAACCCCTTTATACTGATACCCCTTTATACTGATACCCTCTATACTGATAACCTCTATACTGTTACCCCTCTACAGTGATACCCTTTTATACTGAAACCCCTCTATACTGATACCTCTTTATACTGATACCCTTCTACACTGATACCCTTTTATACTGAAACCCCTTTATACTGATACCCCTTTATACTGATACCCTTTTATACTGAAACCCCTTTATACTGAAACCCCTTTATACTGATACCCCTTTATACTGATACCCCTCTACACTGATACCCTTTTATACTGAAACCCCTTTATACTGATACCCCTTTATACTGATACCCCTCTACACTGATACCCTTTTATACTGAAACCCCTTTATACTGAAACCCCTTTATACTGATACCCCTTTATACTGATACCCCTCTACACTGATACCCTTTTATACTGAAACCCCTTTATACTGAAACCCCTTTATACTGATACCCTTTTATACTGAAACCCCTTTATACTGAAACCCCTTTATACTGATACCCCTTTATACTGATACCCCTCTACACTGATACCCTTTTATACTGAAACCCCTTTATACTGAAACCCCTTTATACTGATACCCTTTTATACTGAAACCCCTTTATACTGAAACCCCTTTATACTGATACCCCTTTATACTGATACCCCTTTATACTGATACCCCTCTACACTGATACCCTTTTATACTGAAACCCCTTTATACTGAAACCCCTTTATACTGATACCCCTTTATACTGATACCCCTTTATACTGATACCCTTTTATACTGAAACCCCTTTATACTGATACCCCTCTACACTGATACCCTTTTATACTGAAACCCCTTTATACTGATACCCCTTTATACTGATACCCCTTTATACTGATAACCTCTATACTGTTACCCCTCTACAGTGATACCCTTTTATACTGAAACCCCTCTATACTGATACCCCTTTATACTGATACCCTTCTACACTGATACCCTTTTATACTGAAACCCCTCTATACTGATACCCCTTTATACTGATACCCCTTTATACTGATACCCTTCTACACTGATACCCCTCTTTATACCATATATACCCGTATACCATCTGCAGCTGTCATGTCCTTTATTCACTCCTAATTCAGCTCTGTGTGACGGTGTGAGTGAAAACATCAGGAAGATTCTGTTATCCAGTCCTGTATACAGTAATCCTGGCATGCTGTCAAACCTGTTAGTGCACCCCCCCCCACGCACACCTCGCCCACACACACTCAAACACTGTTAGAAAGCTTGATCCTTCCTGAAGTGACTCTGTAATGATGTGTAGAGGAAAGGATTAAACTGCTTTCTTACACAGTCTGATCAGAAACGCCATCACAGCACGTGCTGCACTTTCAAAACCTGTCACAAACAACATGTTTTTAACACAACATAACTCAGAAAGTAATCCATTACAAATGACCAGTTACTTCCCTCACACTGTACTGGGATTACTTAAGGCCAACTCTAGTGTTTTGGAGGCCCTATGCTGGTCTTTTTCGGTGGCCCCCCCAACAAGACCAATATTTTGTAAGCGGTTTTTAAATAAAAGCAGAGAGAATCTTTTCCCTCTGAGGCCTCATTTGATGTGGACTATTTGTGTCTGTCTATTTGACTGAATGCTGTCATAACACATTTATTTATTTTCAATCTAATTTATTTTATCAATCAACTTTTATCTGAGCTCGGAGTGCATCGAGGGTGATCCTCATTTGCAGTGGAGCCAAGCATTAGAACAGAAAACCTAGCACTGAAAAGAGTAATAAACACTGAAATAAAAAGTTAAACCGTAAGAACATATTAAACTAGTAAAAAAAAAAGCCAAAATAAAATGTAAAATAATAAGCAACTAGTGAAAAAATAAAATAAAATTAAATGTAATATGGTAAGAAACCATTAAAAAGACATAATAAAATATAAAAATTAATACAAATAAAAATATCTATACTAGAAAAATGTGAAATATAGCAAAAATTATTTACAAAATGAGTCTGAACTGTTGATATGTGTTATTTTTCCCATCCAATATTATGACCAAAATCAAATTATACCAAAATCAAAGAAGAGCTAAGATCAAATAGAACAATTATTATGGAAATGATTTGCTGAACTATTGTGTATATAAGGATCAGTTTTATAATAATCCAAATATTTATACATCTAAATTTTATATATAGTCTAAAACAAACATTCCTAAGTTATGAGTCATTAGCAAACCAGGTGCTGATGTGCGGTAACATTAGAGGCTAACTAATAACAATGAGTACCACTAGTACTGTAAATTGCATAAAAATGAATGAGAATTACTGAGTATTGCTCACCAAACAGTGACTTTTAACCCCTTGATCCAGCATCTTAGTGCTGATGGTAACTAAAAACTTACCTAAAAGTTACTAGGGGCCCCCCTGGTGGCCGTGGAGCCTGACAAACCAATGGCGGCATTTGTTAAATATATTTTAAAATGCATTTTAAAAGTATTTTCCAGATGTATTTATCAAACATATTTTTGATATTTTTGATGATAATGGAGTCACATAATTATGCTATGTGTTGAGTTGTGTGTAATGAAGGTTACAGATGTAACTAAACAGTACTTTACATTAACCATGTACGTCTGCAGTCAGACTCTCACACACAATGTATTTCACATAAACAAGATATCAGATCATAACTGCATTTTCACAGAGTATCAATACTCACAACACTCGCTTCTGTCCTGTTAAAGGATCATTAGATCAGATTTAAAATGAAGATACTGGAACACAAACTCATTTCTAAAGGTATCAGACAGTGAAGAGCATCAGACAGGATTCTGGATATTTTCATACATTTTCAAATGGATTTGATAAACACATTTACATACAGTTATTTATGTATCAGACATTTCTATGTGTAATATTTCCCCATACATTTTAAAAAATAAATGCATTTTAAAATATCTCTGCTGTTGGACCAAAACCTCATATCTCCATTTTTGTCATTTTTCAGTTTTTGACTTGCCTGTTCTCCTTTACATTGTGTGTAAATTTCATGATGAATGGACCAAAAGAAACGAGCAGAATGACTTAGAAAAAAGTCTGGTTCCATTGACTTACATTAAAAGTACGGTATGTTTTTTCCTTTTCCTGTAAAGTTACCATTTTGGAGATACGAGGTTTTGTTCCGACAGCAGCGATATATTTGGTTAATATTGTAATTTATTCTGAAATACGTTTGTGTTTGGAATGTGATTCAGCATCGACTGCAATGTGTTTGAAACATACTTAAAATATATAAAAATGCATATCTATATCTTTTCTTTCCATATGAATGTTTTCAGATCTGAAGCAGCTTGATTTCCTCCTCTCTCTCAGAGATGAAAGCTTTAAGTGCTGTTTATCTGATGGGGGCAGTTTTGGGGTCGACCAGGTCTTTCAGATGGTTGTTAGGAGTCTCATTTTCTCTGTATCTGTTAAGTTTTTAACTCCAGTTTTGGAATCTCCTCCTACCTTCTGTGAGTAGATTATCTGATCTTATCTCTGATTATTAATGAAGTGTGGGCTCTGGTTTTGCACTGTACTGTGTAGCCAGACAGATGGAATAGATACACCTTTAGATGAGCCTTTTTAAAAGGTTAAGCGTAGGGTAATAACAAAGCACTTTCCTCAACAAAGTACGAACTATTAACCCCTTAACATTCCAGGTTTACTTCACATAAAGGCTTATTATTCAGTATTTATAGGGACTGGGGGGGGACAAATTAATGGAGCTAATCTTAGGTTATAGAAGTGTGTAATAAAACTTTGGGACGGGCGCACGGCTTGGTGAGGGGTTAATTGTTGGATCGACCATCTTAAATGATCAGATTTTAAAGAAGAGAAGGTATAACAGACATTGAAAAGGCCACTGATTCTTTGAAAGTGCTGTTATATCCGTGTTTCTGGGAAATCCAGCAGGTTGGATCAGTATGTAGTAAGAGTGTGTTCTTAAACACATGACGTTGTTTACCTCCAGGCAGTTTCTAAGCTCCTCCTCCACCAGGAAACACCCTGAGGGACCTAGTGAAAAGTTCAGAGCGTTCAGGATTACCTAGATTACCTGTCAGCACTTGTCACGCTACAACAGACGCCAACAGAGCACGAGAACACCTGGGTCACCGTTCAGCTACAGCAGCAGCAGCAGAGCTCCTCAGCTTTAATACCTTCACACTCCGCTTCTCTCTCAGGTAAGAGGGCCACACCTCATTCACTCAGACCAGAGACACAGATAACCCATCAGACGCTATTTACAGGTAGAGCGTCCTAAACCCGTCCTCCAGTTAGAGTATCGTCACAGCAGTGGAGTAACAACTGCAATAAAACTACCTTTACAGGAGTAGAAAAGTAGCAGCTACTGAGGAACATATAGAACTGCAGGGGAACTTCCTAGAACATCCAGCATCTGTCAGTGTAGGAACTATGAGGCTGAAACTAAATAGTTGAAATTGGCTGAAACACCAGCATGTAACAGCTGCACCACTTAAAGGGGAACTCCACCAATTTTTCAAAAATCCTAAATAATTACATGGTTAAGATGTAATCAGAGCGGTTCAGAGTGGTTTGGTGTGAAACGCTCTGTTCTAGATAAACTTACAGAGTCAGAACTGTTCACAGTCGTGGTGATAGGAACCAGACGTCCACCTCTAAAAGCTCCCTCACAGAAAGTTCCTACATGAAATGGTTATGAATTCACTGCCTGATGACTGAGACACTGTTTTATGAAAGTTTTGTAATAAATTTGTGGCCTAAAATGTATTTTAATCAATTTATTTTTAATTCATTCATGGTGGAGGGACACATAGAGGGTGTGCTAGGGCAAAATAGTCCCCAAAGAAAACTTATTATTTCAGATTTTTTCCACAATTTTACCATCACCAACATTCCATATAAACTCAGAAGACACATGTAGGTTCACTGGCGGTCTGGTTCCTATCACCACCACTGTAAAGAAATCTGAGTCAATAAGTTTCTCTGCAATGAATAATTTCTCATCGAACCACTCTGAATGACTCTGTTTGCATCTCAAACACTTTATTCGGAAATTTTGAAAAATGGTGGATTTCCCCTTTAAGGTGCAGAACATTCAAATAAGAAGCTGGCGAAATATGCATTCATACAGGAACTGAAGTTTGTTTGTTTGGCTTTGAAAATAAGGAACTGAAGTTCGTTTGGCTCTAAAATAAGGTGCTAAAGCTCCAGAGTGAGAGGAGTGATTAACAGTGAAGCAGAACAGGAGCTGAACCCAGAAAAGAGAATTACGGAACCACTATTTTCAATAAAACAAAACCAACTTGGTTTTAAATAACTGTATAAAATTATTCTAATATGCTCATCATGAACAATTTCAGGGGTTTGGTATAACCAGTATGAAGCTGTAAATAAAAATGAAGAAACGTTAGATATGAATGATCAACAGAGCTGTAGAAGATTCTAAAACGACTGAGACAGCTGTACTCTCCTAAAAAAGAGGGTTCTTTAAAGACAATGGCTCTATTTAGAACCATAAACACTCAAAGTAGCCTTCTTTGCATCATGAAAGCATTCTTCAGATTAATGGAAAAAATGTTGTATATGGTTCTATGTAGGACCATTTTTTTAAAAAGATTTCTAAATTTTACTGGTATGACGTCAAGCCTGTCTTAATAGCGGAACCCTTTTTGGTGCTATTTAGAACCACATACAGCACATTCTCCATCAATCTGAAGAACTATTTCACCATGCAGAGAACCATTTAAATATGCATATCGCTATTGTCGGTACAAAACCTCGTATCTCCGAAATGGTAACGTTACAGGTGAAGGAAAAAACATACTATACTTTTAATGTAAGTCAATGGAACCAGAATTTTTTCCAAGTCATTTTATGCCGTTTCTTTTGGTCCATTCATCATTAGATTTACACACAATATAAAGGACAACAACTTTTAAATAATGTCAAAAACTGAAAAACATAAAAAATGTTTTTAATATATGTTTATATATTGTACATAATACAGCAGAAGTGTGTATTACTCACTCATAGTTGAGTAGAAGTAAATGTGTTATTATCTAAAAACACTCAAAAAAAAGAGAAACAAATCCATCAACAAGTACCTGCAGGTGAGTTGAGTCAGTGTAACTCACCTCTGAGTACCTGTTCGTTTGTTTAAGAGAGACAATACTTATAAACACTGTTGCATAGAGATGCAGGAGATAGCAGGACTATATATAGGACTGAAACTTTAGCGGCCCTGATCTCTGGTTACAGCTGTAAATCAGAGCCTAAATCAACAATTTAAACAGACCAAAATAATTTAAAATCAAACCGGTGTAGTGTTTTAAATATATATGTGCATATCTGACTGGACCCATAGACTCATCATGGAGCATATTCTGTACTGCTGTTATGTGTTTCAGTGACTTTAGAGCAACGCTGAATCACAGGTGTGGGTCATCTCTACACTTGTCTGTCAGAAACAGCGTGTTTGAGGCTCAGAACTCCAGCACTGTTAATCTGTTATCTCCCTCCACCGCTGTAGTGAATAATAGTGCTGAATATGAACCCATAATGATGGAGTTAGTGTGTGTAATCCAGCAGGTGAGCAGGCTCAGACAGCCCGGCTGAAAACCACAGTCTGGAACAGGCGTGTGTTATTGTGCATTGTGTCTGAGAGAGGAACCCACAACATGGCCAAACCAGAACAGACTTAATTAATCCCTCTGTTTCACACAGTTATTAAATACTTATTACACAGCCATCAGGAATGTACACAGTTCAGATTATGTCACAACCTGAAAGTAGAGCAGTAAACACACCTGGGATTAATATTATCACCACCACTATTCTTATTATTACTAATAATAATAATGATAACTTCAATAACACCATAAAAACTCAAAGAAGGATTTGCATGTTTAAATGGTTATTAATACTAATAATAATAAAATCACCATCACCACTATTATTATTATTACTACTGCTAATGATAACATCAGCACTACCATTATTATTTTTACCACTAATAATAATAATAATAATAACACCACCACTGTTATTATTACTACTACTACTAATGATAATATCAGCACCACCAGTATTATTATTCTACCACCACTACTACTACTTCTATAGAAGTATTACTACTACTACTACTGCTATAAAAGTAATACTACTACTGGTACTAATACTACTACTACTTCTATAGAAGTATTACTACTACTAGTACTAATACTACTACTGCTATAAAAGTACTGCTACTACTACTTCTGCTACAAAAGTACTACTACTATGATAAAAGTAATACTACTTCTTCTTATTATTATTATTATTGTTTTATTATTATTACTAACACCATCACTACTACTCCCCCTACTAGTACTACTGCTAATAATAATAATTTGTTTGTTTGTTTGTTTGTTTGTTTGTGTGTACAAAATATCACAGCATCAGTCAGTGGAATGTTGTATAAAAAATAAAAAACAACAGCCAAAAGTACAAAAACAGAACACGTTCACACAATGCAGGTAAAAAGAGCCCTGCAATCTGAAGGAGAACAGTTAGGAGGTGACAGAAGGTCAAAGGTCAGTAACAGCTGGTCAGAAAAGATGCAACTGACAAACCAATGACTGATTTGGTCAAAGAATTCCATTATACCGTTTTTTTATCTCTATCCATTTGTATCAGGGTTGTTATTATGACCTTTGCAACGTACTTTTTAATCAAATAAAGGACTGTTACACTGTTGCTGAGCTCACAGCCTTCTTTAGTGTATATAAAACTATACATTTACTCTGATGTGCCAGCGTTAACAGCCTGTATGTACAGTCCTGTGCTAAAGTTTGTGCTCCCCTGGTCAAATTCCATGTTTGTGTTGATTTTCTGGGTGTAAATAAGTGAAAACGTCCTCTACAGACACACAATTTTGCACAGTTTAATACACAGTTAGTGCTTATTTACTGAATTTAACACACTGATAAAAAATAAAACATAAAATGTGGCACAATTTTTTTGAACATGTTAAACTCAAGAAAATATTTTGCCCTATATTTGTAGAGAAATCTCACATTTAAGTGTGTCTCTGTAGAGGAACTATTTTTACAACAACAAGGTCATGGAATTTGACCTGGGGGTGCTCAGACTTTTCCATACAACTGTAAGTGAGAGAAACATGACACCAAGAACTTGGCCTGCGTTCGGTCTTTTTATCTGTAAAAGCTCATTAACATGCTGTATCTTTACTGCTGTACCTGTACAACACCCTGTGTGTCTACAGGGCGTTAGCCTGGAGCCTGACTCGCTACATTTCCATAGGAATTTCCATAGAAATATAACATAGACTGTGGGACTGTGTAGAGGACATCCACATCACACAATGTAATAATCTACAGTACAGAAAACATGACTAGTTGTGAACATAAAAAACCCATACGTTGAATAAAAAAAGTTAAAAGGTGTAAAGAAATATATTGTTAAATTTGAATGAAAAATAAGTAAAAATAAATAAATAAAACATAAATGAGATGAAAAGGGATTCAAAATAAATATGAAAGAACTAAAACGGTCACATTTGACCATGGACAAATGACATGTCCTGTTGTTTTTGCAGTTGAGTTTTATTGAGGCTTAATTTCTATTTATTGGTCAGGTTTACCATATTGGAAAAAAAACTAAAACATATAATACAAAATGTGCCATAACTGGTAACACAGCTGATGCTGACAGTGTTGAAGTTTAATGATATTTACCTTTAGTGATTAACCATCAGTGTCTAATTAATGTAATAAGAAAAAAAAGAAAAATAAGCTGTTTTTAGCTGGTCTGGTTCTGGTTTAGCTGGTCACCCAGTGTGGTCATATTGGTTGACCAGCATACCAGCATCCAAAACACAACATTTGCTGGTTTTGCTGGTGATCAGCGATGCTGATCTATACTGTTTATATATGTTATAGCAGGGTAATCATTTTTCTCCCAGTGTGATATAACTGTAATGATATTTTCTGTTTATTTTGTTGTTGTTGTTTTCCTTCAGCAGGTCTGTCCTGGTGTGAAGATGCCTCCTCCCGTCCCGACTGAGCGGAGATTGAGCGTTGTAGGCTCTCGCTCAAACCCGGAGAAGTTTCTGGGACAGGATTACCACCAGCTCCACAGGGACTTCTACGACAACAGAGCCCGATTCCTGGACAGCACATTCCTCCCGAACGAGAGGGCCATCGGCCCCGGCCTGCTCACTGACGAGGAGATGGCTAGAGTGCGGTGGATAAGGCCTACGGTAGATAGCAGCTAGCATTTATGTCCACTAAACACACCCAGCGTCTTCATAAAGTCAGGGTATATCATACTGCACTAGCAGTTAGCATTAAATCTACTAAAAACTATGCTTTTAAAACTATTTAAATCTACTAAAGCATTTAAAACTACTAAACACTAAACACTCTTATGGGTTTCAGTTCATGTTTAACAGGCACTGCTCTAATACAGTAAAGATTTATCATGCTTTACTAGCAGTTAGCATTTAACTCTACCAAACACACCTACTGCCCTGATAAAATAAGGAATTTTCATGCTGCGCTAATAGTTAATATTTGAATCTAAATATTTTTACATATTTAAATCTACTAAATGCTCCCACTAATATAGTTAGGAGTTATTATTAGCATTTAACAGTAATAAAAACTGTCTTAGTAAAGTTTTATCATGCTGTGTTAACATTAATAAACACACCCACTGTCCTAATACAGTCTGGACACAGCTACGTCAGCGCTTAGCATTAAACAGTGATAAACACTCCCACTGCCCTGATAAAGTTGGGAGACAGCCACGTTAGCACCTAGCAGTATACAGTAATAAACACACCTACTGCTCTAATAAAGTGTGGATTTGTCATGGTGTGCTATTCAACATTAATAAACACACCCATAATCCTGATAAAGTCTGGATTTATCATGCTAGAAGTTAGCATTGCACATTATTAGCACAGAGGGTGTGTTTATTAAACATTGGATTTATCATGTTGGGCTAGCTTTCCCTGCTGCAACAAAAGCACAGAGCAGGATCCAGGCCATGCTGTTCTAAGCTGGTTTATGCTGGTCTGGTGCTGGTTTAGCTTGTCACCAGCATCCAAAACACAACACATGCTGGTTTTGCTGGTGACTGGCCATGCTGGTGTACACTGTTTTTACTAGCAGTGCAGCATTTAACTCTGCTAAACTGTAATACTGTCCAGCAGAGTTTTCAGCCAGGCTTACATTTACATTTACAGCATTCAGCAGACGCTCTTATCCAGAGCGACTTACAAAAAGTGCTTTGTCTGTCCAGAGGAAGTATCTTTGCTAGTTACCAATAGGTTAGAGAGAGAAAGCCAGTCCTGAGCTCAGATACTGCTAGAATCAGAAAGTCATTATTGACACCCAGAGAAAAAGGAACAGAGTTAAACACAGAGCAGTGCAATTCAATACAATACAATACAATACAATACAATACAATACAATACACTACAATACAATACAATACAATACAATACAATACAATACATAAGTGCAGTACAATACATTACAGTCAATACTTAACTCAGTGCTCATTTAAGTGCTGTATAAACAGACGGCCTTCAGTCTGTGTTTGAAGACAGCGAGAGACTCTGCTGTTCGGACAGCCAGTGGGAGTTCGTTCCACCACCTGGGTGCCAGTACAGAGAACAGTCTAGATGCTTGCCTTCCGCGCGTCTTGAAGGATGGCAGGTCAAGCCGAGCTGTACTCGAAGCTCGAAGGGCTCGTGGTACAGTTCGAGACCAGCTTTACAGCAGGACAAAGAATGTAATCATGACACAGAAGAGAAAAGAAGAAGATAAATATTTGTGAAGACCAGAACTTTGTTCTGTAGAAGTTTGTGACGATAGAAAATAATATCATTTAAATAGAAGTGAAAAGAAATTTTTATTTTAGACCATATTTTTAAACTATTTATCTTAGCGGTCAGTGAGCTTTGGCTTGCAAAAAACACCAAGTAAAATTAGAATTAACACAAGAAGAACTTACACACAGTGAAACATATCAAGAATGTTTTCGTTTTCCGCAAAGCCACAGAAAAGTGACTTGGTACAGTGTTGTTGTTCTAGACCTGCTGTCACGGTATTTTGAGCTTGTATAGGACTGTTTGCACTTGGCCAGGATCCTTTAACAGACATATGAAACCTTAACAAGGAACAAGGAAACAATTTTAGTTGCTCAATCCAGTTTATAACCCTATAGGTTTATCCTACGCATGACTTGTGCAGCGTCTCACATGTACTGCATGTTCACAGTGTTACTCATGAAGAGCATCATGAAACCTCTCTTATCCCCCCACGAGCTTCAGATGATCTTTCTTCATTTCCTGTTTTCAGAGACTGGTGAGAGATCCTTACCTAGTTGTGGATGGAGAATCCAGGTTTGACTTCGCTCAGGGAGAGCTCGGTAAGGTCCAGACTGCTCACAGCGTGAATTCGTGATAAAAGCGCTGAGCCCGGCTGTTCTGATGGGCTGTGTTGGTGCTCTCTTTAGGAAACTGCTGGTTCCTGTCTGCGATCGGAGCGATCACGTTTCAGGCTGACATCATGGATCAGATCATTCCTGCAGATCAGTCGTTCGGAAAGGAATATGCAGGAATCTTTCACTTCAGGGCAAGTACATCAGTCCATGAGTAAACGGCCATTTTATCAGAAACCCCTCTCCTGTAGCTGTACACTAAAAAAACGGTTCTTTTAGGGTTCTTTAGTGAAGACAATGGTTCTTATAGAACCATGAACACTGAAAGAACCATCTACATGCTTGAATGGTTCTTTGCATGGTGAAATGGTTCTTCAGGTTCATGGAGAAATGTGTTGTGTATCGCTGCTGTTGGAAGAAAACCTCGTATCTCCAAAATGGTAACTTTACAGGAGAAGGAGAAAACCTACTTTACTTTCAATGTAAGTCAATGGAACCAGAATTTTTTCCAAGCAATTTTCAGACGTTTCTTTTGGTCAGTTCATCATGAAATTTACACACAATGTAAAAGGCAACAGGTACTGTGAAAACATGTGAAAAACTGAAAAATGACAAAAATGGAGAGATATGAGGTTTTGTTCCGACAACACCGATACGGTTCTATGTAGCACCGAAAAGCGTTCCTCTACTGAGAAAAGTTTGACACCATACACAATAGCAGAACCCTTTTCTGTGCTGTATAGAACCATATACAGCACATTCTCCATCAATCTGAAGAACCATTTCACCATGCAAAGAACCATTTAAGCATGCATCCTTGAGTGTTTGTGGTTCTATATAGTCTTTACTAAAGAACCACTGCAGAACCATCTTTTTTAAAAGTGTAGATCATCTATTGAAGTACAGTTTGTGTCAGTCTTCCTCTAGCTCCTCATCAGTGCTCTCTATCTTCTCTAGTTTTTCATATTTTTGGGTGGAGTTCCACTCTCAGCCTAGCAGCGACTTGAAATAAATGAAATATTTACTTAATTCATGATTAAATTAGCTTGTAAGCCACTAAGGAGACATGTTATTCACACCTTTGCTGTTTCCTGATCTGTTCTGTGATCTGATTGGCTGACTGTAATTTTGATAACACTTCACAGTTCTGGAGGTTTGGGAGGTGGATTGATGTTGTGATAGACGACAAACTGCCGACAATCAATGGGCAGCTCATTTTCGTGCACTGCAAGACTCGCAATGAGTTCTGGCCCGCCTTGCTGGAGAAGGCGTACGCCAAGTAGGTCCATATGCTTAATTTCCAATCATTATAAATAACTGAATAATAATAATAATAATAATGATAATGATAATAATAACAAAACAACAACAACAACAACAAAACAACAACAACAACAACAATAATAATAATAATAATGTTATATTTTTACTAATTACTGTTATATATAATATTCTAAACAACAAAAAATATATAAATTACATAAAAAATATATTTATTGGCATTATATTATTTTCTTCTTGTTATTGTTGTTATATTAATCATACACTACCACTACTAATACTTAAATACTAATACTAATACTACTAATAATCACTAATTACTATTACTACTGCTGCTACTACTACTACTAATAATAATAACAACAATGATAATAACAACAACAATAATAATGTTAAAGTTATTACTAATTACTGTTATATATAATATTGTAAACAACAAACATTATTAACAACTAACAAAAAATATATAAATTACATAAAAAATATATTTATTGGCATTATATTATTTTATTCTTGTTATTGTTGTTATTAATCATACACTACCTCTACTAGTACTTAAAATACTAATACTTAAAATAGTAATACTAATACTATTAATACTAATACTAATGCTAATTACTACTACTACTACTACTACTACTACTAATAATAATAATAATGTAATTACTGTAATATACAATATTGTAAACAACATATGTTATATTTATTGTCATTATTATTATATTATTGTTGTTATATTAATCATATACTACTACTACTACTTTAAATAGTAATCTAAAACAATTACTAATTACTACTATTATAATAATAATAATAATAATAATAATAATAATAAGCAGAAGAATCAGTATCAGTTGAGCAGTCTTAAAAAGCACATTTCGTTCTTGCCATTCTCTCTAAAATCAAAAACACTTTCTGTATCTGGGTGTGTATTATTGTTATTATTATTCATTTTTGTTATGAATTTGCTGTTTTATCATTAGTTTATTTGTTTATTTTCAGTTGTTGGTGAGTTGTGGTGTAAACTCTGTGTGATTGATTATTGTTTGTGTTTACTCAGAGTGTGCGGCTCGTACGCGGATTTGAACGGAGGGTTTGTGTCTGAGGCGCTGACGGACTTCACTGGGGGGGTGCACATGACTCTGACCCCGAGGGAGGGTCACCCTGAGCTGTGGGGACTGATGTACCGGGCAGCGCAGTACAGGTCCATCATGGGCTGTGGCACTCCACAGGGGGTAAACACACAACACACACACCTGTCTGTCCAACATGACATTCTGCTTTGCCAGATCTGTGATTTGATCTGCTAAATGAAAATGACTGATTCCTGTGTGAAGCTCAAATCTCAGTGCAGTGCCTGATGTTCCGGTGATGTACACTGGTCAGATATTTCTATTCCTCATTCCTCTTATTAACTGTATTTTCAGGCCACTCCTGCTAACACAGAGCTGCCCAATGGCATAGTGGAAGGTCACGCTTATACCGTAACAGGAGTTACCAAGGTAACACAATATCAGATCCTGGTTTTTATTTATAGACTGAGTAAATGATTGACTGACTGAGTGACTGGATGATTTATTGGTTGATTAATAACCTACAAATATTGTTATTGTCACCATAAATTCCCCAGCCACTTTATCAGAAACAAGGTAGGTGTTTCTGATAAAGTGGCCAGTTAGAGGAAGCACAAAGTGGGTGTTTCTAATAAAGTTGCCAGTTAGAGGAAGCACAAGGTGGGTGTTTCTAATAAAGTGGCCAGTTAGAGGAAGCACAAGGTTGGTGTTTCTAATGAAGTGGCCAGTTAGAGGAAGGACAAGGTAGGTGTTTCTAATAAAGTGGCCAGTTATTGGAAGCACAACGTGGGTGTTTATAATAAAGTGGCCAGTTAGAGGAAGCACAACGTGGGTGTTTCTAATAAAGTGGCCAGTTAGTGGAAGCACAAGGTAGGTGTTTATAATAAAGGGGCCAGTTAGAAGAAGCACAAAGTGGGTGTTTCTAATAAAGTGGCCAGTCAGTGGAGCACAAGGTAGGTGTTTCTAATAAAGTGGCCAGTTAGAGGAAGCACAAGGTAGGTGTTTCTAATAAAGTGGCCATTTAGTGGAAGTAAAAGGTAGGTGTTTCTAATAAAGTGGCCAGTTAGTGGAAGCACAAGGTTGGTGTTTCAAACTACTCCTTTAATCCAGGGAACTGGGGTAGTGTTGCTCTCAGTTACGACTCCTGCAGTTAAAAAAACTGTGTATGCTTCACAGGTGAAGACCGAAGATGGTCAATCAGTGAAGCTGGTGAGACTCCTCAACCCGTGGGGACACAGAGAGTGGAAGGGGGACTGGAGTGATAAGTAAGAGCTTTTCTACTATCAGAACTGTTTAAAAAATCACTGTGATCCACACCGTACATTCTCGTTTAACCTGCTGTCATGCAGTCTTTCATCATGCCTAATGGCACTGAAATGAATGTGAGTGCTTTGTCATTACTCATGTTTCTTCAGCAGCCTTTCAACAGCCTGACGTTTACGTAACATAAACACCAAACGAGGAAACTCAGGGAGTTCCATTAGTGGTTCATCTGCATTGTGAAAGATCAGAACAACATGACATGCTGAAACAACTCACACCTCTCCACATGAACAATGTGTTCTCAACATGAGCTTCTTTGGTTTTAACCACGTGAACATGAAGCTTTTAATTCAGTCATAAATCTCAAGTTTTACTAGATGAATGATATGTAAACTAAATACTATGAAAATGTTTTACATTTTTCAGCATTTAATGCAAATTATTCAGTATCTACTATGAATTATTCACTATCTAATATAAATTATTCAATATATAATATAAATTATTCAGTATCTACTACAAATTATTCATTAATTGCTATGAATTATTCAATATCTAATATTAATTATTCAGAGTCTTCAATTAATGCTTCATTAAATACTATTAATTACTCAGTATGTACTATAATTATTCACTATCTATTATGAATTATTTACTAACTACTATAAAACCAAAATCCAAATGATGTATTTTTAGGAACTGAGGCATAGTGCCAAGTACGGACTCTTACAGTTAAAGGAGAACAATTCTATAAAAGAATGTATTCAGCATTTTAATTGATCAAATTTATATCAGGTAATCTTCTAAACTCAGAAAACAAGAAGGGGAGATATTAATATTTGTATTATAGAATATGTACAAACCTCAATTCTAAAAAAAATCGGGACATTATGTAAAATTCAGATAAAAACAGAAAGCAGTGATTAGTAGATCCACCGATCTGTATTTAAATAAAAACAGGACAAACACAAGAGATTCAATGTTGTCAACTTCATTGTTTTTTTGTAATTATAGGCTCAGTCTGAAACTGTTGACTGTAACACGTTCCGAAAAATTTGGGGAGGAAATCGAAGACTAGGAATATTGTGAAAGGTTAAAAAAAACAGGTGTTGTAATTATGCTTGTGTATAAAGAGGGCATCCAGGACAGGCCAAGTCCTTTATGAGTGAGGATGGGTTGAGGCCACTTTGCCAAAAATGCATGAGCAAAAAACTCCAACAGTTTAAGAATATTGTTCCTCAGTGAGCTGATTTTAGGTATTTCACCTTCTATGGTGCATAACGTCATCAACAGATTCAGGTAATCTGGAGAAATCTCTGTGCATAACGAAAAAGGCCAAAAACCACAACTGAACACCCATGACCTTCGACCCCTCAGACAGCACTGCATTAAAAGCCAATATGTTTCTGTGATGGAGATCGTCATGGGCTCAGGAATACTTTGACAAACCGCTCTGCACAGTGGGAGTCACTTATCAATGAAGTCCAGAAACGCCGCCGACTTCTCTGGGTTAAAGCTCATCTGAAATGGACTGAGAATCAGTGGAAACGTGTACTGTGGTCTGATGAGTCACCCTTTCAGATCGTTTATGGAAATAATGGACGTTGTGTTCTCTGAGCCAGAGAAGCAAAGAACCATCCAGATTGTTACCGGTGTAAAGTTTAAAATCTAGTGTCTGTCATTGTGTGTGTGTGGGGGGGGCAGTATTAGTGGGTAACCTGTACATCTGTGAAAGCACCATTAACACTGAACACATCTTGGAGCAACATATGCTGCTTTTAGACGCCGTCTTTTGAAAACGTGCGAAATACAACAACAAAGGTCTCGTACGGTTGTGCAGATAAACACTTATATAACAGAAGAATGGCAAAAATTCTGCTTTCAACACTGGATTAGTTTGTGTCTTCAGTCCCCAAATGATCATTGATTGCCTTTAAAAGGAAAGGTGATGTGACACAGTGGTACACATGTTCCTTTCTCAACTTTTTTGGAACATGTTGCAGGCTTCAAATTTGAAATGAGTGTATTTTTACAAAAACTACATTTTATGAGGTAAAACATCAGGTATTGCGTTTTTATACTTTTTAAAAATTTAATACAGGTCAAACAAAATTTACTAAATCACTGTTTTTTCTTCAACTTTTGTAGAATTTTGTTTGTACTTTATCCTGATGTTTGTTCTACTGTGCAGTGCTGTGAATACATATTTTCAATAGTCTTTGTCATTTACATCTAAGACGGTTTCACCCTGGGGACCAATAATGTTACCCTATCCTTCATATCTTATTACACTTGTCACTCAAAGTGCAGATGAAATCTAGAGAAACCTTCATAAGGGCTGAGCTGATGTGATGAATGTAAGTGGAATGAGATCAGGTTGTCTGGTAGTATTTAAAGTCTAAGAGTTAACATGACTCTACAGGCCTGAAACGTGTGAGAGGGTTTTTTGTTCTTTTTGTTGAGGACCGAAGCTCGTGTGCTCTTCTGACGTTGTGTGTTTAACCTGTTCTTCAGCTCTCCTCTGTGGAGGATGGTCAGCACAGAGCAGCACACAAGGTTGCTGGACAGTAAAAATGACGGAGAATTCTGGTAGGTGCATAAACGTTTGTCTTTTAACTAATTTACTCATTCAATTAAATAAAAATAAAATTGCACACCACCACATTAGCTTGTCGCTACAGCATAAAACTGAAGAAGTCAACTTCAGACACCAAAAATATCTCCTGTGTGTCTCTTAAAAGTACTTGCCAAAAGTAGCCAAATTGGCTTATTAACCATCTCGCTTAGCAATGTTGACTATGTAGCTAACACTGGTAGCACTGTTGAATTGGTACAGCGTACTGTTGGGCGTGTGCACACACTCTCACCCAAACCTCTCAGTTATCAGAATCTTCCATATTCATGTAAAGCTTGAGAGTGAAAATATAACCAAAAATACATTAATTCTGTTGGCAGGCATGCTAAAAAATCGTATTAGCCACATAGCTAACAAAAAACAAACATTATTCTGCCATCTAAACATGATGTGTCTGCTTCTATTATTTGTAAGCTACATTAGCCTCATAGCCTGATGCTAATCAGTGTGGTTTAGGTTTCTATTTTGTTACATTTATGGCATTTGACAGACGATCTTATCCAGAGCGACTTACAAATTGAGCATTTTTACACAGGTAGGTGAAGGTAGTGTTAGGAGTCTTGCCCAAGGACTCTTATTGGTAGAGTGTAGGGTGATTAACCAGGTGGGGGATTGAACCCCAGTCTACAGCATAGAAGGCAGAGGTGCTACCCACTACATTATACCAATGTTAGCTACATTAGCCTCGTAACATGATGCTAATCAGTGCAGTGTAGGTTTCTATTGCTTGTGGGTTACATTAGCTTCATAGCATATGCTAATCAGAGAGATATAGGTTTCTATTACTTGTTAGCTACATTAGCTTCTTGACCTGGTGCTAGTTAGAGGGGCTTAGGCTTCTATAAATTGGTTAGCTACATTAGCTTCATAATGATGCTAGTCAGAGGGGTTTAGGCTTCTACGACTTGTTAGCTACTTGGTGCTAATTGGTGGGGCATAGGCTTGTATTACTTATTAGCTACATTAGCTTGTCGCTACAGCATAAAACCGAAGAAGTCAACTTCAGACACCAAAAATATCGTGGCTGATTGATCACAGTTGGGATAAGGTTTTTTCACTACTGCTTTAAGTGTGAAATGATTCTCATTTTTCAGGATGTCGATGGACGATTTCTGCAGGAGCTTTGCGAATGTGGACATCTGCTGTTACACCCCTGCGTTCCTGGATGGCTCGCCCCCAAACAGCTGGACCACAGCGCGGTATGAAGGATGCTGGGATGAGAGAACAGCTGGCGGCTCCATGGACCACAAACGTACTTACATACAATATAATTCAATATAATATAATCATTCCCAGCAAATTACAATTCAGACAGAGTAAAAAAGCCACAGCGTAATCAGTCAGACACAGATTTCTCTCTGACGCACTGTATAAAACGGAAAGGTAGATTTTCAAAAGATTTGAAGTGATTTGTTTCCAAATTTTGTCCAGCTTGTAAAGGGAATAAATAAAATATGATGAAAAAACTGAAAAAATGATAAGGAGGGAAAACCCCAAAACCACTACCATTTGAAATTTTAAAATCTAATATGCCATTTCTGACCAGCAGGTGGAGCAAGTTAGCCGTTCTAATCCAGAAACAGCTGAGAACTGCAGGCTTGTTTAAGCGGTGCTGATGACTGAATGAGAGGCCCAGGTCCTCCAATCAGCATAAAAAGTTACAGAAAGAGAGGAAATGACAGATTTTAGTCTTTGAGCTGAGAAAATATCTTTATTCTAACAGCGGTCAAGCACCATCTGTCAGGGTGTTTATAGTTTAACTGTAGCTACTACTGTCATCACTAAATCTGCAGTTATTGAAGGAATTCCTGTGTTGGTTCTTTTCCATTCTAGAAAGTTTCTGGACAAACCCTCAGTACCGAGTGAAGATCCCGGCGATAGAGCCAGACATGGGGCAGCCTCAGGGGCTCAACATGCTGGTGTCTCTCATGCAGAAACCTGACAACAGGCACAGAAGCCTCGCTGAGCACCTCCACATCGGCTTCAGTGTTTTTGCGGTTAGTGTCCACACATCTCATACACATTGGACAGTGTTAACCATGTAGGTCCATCAGTGCTGGGTAAAATATTTCAATACCAAAACTGATACCTAGACTTCAGGACAGATTCCTGAACGACACTGATGTCTTCTTTAAATTACAAATCAAAGGTGGGCGTGGCTTAAAGCAGAAATGAGAGAGAGGTGCTGTGAGTGGGTACATTTACTGACCACAGCCAATAAGCGCCGACGTTAATAACATGCATACGGCGTGTAATTTAGACCAGTAGCCCCAGCCCTGGCCCTGGAGGACCCCCTGACCTGCACATTTGAGTATTTTAGATTAGATTAGATTCCATTTTATTGTTATTGTGCAGAGTTCAGGTACAGAGCCAATGAAATCTTACCAGAAGTACAAAATACAGTATTATTTACACAGAAAGTGCAGAAGGACAATTCAAATATGAATAGTGCAGTAATAGACTGTGCAAATATGAATAGTGAAAAACTACCAGGACATAATGCTGCTGTTGGAAGAAAACCTTATGAGCTCTTATAATTTGTTATTAACAGTGCTTATAATGTATTATGTTAACAATTCATAATGCATAATAAACATGGCTATAACGTGTAATGCATTTTTATAAATATTTATAGCCATGTTTATAATGCCTTATGAGTGCATTATAACATGTTATGAATGTGTTTATAGATGCTTACAAAGGTGACATTCATAGAAAGTGTTACTGAAAGCCTTGTATCTTCAAAATGGTAACTTTACAGGAGAAACAAAAAACGTACTTTACTTTTAATGTAAGTCAATGGAACCAGACTTTTTTCCAAGTCATTTTGGGCCGTTTCTTTTGGTCCATTCTTCCTGAGATTTACTTGATTCCTTGAGATCAACAGGCATTTTCAAATGATGCCAAAAACTGAAAAAATGAAAAAAATGGACATACAAGGTTTTGTTTTGACAGCAGCCATAAAGTACAATAACAGTGCAGTGAGACCAATTTACTGCTCCAACACACCTGATCCAACCAATCAGCTAATTAACAAGCCCTTAATGAGTTGAAACAGGTGTATTTTGGCAGGACAACATAAAAATGTGTAAGGCCTGGGGTCCTCCAGCACCAAGGCTGGGAAACATTGATTTAGACAGCCAATCAGCAGCCTAGATTTAGGAAGAATCATGCTTTTTTGGCTGTCTGATGCTGATTAGACTATCACTATTTCAGGTATTGAGATTTGATATTGATTTGCATGGGATTTTTCAGTGCTCTGTAGTACTAATTATAGGCATTGAATATATATATATATTCAAAAATAATTCTAAATAAAAATACATTATTTTAGGTAGTCTTCTTTTTGTGTACCTGCTGGCCCATAGCTTATTGGTGGGGTAAGGGGATCAGAATGCAGGCTATGTTGCAGTGCATGCTGGGGACTGTAGTGCATCTGCATGTAGTGAAACATGCCACTAAGAACAGAAAATCAAAATAATTTTGCAGGCCAAATAGGACTGTGTCCTGTGTTTGACACATGGGCTTTAGAGTTAAACAGACTGTTTTGTGTCCTGTACGTTTAAGACTGATGCATGTAAATGAGCTCTGCTCTGACTGGCTGACACCTTCACAAGTGAAATGAGTCACACCACCTTCAAAATCCACCAAACTGTTATATTTAGTCTAAAATCCTTTGGAAAAATAAACTTCAGCCACTTCTTTTGGCTTTGGAAGGCTGCAGTGATACAGGTCCTGCTAGTAGGTGTTCAGTGTGTCTACTCTATATGTCTATTTTCTGGAGTTGTCCTGAATTTTTGTTCTCTCTTCTCTTCCAGATCCCACCCGAGGTACGTAAAGTCACCTTCACGCCGTGAGGAATAACAGTGTTCAGCCCAGCTGCGTTTATGATCATTATCTTAAATAGTTTCTCCTTTTTCAGCTTTCTATTGTTTTAAGTTTGAGGTAGACTGAGATTGTTCTGGACACTCACTCCTGCTGGCCTCTCCTCTTAATGCCTTCCTGTCTTTCTTGCTGTCTCTCTGCTGTAGATGAAAGATCAGACAGTGTTTCCAGCCTCTTTCTTCACCGCTAACGCCCTGGTGGCGCAGTCTCGGGGCAGCTCCACCACGAGGGAGGTGATGGAGTACTACAGGATAAGGCCTGGAAGATACCTCATCGTGCCCTTCACCTACAAACCCAACGAGACCACCTCATTCGTCCTGACCGTCCACTCAAAGAGAGAATAAAACACCAGCCTGATCAAGGAAGGATAAGTTTCAGGTAACAGTGCTGACACAATGGTTCACGCAGTGTGAGACCAAATATTGTCTACAGGGTTTAAATCTGGACTAGCACAGTTTCCAGCAACAGGAGTTCTATATATACGTCGTTTCAACTCATCAGCTGTCCTTTATGCTGCGTGTAAAGTTCATGATGAACGGACCAATAGAAATGCTCTAAAATCACTTGGAATAAAACCTCTTTACATGAACTTACATTGAAAGGTGAGAGTGTTTTTGGTCTCTCCTGTAAAGTTACTGTTTTGGAGATACTTGTTTTTCTTTGGACAGTGACAGTGGTATATGTGTGTGTGTGTGTGTGTGTGTGTGTGTGTGTGTGTGTGTGTGTATAATACACTGTTAATGTAAGTCAATGGAACCAGAATTTTTTCAAAGTCATTTTAGGTCATTTCTTTTGGTCCATTCGTCATGAAATTTCCATACAATGTAAAGAACAACGGGTATTTTAAAATATTGTCAAAAACTGAAAAACGTCAAAAATGGAGATACAAGATTTTCTTTCAACAGCAGCGATATATATATATATATATATATATATATATATAAAACCCTGTAGAGAATATTTGGTCTCACATTAAACACAAACTAGCTCATCAATGTTTTTTGAAGCTGTCATTGCTGAGTGGATCAATACTGACTCTTCTTTCTGTAAAACTTTAACATTTAAAGCAATCAAAGGGAATAAAAACTTATTCATTATTTCTTTTGTGAACAAACAAACAAAACTCTATATCTCCAGTTTTGTTCTTTTTCAGTTTTTGACATTTCACAGTTTATTTGGATGGTCCTCTATAGATGCTCTACAGATACTTAAATCATTACCAAACTTTCTGTGATGTTCAGTTGATTATCGACAACATTATGGTTAGAGTTAGGGTTAGAAGCAAAGGTTTTGCCTTGAGGTTAAGGTTAGGCTTAGGCATAGATTTACTAAACTCTTTCACACTGAGTTTGAAGTTCAGTTGCATTTAATGGATATTTAGTTGAATGTTACTTAAAGACCGACTGAGCATTTATAAAGCATCTACAGTCGACCGTCCAAATAAAGTTACTAAGTTTTTTTCCTTCTCCTGTAAAGTCATCATTTTGGAGATCCAACTTTTGTTCTAACAGCAGTGATAAATATACAGTAGTGTGTAAGTAAAAGAGCTTATAAACTCTCTGACCCCAGGACAGTCAGACCCTGGAACACTGTCAGCAGTTACATTTTAGTTATTACTGATATATAAGGCAGCTGCCCAAACTTGTATTAATGTTATGTGTCTTTAAACTTTCACAGGAGTGAACAGGAGCACTGATGGACTGACGACTGTAGCCACAATCGTCTTCTATCAACAATTTCATATTTTGTAGCATGAAAGAAAAAAAAGAATCACTATCTCAAGAAGAATGGTGTCAGTTGTAGATTTTGGTTTTGTTATTTTATTTATTTATTTATTTTGTTTTATTTTTGTCCACTTCCAGATTTGTTGGTATGAATGAAGTCAAATCAAAATTGCTGTTTTTGCTGAAAATTCAAGCTGTGTGATTTGACTTACTATGTAAGACAGGATACGAGATTATACATCCTGTCATACAGATCCTGGAGAATTATGAAAGTCATTTTGGAAATCATCCATTGTTTACTGTTTTATTATTTGTTTATGTTGTGTTGGCACTCAGCTGTCTCATATTTAAAAACTGATTAAATCATGAAGGAGTCGAAGCACGTCTGTGATTTTCTTTATGTGTTAATCAGGCACTGCTCTCCTTAGTCAGCGAAGATGTTGAAGGAAATAGCGTTATTCCTTTAGAGGGAATTATAGGCTGAAAAAGTCTCGGAAATGGAGTTGAACTGGTGTAGCTTCAAATACTGCATGCAGTAATTAATAATTAATAGGTTTGATAGAAATGTATTAATGTTAGATAAAACCGTAATTTAGCTGAAATAATTCTTAAATAAATTAGATATGAAAGATTTCATATTAACCTCATCTTGGAACATATCAACACATACACATTTAAAATTATGTATATAGTATTTAATTTATAGAGAGATATTATACAGCTTTAGTTCACTCTGTAAACGGTTAAACTCAACATTTAATATGATCTAGAAGTTAATGGGTTATTTTTTCATGGAATTGCAGGAACAAGCTGAAAATACTGATAAACTATATATATATACACACACAGTCAGCTCCATTTTATCAGCACTCTTGGTAAGACAAGTAAAAAGGTCAAGCAAACACTGAAAAAAATATTCTCACACTGAAAATGTTAAGCACCCTTTTGCTCACTGAACAGCACAGAGTCTCCTCCCATAATGCTTAAAGAGATTGGAGAACCTAGAGCACTCCTCAATACAGAACCTCTACAGAACCTCCAGGGTCCTAAGTTCTCTCTTTTGGACTCCCTTCTTCAGCTCACCCCTCAGGTCCTTAATGGGGTCAGCGGACTTGAATGGCCATGTCAGTAGCCTTATTCTGTGGTCACTCAACCATTTTGTGTGGAACATTTGGACGTATGTTTGGGCATCATTGCTCTTCTGGAAGATTCTTTTCAGTTCTTTTGTCTCATCTGATCCGGTTCCAGTCAAAGTTCCAGTATTTGATCATATAGTCACATCGGTTTTATGAAAGAAGCAGCATTCTTCTGGCACACCTTAAAAAGTTAATCCTACAGTGCACAGTGTTCCCTTGGGGTAACAAAGCCATTTCCCAGTGAAATTATACATACACTGACATGCCTAAAGTCATGGAGAACCACCCACAGCTCTGAGGTGTTTGTAGGTGCAGGATCTCTGGTGTGAGTGGACCTCTTGATTGGGGTGAGCTTGAAGGCCACACCATTCTTCTTAACTCTCCAGAATGATCCTTAAACCAGTTCTGGACAACTTGGACTCAATGGCACGGTGCATTATTCTGCTGGAATATCGCATCATTGTGGGATACATGAAGTCCATGAAGGGCTGCAGATGATCACCAAGCAGTGAAACGGTCAATGACATGTTCAGGCAGACCAGTGGACCCAACCCATGCCATGAGAACACACCCCACACCAGTATGGAACCACCACCAGCCTGCACAGTACCTAGTTGACAACTGGGGTCCATGGTTTCATGGGGTAAAGGGTTAACTGGTCTTCTTTATAGGCCTATTTCAAATCTTCCCTTTTTATCAAAAATTTTAGAGAAAGCCGTGGCAAAACAATTATGTTCCCATCTGCATAGGAGTAATATATATGAAAAATTTCAGTCTGGCTTCAGGCCTCACCATAGTACCGAAACAGCGTTAGTGAAAATTGTAAATGATCTTTTATTATCCGCTGACAAAGGAAACATATCCCTACTGGTTCTACTTGATCTTAGTGCAGCTTTTGACACAATAGACCATTCCATTCTATTAGACAGGCTTGAGAAACTAGTAGGAGTGACAGGTAAAGCTCTTTCGTGGTTCAAATCTTACCTTAGTGATCGCTTTGAGTTTGTTAATGTAAATGGTGAACCATCGGCTCTCACAAGAGTAAAGTATGGTGTTCCACAGGGCTCTGTCTTAGCACCCATATTATTTACCTTATATATGTTACCACTAGGTACAATCATTAGAAAACATGGCATCAGTTTCCACTGCTATGCCGATGATACACAACTGTATATTTCAGCTAAACCAGAGGACAAAACTGAACTTAATAAGATAGAGGACTGTGTACAAAGACATTAAAGACTGGATGTCAAGCAACTTCCTTTTACTAAACTCGGACAAAACCGAAGTTCTTCTTCTTGGTCCAAAAGCTGCTAGGGATAATCTGCCTACGTTTACTCTTAATCTCGATAGTTTTCTCAATTGCACCAGGCACATCTATAAAAAGTCTTGGTGTCGCGATTGATCCCAGTCTGGCCTTCGATGAGCATATTACCAGTATTACCAGAGCAGCTTTCCTCCACCTGCGTAACATCGCTAAACTAAGAAATGCACTGTCGCTACAGGATGCAGAAACGTTAGTTCACACCTTCATCACGTCCAGGTTAGATTACTGTAACGCTCTGCTTTCTGGTTGTTCCAGCCAAAACCTTAACAAGCTTCAGTTAGTCCAGAACGCTGCAGCCAGAGTTCTCAGCTAAACCAGGAATTCGACCACATTAGCCCAATTTTGTGTACCTTACATTGGTTGCCAGTTAAATTCCGCATGAGTACAAAATTCTTCCTGCTGACGTATAAAGCTCTGAATGGCCTTGATCCTCAGTACCTCAGTGACCTTATTTCCTACTATCAACCGACACGCCCACTTAGATCACAAGGTGCTGCTCATTATTAGTACCCAGAATAAATAAAGTTGCGTCAGGGGGAGGAGCCTTTTCATACAAAGCCCCCCAGCTTTGGAAAGCCTACCAGTCTGTGTTCGGGACTCAGACACAGCCTCCATCTTTAAGTCAAGGCTAAAAACTTACCTGTTTAGTCGAGCTTTTGGTTAATTTGTTTTCCTGTTAGATTAAGGCGCAGATCTGTCCGACGGTAATCTGGGAATGTTGGTGCTGAACTAAGTATCCTCCCCCCCTTCCCCCCCGTCCCCCTCCCCCTCTCTTTCCCTGAGCTGAGCGGCTGCCTGTCCTAAGAGGGTCTGACCTGAGATGCGGCCGGCGCACTGCACAGTGGTGTTAAACTGTATCCACTTATACTGTTTTGTGTCTGTGCTGTTATCCGGTGTCGACCAGAGGAGGATGGGTTCCCCTTTTAAGTCTGGTTCCTCTCGAGGTTTCTTCCTCCTGTTGAGGGAGTTTTTCCTTGCCACTGTCGCTGAGGCTTGCTCACTGGGGGCGTGGACCCGGATTCTTTGTAAAGCTGCTTTGTGACAACATCTGTTGTAAAAGGTGCTATATAAATAAATTTGACTTGACTTGACTTGACTTCTAGGGTCCAGTTAGCAACCTCACGAGCCCACGAGTTGCCGTGTCCAGTGTTGTGGTGTTAACAGAGGCACTCTGGTGGGTCTTCTGCTCTCATATCCCATTGAAGCTAAAGAAAGCCCCGATAAAATGGTCACTATATCTCTTGGTGGGCATGTTTAACTCAGTTATGATGCATGGTGCAGCTTCTGGATGGCGCATGTTTCTGCACTCGTGCAATTTTCTTCAGAAAAGCAATTTTCATCGTTTTACCTCCATCAGAAATATGATTAAATGATTCCGATCTGTTGGAGTGTGAAGTTATTTCTTTATTAACATTCAGTATCTTTGAGGGTGACAGGAATCGGTAGGTTCTTTTTGCAGATTTATTGGGGTGAAAACTAGTAAAAGCCACAGAGCAAAGACCAGAATCATGTTCACAGGCGAAGAGTCAAAAAAACAAGAATTCAGTCCAACATGGGCATCAGTAACAAAAGCCTTTAGGCTAAATTGTGAATCATAAGGCAAGCAGAGCCAAAACAGGAGAACAGAAGACTCAGAACTTCACACAGGAACAGGTAAGACTTCACAGCTTTACTGGGAAAACACCCAGTATAAACAGACAGGATGAGTCTGAACAGTCCACAGGTGAGGATGATCAGTAACTATGCAATACAGTTAGTGCTCTGGGCAAACTGACCTCTGGTGGTGAGTACAAGGTGTGCAGGGACCCCATCTAGTGGGCTGCCTGAGTAACTGCAGGGCAGACTTAACACATCTTTGTCATGAGAAACTGCTCAAACATGCTCGTTGCCTAGAAGCAACATTAGCAGTAGAATGGATTCAGCCAGCAGTAAATGACGAGTCAGTCATGAGCCACTTTGAGAGAGCACTGACGTTATTGTTTAGGTTTGATTTAGAATTAGTTTAATGTTTTGTTTATTTAGGAAATCAAACATAATGATTTAACACTTATGGAACATTATTGTAAAGAAGCCCATCCCAGTAATTCTTGTCATGTTGCAGTTACTAAGCAGTATGTTTACTGGTGTCATCAGTAGTTTTTGCTTTTCTCATTACTTGAAAATTATTTGATTTTTTTAATTTTTGTTTTAAAAAAGGAACATATTAGTATTTAAAGATGAACAAATTGTGTATTATGCCAGTTATGTATATGTATAATTTTTTTATAAAAATTTTGTTTTTCATATATACAGTAAAGGTGGGCATGTTGCCATCTGTCTCCTTTCTGGGTTGAAAAGTCTGTGCAAAAGAGAAGTATAAAGAGGAGTTGTATTGAGTTTGCATTGCTCTCCCTTTAAAAATATTGGATAATGACATTGGCCCACATTTCTCATATCTGTGCATCTCTAACTGTGAGACAAACTTGGTTTAAATTATTATTATAATTACTGCAGTGGATGAAATGTCAGGATATCTCAGGCTGGGCAAAAGTTTCTGGACAAACCCTCAGTACCGAGTGAACAGCACCCAGTTATGGCACATTTTATATTTCATTTTTCCCAATATGTGAAACTCAGCAAACAAATAGAAATTGTGCACTAAAATTAGCGAACTGTTTATCTTACTTAAGTGTGTTCTCAGTAGAACATGTTTTAACTTATTTTCACTCAGAAAATCAGGGGTGTCCATCCTCACATTGCTTATTAGGAATGTAACTGTTAGTAATGTAAAGTTGGTGCGAGTAAAAGAGCTTTAGAAATCACAGTGTCTGACTTAAAGACAGTCAGGCTCTGAAATATGATAACTAATTGTTACTTATACATTTTAGTTACTACTGATATGTAAAGCAGTCGCCCAAACTTGCATTAATGTTATGTATCTGTAAACTTTGTTCACAGACTGACAACGGTGCGGCCCTTTGTGTTGATGTGTTTGTTACTCAGTGGTCTGCTGGACCCACAACATTATTGTTTGTTTAAATCAATAGAGCTGTTTATATCTCAAAAATACTTTGAGATATAAAAATAAAGTTCTCTTAATCTTAAAAATCCAGGAATGCATTAAAGTAAGCTAAAAGTTAGCTGGCTAAGCCATAAATCCTGCTTTCTGAAGCAGAACCCCAGAGATCCACTGTCCTGCAGAGTTTAGTTCCAACCTACATCCAAAGCTGCCCTGCCTTATCTAACACCACCGCATCTGATCCAGACAATCATCTGATGCATCCGATCCAAATGAAGAAGGTCTCCTGGACCAGGGCTGGTGACCACTGATTCAGAGAAGATACCTAATTCTGAATAACTCTTCTTCTTTCTCCTCTAGTTTTTGTCTCATTCTCTCTATCTCTTCCTCTTGCCACTGCAGTTTCTGTTTCTGTCTGTCTCTCTCGTACTCTAGCTCCTGCCTTATTCTCTCCATTTGATAACCTCTCTCTTCTATCTCTTCATCTTTCTCTTCCAGTTCTCGCCTCATTCTCTTTATCTCTTCATCTTTCTCTTCTAGTTTCTGTCTCTTTCTCTCTCTCTCTTCATCTTTCTCTTCTAGTTTCTGTCTCTTTCTCTCTATCTTTGCCTCAAGCTCCTGCCTTATTCTCTCCATTTCTTCACCCTTCTCTTCTATCTCTTCATCTTTCTCTTTTAGTTCTCGCCTCATTTTCTCTCTCTCCTCATCTTTCTCTCCTAGTTTATGTCTCTTTCTCTCTATCTTCTGATCAAGCTCCTGCCTTATTCTCTCCATCTCTTCATCCTTCTGTTCTATCTTTTCATCTTTCTCTTCTAGTTCTTGTTTCATTCTCTCAATCACTCTGTCCCTCTTCTCGAGTTTCTGCCTCATTCTGTCCATCTCCTCATCTCCTTCCTCTAGTTCTTGTCTCATTTTTTCTATCTCTTCATCTCTCTTTTCTAACTTTTGTCTCTTTCTGTCTATCTCATCTTCCCTCTGTTCTAGCTCCTCCCTCATGATCTCCATCAGGCTCTCGTTCTCCTCTTGCCGTATTCTCTCCATCTCTCGATCCCTGTCTTGCAGTCTTTGTCTCAGGCTTTCCATCATGTTCTCCATCTCTTGTCCTTTAGTTTGGGATTTTTCTGCACCTTCTCTTCAGGAAGAATCCACACTGAGTCAATCTACAGCCTCTGTAAACAATCAGAGAGAAAAATAACAGGACTAAAAATAAGTTATACTTCCAGTGCAAGATTTAAAAACTACACCAGTATTACTTTAAATATTCTTGTTCAATCCTATAGTCTCACCTGATAAAGCCTATAAGCCTATAAACCTGATAAGGCCTAGCTATAATAGGCACACTGTGTACAAATCAGTTTGGGCGCAAAACAGAAACATACGGCCACTTGATTAAGTCCATCTCCTTGTGTCTACAGTCAGTGTCCATTTTATCAGCTCCACTGACCAGATAGTTTCACTTTGTAGTTCTACAGTTACAGACTGTAGTCCATCTGTTTCTCTGATACTTTGTTAGCCCCCTTTTACCCTGTTCTTCAGTGGTCAGGACCCCGCATGGACCCTCACAGAGCAGGTACTATTTGGGTGGTGGGTCATTCTCAGCACTGCAGTAACACTGACGTGGTGGTGGTGTGTTAGTGTGTGTTGTGCTGGTATGAGTAGATCAGACACAGCAGTGCTGCTGGAGTTTTTAACAGTGTCCACTCACTGTCCACTCTATTAGACACTCCGACCTTGTTGGTGTGAGGTCCAGGTTTGATGAGGTGGCACAGGTTGGCAGTACCTGGCAATGTTGTATCGCCAGCAAATCAATAAAGGAGGTGTGTTGTCTTTCTCCTTTCCTACATCAAAGAGAAGAAAACAGTGAGAAAAGAAAATAACGTAAGTAGGGATGCACAACGATTTCTTAATCATATCAGTATCCACCTGTTTTGCATTAGCTGAGCTATGCAATACTTTTTTTCCTTTTGTTCATGAAACATATTTAATCCACAAGTATATAAAGATATATATCTACAAGTGAACTGGATTTTCGTCTTTGTAGGTGAGCAACATTTGACATGACTGATATGAAGAAAGCTGGAGGTATCTGTTTTATCTCAGCACAGCTGTCTTTGTGAAGAGGTGTTAATAGTTTTTCACAGCAGGGGGTTCTCACCCCTCCCCTTCCCCCCTCATTGCTCACTAGCAGCTCAACACAGAGTCACAACACACAGAGAGGCAACAGAGTCCTAGTTCATCTGTTAACCGAGCCAGCAGAATGGCCACTAGGGGGCCTGTAGAATGAAATTTAAACATATCAGCTTTGGACAGAGGTTTACTTTAAGTCCTTTTGTTTAGAGAAACATAAACAATCACTTTAAACACCATTTAAATCAAGGATGCAGAACTCCAGTCCTGCACAGTTTGGTGGTTTTCCTACTCAAACACATCCGATTCAACACAGCAGCTGTTTGCCAAGTTCAGTAGTATGTTAACAAGAGGAAAATCACCAAACTGCACTGGCCACAGACCCTACAGGACTGTGGTTTGCCACCTCTGATTTAAACAGTGATAAAAAAGTATGGCAACACTTTCTATGAATGTCACGCTTGTAAGCATCTATAAACACATTTATAACATTATAATGTATTCATAAGGCATTATAAACATGGTTATAAATATTTATAAAATGAATTACACTGAATTACACTTTATAGCCACATTTATTATACATTATCAGTGCCAAAGAAGTCAGTCCCAGCTTGGAGAGCATAAAGTAAAGACAAATTCAAAGTTTATTTACACCCTGAGATTTCCAGTATTTTATTTCATCATTATTAGAGCTGCATCTTCAGGGCTTCAGTCCTGAATATTCAGACGCTCCAAACTGGCTGTCCAGCCTAGAATCACTGCTACAGTGAGCTTTTCTTATCCAGCGTCTCACTTTAAACACAACACTACATCACAGTAAACTAGGTACCCATCAGCCCCTCCCCTGACCCCCTCTGACATCACAATGAGTGTGAAGTCACTGTGGAGTGAAGGCCTGGAGAGGGAGAGGTGAGATAGTAGAGTACTGTCACTGTAATTTGTTCCCTCACTGGTTCTAATGTCAAGCACTAGAACCCTTCACTCTGTATCATCACTATACTACAGTACAGTAATGCTAATCTCTGCTAGCGTTCTCTTTGATATGCAGTGTTAAGTTAGCGCCAAGCTAACGGTGGTGTACATTACCTTTCCCACATTGGGTAAAACACTGATGCAGCTCTAGTTTAAACTCTGACATTTGAAGCCTGTAATGAGCTTTACTGTGAATGTTTTAGTGTTTCAGTAAATCCTTCAGTAAATACTTCAACTGGAAGCCTCACTCTGAACACTGGAGGAGGCTTTAGTACAGTACGCTTCACTTTACTTAGAGCGGACAAATACTGAGCTCTTATAATTTGTTATGAACAGTACTTATAATGCATTATGTTAACAATTCATAATGCATAATAAATGGCTATAACGTGTAATGCACTTTTATAAATATTTATAGCCATGTTTGTGATGCTTATGAATGCATTATAACATGTTATGAATGTGTTTATAGATGCTTACAACGTGACCCATAGAAAGTGTTACCTGGAGGTCCCCACACAGTTGTATTTAACAGTTTGAGTGCCCCTGGTCACATCCTCTACAGAAAACACTTCTGCTCATTTCAGTGCACAATTACTGTTATGGCACTGTAATATTTAGGGCTCAAGGCAGCCTGAATTACTTTTTTGTTTCCATATATAGCCACTTGGGTCTATTAATAGTAAGCTAAACGTCCATGACATCAACAGATTTTTTTTTTGTTGCATCATTCAGTATTGCCTGAAGCACTGTTCTTCAGTGGTCAGGACCCCCATGGACCCTCAGAGAGCAGGTACTATTTGGGTGGTGGATCATTCTCAGCACTGCAGTGACACTGACGTGGTGGTGGTGTGTTAGTGTGTGTTGTGCTGGTCTGAGTGGATCAGACACAGCAGTGCTGCTATTGGGAGGTGTCTGTCCTAAACCATAACCTCTAAATTTACACTGTCAAAATAATACTTACATTTTTTTAAATATTTTGATTTATCTCAATTTTAATTTTTAAACAAAAAAAAAACTTGTTCAAAAAATTGCTGTCCCACATTTTCATCACTACAGAAACATAAAGAGTTTAAGTATGTAGGCGGGGCTTATTTTAGCCACACCCCTGCATTTTAGAGCAGGAAGTGAGGCTGCATCCCTGTCCCTCATGGCCACATGGTGAGCAGTTAGATCCCATTGTTTTGAAGTAAATGAGTCCCAAAGTCTGAAAATCAGTGTGGAACATTAAGAATCGTCATATTTTCTGCAGTTCAGCACTTTTTAGTGTTTTAATGTAGAATATGATGATTTTCTGTGTGAACAGCTGTTCAGAGCTGTGTTTGCTGAGTTTTTGAGCTCTAAATTAGCTAAAATGGTCACAAAAACAGTCACTACTGACACATTTGGTAAAGTTTAGGTAGAGTAATGATTTTTTGGTAGTGACAAAAAGGAATGTTCAGTCATTAGTTTTGATAAAATAAACATAATTAATGTTTAGAGTCACTCAAAGCAAAAGGATTTAGTCTGAAGTCCCAAATGTGTTTCAGTTCTGACTTTGAAGATAAATATATCTGGATTATTGTAATGATCCAGATATACTTAACCTTACCCATTTGTTTTTGGCATGTGGCCCTCCCAAGTAAACTCCAACTCTGAGAGGAATGGTGGTTATATTTTACAATAGTTTCACGCATCCCATGGATATCTGTTTACTCGTTATTTCTACCTCTCAAAGAAAGAATGCTCTCAGTGAATGCAACTTCACCCACTAGCATCTAACATTAACCTAAATGCAAACCTAAATTCGATTATTTATTATTTTAAAACACTGAATAGTGAATATGTTATGCTGGAGGTTGTGAAGGGCCTGTTCCATGGATGAGATGCATTATGAATAAGTGAGAAAAATAGATATCAGGGCTGTCTGTAGTGTGGATAGAAGCCAACTGGTGAGGTATGTAAATATAAAGAAAAGACATGAGGGGCCAAATAAAGATAATAGGGAGTCCTGTTGCTGCAGCCCCCCTGCAGAATGGGCCCCAGTAGTTACTCCACTGATTCTTAATTAGTAGGATCACACTCCTGGGTAATCCAGGATAACCTGATGTGGTTGACAGGGCAGCACAGAGAAATATCACGCAATGGGGAGTAAACATTGAGTGTGTTTACATGACCATAATAATCCGATAACTTAATAACATGCACTTGAGTAATCAGATAATGGGGAAACTCCAGGTCAACATGAGTCAGACAGTAATCAGATTTCTGCTTACAACCAGCCAATAAACTCACAGAAGAAGACGAGATGTAAACGTAACATAAAACTCGAACTTCATGCCACAACTTTTTTTTTAAAAACATCGCACCACTTTACCTGAAAATATGAACGTACATCATCTACAAGATGAAGAATATTTAAATCCTTCATTTCATGTCTGCTCACTTATTTCCGGTCCCACCATCTGTTTTCACACATGCTCAGACTGAGAAATGCGAAAGAAATCAGAGTAAGAGTTTACAGCACTGAGAAATCTGATTACTGAGCTAAAATCCAGCCTCTTTATCAGATTTCTTAATCAGATTTCTAGACTTTACTCCGATCTAAGAAATCGGAGTGTGCTGTTTACGTGAACATTTGAATAATCAGATAACTGTAGAAATCTGATTATGATCAGATTATTGAGTGTAAACGCACTCAATCAGATTTTAAATTTAAGTTTTGATTTAAAATTAAGTTTTAAGCTTTTTGGTCCTCTCTAGTCGTGCGGTGGGAAACATTGGTTTGTTTTTATCTACAGGGCCCTCCCCAGCCACATGCCATATTATATCAAATGGTACATTCTTAAAAATGAGGGTTCTTCAAACGTTATTTAGTAAAGAAATTGGTTCTATATCGAACCATGAACACCCAAAGTAGCTGCTGCATGAATAAAGGGTTCTTTGCATTGTGAAGGGTTCTTCAGAATAGCGGCAGAATGTTTGGAGAATGTGCTATAGATCATTCTATATAGAAACTTTTTGAAAAGGGTTCTATATAGTACCAAAAACGGGTTCTTCTACTGTAACAAGCTTGGCATCGTAACAATAGCCGAACCCATTTTCAAAAAGGTTCTATATAGAATCATCTACAGCACATTCTCCATCAATCTGAAGGAGCTTTCACGGTGAAAAGAACCCTTTAATCATGGAAAGGGTTCTTGGAGTGTTCATGGTTCAATATAGAACCACTTTCTTTACCAAAGAGCTCTTAAAGAACCCTCATTTTGAAGAGTGTATTTATGAGACCCACTCAAATGACTGGATTACCTGTCAGTTTTCTGTTATTAGCCACAGAGCATGAGTGAACTGGAGTTCACTACAGGACCCTGTAAAGCTCCGCCCACTGGTGTCACTGTCCATATTAAACTTTTAATCTCTGACCAGCTCCACTCAGCCTGACACTTTTATTTGATGTTCGTTCCTTTCTGCTCTATTTTATTTTATTTTATTTTATTTTTACTCTTTTAATGCAAGCCTTTTATTTGGTGTTGACTCTTTTCCAGTTCCATTTAATTCAGTGTTTTATTAAATATTGTAATCCTAAGAGATTTACTTTTCTTATTGCTTATTATGTTATTTGATTGTTTTATTTACTTTTAACTTGTTTTCACTACATATTTGTTTTGCTATTTTATGCCTGTTTTCTTATTTGAGCTGATATTTTTAATTTTCTTGATAATATAAATGAGATTTTGATTTGTTTTAGTTAACAAATGTTATTTTAACTTTCTTCAATCCCTGTTTAACTTGCTCAATGTACTTCCAAGTCAAAGTAAGGGTTGATTGATTGGTCCCACTTTATATTAAGTGTCTCTAATAACTGTGTAGTTACATGTGAACAACATATGCAACAACAATGTAACTACTAATTTTGTCACTGTTACAGATGGATTACAGAACTGCACCTTATGTAATTACATGTGTATCAACTTCATTTTTGCCTCATATAATTACACAAGGGTAATAACATAAATGTAATTACATTTGTAATCAGACTGGAACAGCATTTTTTTTCCCAGCAGTAAAAGGAAGCATCTAATAACGGACATTGAGGCATTACTTACACTGTATCTGCCAGCTTTCCTAACATTTAGCGAGTGTTTATGTTGCTAGTGCTGTGGCACTGTAACCAGTTTCAGCTTTAAACCATTCTGTAATGTGACAGAACAGCAGATGACCCCTTATATTAAAACTTAACATTTATGACATTAATTAAATGTGTTGCATTACCTCCAAAGCAATGTCTATATTACCACTCCGTTATTACACAGTACCTACATAATAACTACACAGGAACCGTCCACTTATTTTAAAGTGTAACTTTAACACTACACTAGTCAGTTCCTGTGTAGAAGATACACTTGTGTAATTACATAGGCTGTACTTCTGTAATCCATCTGTAACATTACTAAATCATCAGTAGTTACAGTGTTGCACATGGTATTCATTTGTAACGATACGGTTATTAGAGACACTTAATATAAAGTGGGACCGATTGATTGATTGATTGACTGAAGCTTTCAAATGTATCACACTTGCAAGTGATTTTGTACAGTTTCCCTCTTCAGCAGTGTTGCAGGAGCAGAAGATGTATAGAAATGTTTTTGTTTTGGCCATAAGCACTTTCAGAAATGTTACCTTGCAGTGAAGCTGAGATAGGTATCTGTGGTCTTACAGTCTAAGAAGCAGTACCTGAAAGTTAAAGATTTCTCATCCCCACCTCCACACGCTATCAGCCCCCACTGTGTCATGCCTTGTTGTGAGTACAGCACATGCAGTCCTTCATTTTTACCTTTCTGTTCTCCTCCTCCCTTGTGGCTCGATCCAGTGCTTCAAGATGAAACTTGCTGAAAAAAGACACTGACACTTTCAAATACAACTACAAATACAACTCTAAACAATGCTGCCTTTTATAGGACGACTGCAGCACACTTGGATGCCTTGGAAGATATTTCCTCGATTCAGAAGCAAGTTCAGTTTCGTTTACTCGGAAATCCCTCCTTCCTGCTCTGACTAGACGTGAGTGAAGTGCAAAGGTGGGTCATTCAGGCCCAGACAGTAAAAAATCTTCTCCAGGATTTTATTTTACAACTGCACATTTCTGCTGCTGGTTTAAGCTAACCAGAGAAGTCAGGCAGTTGAAGGAATTTTACTCTCTGGACCTGAACTACCCACCTCTAGTGAAGCCATTCAGAGTTACAGTGGTGGACGAAGTACACAAATCATCTACTTGAGTTAAAGTAGAAGTTCCTCCCTTTAGACCTCCACATGAGTACAGAAGCAGACATGGAAACATAATTTTCAATTCATGTTTTCCATTCAGTAATGCTGATGGAAATGTGATGTTTTTCTGATATTCTGCTCCAGGAACCTTGTGCATCATAAACTTTGTCAAGTTGCAAGATGTTTTAAAGCATGATAACTGTCCAAAACAGTCCTTTAGCTCTACACTAAAACTATCCTTCACATGGACTCAATGGCCACCTAAATACCAAAACAAAACTTATAGTCCAGAGCACACCAGCCTTCATCCTAGAGATCTACCTAACTGCAGTTAGGTTCAACTTCCTGGAGCTCTACTTAACTGCAGAGGTTAGTTTCAACCTCCTGGAGATCTACTTAACTGCAGACATTAGGTTCAACTTTCTGGAGATCTACTTAACTGCAGAGGTTAAGTTCAACCTCCTGGAGATCTACCTCACTGCAGAGGTTAAGTTCAACCTCCTGGAGATCTACCTCACTGCAGAGGTTAGGTTCAACCTCCTGGAGATCTACCTCACTGCAGAGGTTAGGTTCAACCTCCTGGAGATCTACTTCACTACAGAGGTTAGGTTCAACTTCCTGGAGCTCTACTTAACTGCAGAGGTTAGGTTCAACCTCCTGGAGATCTACTTAACTGCAGAGGTTAAGTTCAACCTCCTGGAGATCTACCTCACTGCAGAGGTTAGGTTCAACCTCCTGGAGATCTAATTAACTGCAGAGGTTAGGTTCAACCTCCTGGAGATCTACTTAACTGCAGAGGTTAGGTTCAACCTCCTGGAGATCTACCTCACTGCAGAGGTTAGGTTCAACCTCCTGGAGATCTACATAACTGCAGTTAGGTTCAACCTCCTGGAGATCTACTTAACTGCAGAGGTTAGGTTCAACCTCCTGGAGATCTACTTAACTGCAGAGGTTAGTTTCAACCTCCTGGAGATCTAATTAACTGCATAGGTTAGGTTCAACCTCCTGGAGATCTAATTAACTGCAGAGGTTAGGTTCAACCTCCTGGAGATCTAATTAACTGCAGTTAGGTTCAACCTCCTGGAGATCTACATAACTGCAGTTAGGTTCAACTTCCTGGAGATCTACCTAACTGCAGAGGTTGGGTTCAACCTCCTGGAGATCTACCTAACTGCAGAGGTTAGGTTCAACCTCCTGGAGATCTACTTAACTGCAGTTAGGTTCAACCTCCTGGAGATCTACCTAACTGCAGAGGTTAGGTTCAACCCGCACATAATCACCACCTTCACTCCTTCACTAACACTGAAGCATCTGATTTAGCCAATCAAGAACATCTGAAGAAGATAATAACAAAAACCAGGAGGTGCAAAGTCAGGAGAAAAGAAGGCTGAGTGCTGGTTGGTTAACATTACTGATACTGAGCACTGATTGGTTGGCATTACTGCTACTGAACGTTGACTGGTTAGCATTACCACTACTGCGTGCTGATTGGTTAGCATTACAGCTACTGAGTGCTGATTGCTTAGCATTTATGCTACTAAGTGCTGATTGGTTAGCATTACTGCTACTGAGTGCTGAATGGTTAGTATTACTGCTACTGAGTGCTGATTGGTTAGCATTACTGCTACTGAGTGCTGATTGGTTAGCATTACTGCTACTGAGGACTGATTGGTTAGCATTACTGCTACTCTGTGTTGATTAGGTAGCATTACTGTCACTGAGTGCTGATTGGTTAACATTTAAGCTACTGAGTGCTGATTGGTCTGCATTACTGCTACAGAGTGTTGAGGGGTCTTTACTAAAGAAAATGGTTCTTTACAGAATCAAAAAGGGTTCTGCTATTGATATGATGTCAAGCCTGGGACAACAGAAGAACCATTTAACCATACAAAGGGTTTTTGAGTGTTCATTGTTCTATATAGAACCATTTTTGTTGTTGCCGGAATTAAAAAGACAAGAGAACTTATGAAGGGTGACATTTTAGCACTGACTGACAAAGAAGACCATAATGCAGTTGGACATAGACACCAAATACAAGACTGGACACCATGACTGGACACAGAAACAGTTCAGACTGACTCTTTTATTACTCCTAACACTGGTGAGGTAAGCCCTGCTGATCTCCATTGCATAATATATTATTAACACACAGGAGGCGTGATGTAATGTACAAACAACGCTTTTTCAAAACTCAGGAGACCGGTCCGACAATAACAAATCTGTACTGGTCTGTAAGGGGAAAGTGTGGAGCCGCATGCACTGTACAGCCCGAAATGCAAAAACTGCATTGTGGCTGCTCGGCACCCCACGGTTCCCTCTCTAAGGAACCCAAAACTCGTTGGATGGATGTAGGAGAATTTGTAACTCGCTGCGAGATTCTCCGGTTGGAGAATGGTCCAAGATCTACAAGCGGTAAATAAAGCTGTAATTCCTCGAGCACCAACTGTGCCCGACCCCCACACCCTGCTCAATGATCTGCTTCCTGAAAACAAGTTTTTTTTACTGTTGTTGACATAAGCAAAGCCTTTTTCTCCATTCCTGTGCATGAAGATAGTCAGTTTTGGTTTGCGTTTACCTTCAAACAAAAGAGGTTCACTTATACTCGTATCCCACAGGGGTATAGCGAAAGTCCTACCATTTTCTCAAAGGCCATGTCTGCTAATTTAGCTAAATTTATACCTCCATGCTCAAGCCAAATTTTGCTGTAGGTAGATGAGATATTGCTTGCTAGTCCTGATGAGGACTCGTGTTGGACTGACAGAGTAGCCCTTCTCCACTTCTTGGCGGAGAACGGCCACAAAGTCAGTAAAGACAAATTGCAACTTTGCAAGACAGAAGTGAAATATCTTGGCCACATTCTCTCCCATGAGGGCAGGCACATAGACGAGGCCCGTAAAAGTGCTAATCTCCAGGCGCCTAAACCTGAGACAAAACGACAAATGATGTCTTTTCTCGGCATGGTTAATTATTGCCGTAGTTGGATCGCTAATTATGCTGAGATTGTAGCCCATTGACGGACCTCATCTACTCTAGCCCCATGGCAGCCCATGACAGCCTCCTCTGGACTCCCGAAGTCGAGGACACTTTTATTCGTATTAAGCAATGCCTTAGCCACCAGCTGCTGAACTTATTGTTTTAACTGAGGCATGTAAGCTCGCGAAGGGTAAGTCCGCCGTAATCTGGACGGATAGTAACTACGCCTTCTCTACGGTTCACATTTTTGCCTAGCAATGGCAAAACAGAGGCAAATCAATTAACCACAAACAACTTATCCTAGACCTTTTAGACTCCATTCAATTGCCTAAGCGTCTCGCTGTTTGTAAGTGTGCTTCTCACACACACCACGATGACCCTGTCTCTAAGGGCAACCACAGAGCTGATGCGGAAGCGAAGCGGCTCACATCCTCTCTCTCAGTTCCGACACACACACACACACTTAAATGAGGAAGTTCTAGCAGATATGCAAAGTGTTTCTCCTGACACTGAAAAACAGCACTCCGTATGTAGACGAGGTCAAACAGAGTGCTACTGTTGTACAAAAAGCAAAACGTGACCCTTCTGGGTTAGCTTGATAAAACAGGATGTAAGAATAACTGAAGTTGTTTGCGGTCCAGACTGTCTAGGGGGTGGAACGTACATCTCTGTGTGTAACTGCTCCCATGCTGCAAGAATAAAAGCTAAAAAGACATCGGTGGTCTCAGGCTGATTATTTCAAGAAGATGTCTCTTACAAGAACCCTTGAAGGACCATCTTTCTTAAGAGTGTGGGGACAATGACTTTAGTGAATTCACAGACTTTTAACGTGTCAGATGCCCTTCATGACTGTAAGTACTGCTGCTCTACACGCACTACTGTAATCTGGCCTGTTTTATCTGCTCTGTCAACATTGTTTATAAGGGTGATGATGAGCGTGGAATCAAATGTGCAAACGTTAGATCACAGAAACAAAAAACAAACATTTCTGTATTGCTCATATCACCCCAAACAGGTTTGAAGGCATGACCGTGAAACGACTTTGAAAAAAACTGAAACTGATAAAGCACACACATCCGTGTAGGGTCAGACCTAAACGTGGAGCTGGAGCCGACATCTATGAGCTTTCAGACTTTCAGGTAAGACGTTTAACGAATGGTTATTATTTAACTATTTATTTTTTTAAAAAAGCCAAAGTCGTGCTCAGTATCAGGGAAAGTGTAATGAAATTTAGAATACGACTATAACGTGGGTCATGGTGGTGATAAAGAACTCCACAGAAATAAGCACAGCATTAGCTACATTGGCACAGCAATGCTCTGCAGCACACTCACTTTCATCAGTAACTGTTTTGATGTAATATCTTTTAATTCATGTGGGAATGATGGAATGTTTGAAGGAAGTAAATTCAATACATTAGATTTTCCGTGTTGATTTACAAATTACTGTTGTGGCTTTTACTGTTACTGTTGTTGCTTTAAATAACCGACATTGCGATCGCTTATACTGAAGCATACAGTCAGTTAGGCAGGTCTCTACATGCTGTAAGCCAGGTCACACTGAAACTGAAACATGTGAGCGTTAAAATAAACACTTAAAAGTAGTACTTAAAAGTTTTGGTAATAATTTATTTCAAGGCTACCAGCATAGGAACTTTCCTAACACATGCATATGCATTTAATAAAGCAATACTGCAGTATTGTTTCATTTGCAGCATTGATGTTAAGTATCATTCTCAAAGTGTGGAGCTTATAAGGTGATACAATTTTATAATGCCCTGAATCTAAAGTGACACTTTTATACATCATTTTACATACATATTTTTCTGTATGTTAATACCAGTAGTGGGCAAAGTGCACAAATATCCTGTACTCAAGCTAAAAGTAGAAGCACACTTGAGAAAAAAAATCCTCAAGTAAAAGTACAAAAGTACAGTATTTTAACACTTTAAAACCCCAGTCTTATCACATTAAGGCTTATTATTCAGTAACTATGAGGACTACAGTGCAAACTGGCTGAGCTATTCTTAGGTTATAAAAGCATATAATAAAATTTTGGGCCTGCTGGTGTGTCCTGGCCATTTAAGGGGTTAAATATAATTAAATGTATAGGTAAAAAATAAAGAGGATGTATTTCGCAGAAAATTGCCCCGAAGCCTCAACAACTAAATTTAATACACAAATTCCAAAAGCCTCCATTCTCAGAGCAATGGACTGGCCACCCCAGAGTCCAGACCTCAACATCTTTGTTTTGAATTTGATGCCAACAACATGTTCCAAGAAAGTTGGGACGGGGGCCTGTTTACCACTGTGTTTCATCACCTCTTCTTTTAACAACACTCTGTAAGTGTTTGGGAACTGAGGAGACACTGCTGTAGTTTAGAAAGTGAAATGTTTTCCTGCTCTTGTTTGATATAGAATTTCAGCTGCTCATCAGTTCAGGGGCTCATTTTTAGTATTTTTCATTTCATAATGTGCCAAATCTTATCAGTGGTGACAGGTCTGGACTGCAGGCAGGTCAGTTTAGCACATGGACTCTTTTAATACAGAGCAATACTGCTGTAATACATGCAGAATGTGGTTTTACATTGTCTTGCTGAAATAATCAAGGCCTTCCCTGAAAAAGACGTTGTCTGGATGGCAGCATATGTTGCCAAAACATGTATTTATCGTTCAGCATTAATGGTGCCTTCACAGATGTGCACGTCACCCATGCCATGTGCACTAATGCCCCCTATACCATCATGAATACTGGCTTTTGAACTGTGCGCTGATAACAAGCTGAGTGGTCTTTAGCCCGGAGGACACAGTGACCATGATTTCCAAAAAAAGAAGAAGGTGGCAGCGTTTCTGGATTCTGTTTATATTTGGTTTCTTCTTTGTGTTTTAGAGTTTTAACTCTCATTTGTGGATGCAGTGATGAACTGTTTTCACAAACAGTGTTTTTCAGAAGTGTTTCTGAGCCCATGCAGTGATTTCCACTACAGAATCATGTCTGTTTTTAATGCAGAGCTGCCTGAGAGCCCAAAGATCACGGCCAGCTAATACTGGTTTTTGGCCTCGTCCCTTACATACAGAGATTTCTCCAGATTCTCTGAATCTTTTAATGATATTATGTACTGTAGATGATGAAAAGCAGAAGTTCTTTGCTATTTTATGTTGAGAAACGTTATTCTTGAATTGTTGCACTATTTGATGGTGCAGTCTTTCACAGAGTGGTGAACCCCTCCTCATCTTTACTTCTGAAAGACTCCGCCTCTCTGAGATGCTCTTTTAATACTCAATCATGTTACTGACCTGTTGCCAATTTACCACCAGGTTTTTTTTAGCATTACACAACTTTACCAGCCTTTTGTTGCCCCATCAAAACTTTCTTGGAACGTGTTGTTGTCATCAAATTCAAAATGGGCAAATATTTTTCCAAAAAACTATAACATTTCTCAATTTCAGCATTTGATTTTCAATGAAATATAGGGTTTAAATGATTTCCACAGTATTGCATTTTGTTTTCATTTACATTTTGCACAGCATCCCAACTTTCTGGGAAATAGGGTTGTAAAACCAACTACTGCACTCTCAGAAATAAAGGTAGTAAACTGTCACTGGGTCAGTTCCCCTCTTGTCACTGGGGTGGAACAATCAAGGCTCCATCTCAGTACCTTTAGTCAGGGAACATAACTGAACCATAATCCACTGAAATGATATGTTCTAAGCTGTACTGACTCCACACACCCCGTCTCGTCTCCAGGACTTTATTTTACTGTTCTGTTTAAAACATTCGGTTATGAAAAGGTACAAATACGAACTTTTCACCTGGAGAAACTTATTTAAGGTTCACAATCAGACCTTAAAACCACTGTTGGAGCTTTGAGGGAACATTTACACTGTTTGTACCTTGATGAACGAAAAATGTACCTGAACAGAACCTTTATTACCAACAGTGTAAGACTGAACTTCAGAAGCTGTAATAAAGGTAAACAGTGGACACACTAAATACTAAAAACATTAGCTGTTGAGGCTTCTGGGTAAATGTTTCATTAGTGCTGTGCAAACATCTCACCGTGTTTAACGTCACTTATCCTGGCAGTCAGTGTGTTTTCACGAGAGAAAAACACAACATGGCATTAGAATAAATATAAATAAATCCTTAAAAAGTAGTTGAGATGCTGTGAGCTGGTTAGAAGAACACAGGTTTGGTTTCTGACTCCTCACTGCTCTCCAGACATCGCATGGATCAGTTCAGTTCCATCAGCAGCTCCTCATTTAACATAATGAAGCACTGAAGAGATAAAGCAGGTATTGGATCATCAGTACAGATAACACTGAGCTTCCTTGAGGAGAGCTTTAGTAGCATACATACATTCACTATTTGTTGTATTAAGTTTATTTGTGTTTATTCTAATATTACTGTTTTTTCAGAGCAAATTTATGCTCACTGCCCACATACAGTACTTTTGAAGCTAATTAAAACTTACTTAATGACAGTTTTTTTACTGAAAATGAAACAAATGAAGGGTGTTCTCTGACCTTTTTTGTTGTTTTGATTTTTGTTTCTTTGACAGGTGGACCGAAAATGTTTCCAAAGCTCATTTTCACCACCTTCTCCTTCTTCTTCTTCCTTTCCCTCATCGCTCAGATGAGCATTCAAGCTTTTAAAGTCATTTCTTTATCCTCTAATACCCACCACAACATCACAAGGGCAGCTGTTTTGAAGAAATCAGCAGAGGCCTGCAGGACCCACGTTCTGAAACAGGGTGGAAACTTCATCCAGGTGAGACAACAACAATCATATACATAAACTGCAGTGCTTACGAAAAAAACACAAAACAAACATGTCAGGGCTTAGAACCTGAAACCGATAGTTATTTGTGTGAAAGTATGTGCACACTCACAACACTGTAGTGTATCATTTCATGTCAGTACAACCATATTAGCTAAACACAACAGATGGCTAATTAGCCATTTTGGCCACTATAGGTTTGTACATTAATAGTTGCATATAATAATTATAATGTTCTACGTGTTAATTTTATAGTATTAGTTCTCTAGCATTTATTAGCTGGGTTGTTCTGTGCTGTGTTCTGTTAGTTTAGGATGTACTGAGTCAGTCTGACGCTGATGGCTGAAAAAGATGTAGAGAGGCTTAGAGCGAAGTGACAAAACTCTCTTTCTGTACAGTGCGGCTGTGGCCACCTACAGCCAGCAAATAAAGTACAATAACTTGTGGTCTTCTTTAATAGACTATTCTCAAATGTTAATGCGGCAACTTAGCCAATCAACTCTATCAAACTCAATCAAGTTTAAACATGTTCAATTTCAGCTGAAAAGCACCGCTCGTCATGTTTCACTTTTAATGAGGAAACCAATCAAAAAAGAGAGTAAAACTGAACTGGAGAGTGAACGTGGGCTGAACAGTAGGACAGTTTTGCTCACATTTGTGGTTGTGGTGTTCACAAATCCAAACATCTGTTTCTGAAGTATCGACGAATATTCCAAGCTTGTAAAATGCTGTTCGGGCCAATCAGGTATGCTCTGTACCACCAAGTTAGGTTTTGGATTGAGGTTCAGGTCGGATATTTAGTTAATGACAAGTTAAGCATCTGAAAAGCATCCAAATAAAGTGCTCCCTGTTTTTCTGCAGCCAAACCCGCTGACTGCAGAGTCTCTGGCCAAAGCTTGCCTCTCTCCTGCCTCAGCCTCCATGCTAAAGTCTGCCATCAGGGTTGTCAGCATAAGGAACGCCTGGGTGGATGGCAAGCATGTGCTCAATGCAGAGTACCATTTCGATGATGAGAGTTTCGAGCAAGCGCGCAACCTGATCACGCAGGGAGTCTCTCTGGTGAAGGCCAGCCTCAAACTGAAGAACTACGAGTACGCAAGACAGCGGCTGGGCGAGACCCTGCACACCTTACAGGTAATGGCACGAATAATAGGGCTGGGTATTATTTAAGGTTTTCAACACTAACATTAATATCCATACTTTACAAAATTATGTAAAATACATTGTCTCTCCATAGTATATAGGACCAAAAATCAATTTTACAAAAAAAAAAATGAAACTGGAAAGGGAAAGTCTGTGAATGAACTTTAACCTGGCTTGACAACGGAGACTAATAATGCTTCAGAAGTTACACAGTTGATTGTTTTTGATAACTTCCAATTGGATTTATTATGCAGTAATTCCAGGTAGGTGGTTAGGTGGTGTTGCTAGTGTCACATCTGCTGCTGACCATACTCCTCTGCACCACCAGAGGTCACTGTCTCCTGAGTTTTATCCCAGCTATTCTCCCTTGTTTGTCATTTGGTTATGTATTCAAAACTGTGAAATCTTTTTATTTGTGAAGTCTTGTTTGGTCTTACCTAGTATTTCTGAGCCTTTCTGTTATTTGACTAAGACCCAATCCACCCGTTCCACCTTAAATAGTCCAGCAGTTCTCATGCGCCAGAATGTAACTGCCACTCCATTTAAGGTGGAACAGGAAAATTTGAACAAGAAGCTGACGAACAGGTGATTTCAGCTTCCTATCACTGAAGAATTAGGGGTGGGTGATAAAAAATAATTGCCCCCCTCTTTGAAGGCATATGATGCCCTAAATGTAAATGAACTTTACCCTCCTCTGCTGTCACTGCAGACTGGCAGGGTCTCCTACAGAGCAGCGCTGGTAGCTGTTAATGAAGTGATGCTCTTTTTATTTGAGGGTCTCATTTCAGAGGAAGATTTCAACCACTACCCATTTGTGTCTCAGTTCCAAGGGGCAAGGAGACACTCGAAAACAAGGGGTAGGGGTAAAAATAAGAAATAGTCTTGGGCCTTAGTTTCTTTTTTTTTTTTACTTTGTATTGCCTGGTCCTTACTATCTTTTTTGGATTCATGACTTTGGACTTGTTTGCTGATATGTGTTGCACCTTTGGCCACATTGGGCCTTGTTGGGTTGTGTTTTTGGTCTGGTGTTTAATAAACTTGCAGCCTGATAATCCATTAATAATCAGACTAATAGCTTAATCAGAATAGAATACGTCCATGTAAACACCTCAGTCGGAATAGTCTAGTCTGATTGAGGCCATTCAGAATACAATCTCTATCCGACTGATCGAGGTGGGTAATCCTGTAAATAATCTGTTAAATAGAAGAATAATATCCGTGTAAACGCCTGTATCTGATTACATTCCCTATCGGAAAGTTTAAGTCTGTTCTGATCATGTTCGTCGCGTCATAGTGAAAGTTTATACCGTTCAACATGGCGGAGCAGAAACTGGTCTGCAGAGGAGACGAAGTTTATGCTCTGATCTTTAAAAGACGGCGGTGGGACGGACGTCCAGCTTATGTGTCTCAGAACACGACGTCTTCCTCTCGGCCTTCTTTAATAAGGACATGTGAAGGACGTTTTCCTGAGTCTGACATCATTTTAAAGCAGTTAAAAACACAAGCGCTGCTCACTGCTGCTCATCTCACTCTGACTGGACTCACGCGATGCTCGCTGTCATGGTAACGTCTACACTAAATAGTTCTCTCCGCATGCGTGTAATTTTGGATCTGATTACTTGTAGTGAGCATGATTGTTGAGTACAGTAAGCAAATAAACACCATTTTTACTATAAAACATTATTTTTAAGAGGTTTAACTCAGGAATTTGAATAAAACAGATTCAATGTTTACTTTTTATATCATTAAAGTTATACTACATTTAAAATTTAATTTGTCACAGATTCTGGTCACTGGTGTTTTCAGGACTCTTATTTTACATTATAACACAGTATTTTCAGCTCTATTAAACGGCTTCTTTGGGTCGAGGCTCATCAGAGAGGAAGCATCTGAAGGCATAAGAAGGCGAGTCACACTTGCTCACTATATTTCATAAATTTATTAATAATTTAGTTTATCAGGCAGCTCATAACATCTATTTGTCACCGGTGTTGTGTGTTTTAATGGCTGGGTAATTAAACTTTTGTCAAAATAATGCCATAAATATCATTTTAAATACACAAGGTCACCTGATCAGCCAACGAGTCAGCCAGTTTACAAAATCCTCAGTTTTAACCAGAATGTCACTGGAGTCACCGTCACTGGTGTTACAGAGTATTCATACACCACCAGTGACTGTAAAATGATTAAGATTAAGACTATTTCGTTTTGTGATGAAAGAAATAGACTTTTTAAAGTTTCCACTCCAGATGGAGCTGCTCTTGACCTTACATGCTGTATGGTGGTGTCCTGATGATCATCACTGAGGGCACTGGTGACTGCGGTTGCATTTGTGAGGCACTGGATTGGCTGCTGTCCCCTCTGGGGCTAGTGAGATGCAATTGAGAGACTGGGAGACACGTAATAATATAAGTGGAATGACGTTTAAATTAACAGTGTACGAATACCGTATGTTGAATTTTGGTTTAAAAAAAACAAACACAAGCAACCTTTTTAAGTTTAGGCTGTACAATCAATGCAAAGTTCTTACACAAATCCATAGGACAGGGGTGCCCAATCCTATCCACAAAGGGCTGGTGTGGCTGCATGTTTTCATTCCAGCAAAGCGGGAGATCCCATGATCAGCAGCTTGAAGACTAAAACCAACTGATTAAACCAGTGGCATCGGGTGAGCTCCAGCTTGTTTTGAGTGAAAACCTGCAGCCACACCGGCCCTTTATAAATAAGATTGGGCAGCCCTGCTATAAGGGAACACAGATAAACTGTTCTCCTTTACTAGCACATTACTTGCATGACTCACATACAGGAATCAGGAATGATGCTGTTAAATGCAAATTTGTTTAATTTAATTAAATACTTAAATATGTATTGAGCAATGTTTTTACTACTGCTAATAAACATTGACTAAGCTTCATTAAAAAAATCATACTTTAGAAGGTATGAGGCAGTATTTTTCAGCTTGCTCCCCTTGGAGAAGACCACCTGCCTTGTGGTCTCTTGGTAATTTGAGTTTGAGACCCCTGCTTTAATGCAATGTCTGGATAAAGCTATTCTGGATAAAATTAAATTGTGCATTACTACATAAAACTGGAGCCTTTGGTACCAAACCAGTGGCCAATGGCAAATCTGCAGTTCCAGCTTACTGGTGCCAAAGAATGTAGCACTTTAGAGAGTTTTTTACTGAATTATTGGATCTTATATAAGTAACATCATAATCAAGCTATATTCTGAAAGCATCTTTAGAAGCAGATTATCTCAGAACTAGTGAGCATAAGTTCATTAAACTGGCAATAACTGACACCGATTTTATGCTGATGTTGTAGGATTTCTACAGTCACAGTAACTGGATTGAACTGGGAAACAGGTCTCCGTACTCCACCCTCATCAAGCCAAGTCTGCCTTTTGAAAACCTTGCAGGTATTTGTGAATCTGTGTTTATAAGTATATTTCTTATCTGTGTGAATGAACATAAATTAAATATGTCTCACGCTCGGATCAGACGTGAACACCCCGACGTGCAGCAGCTGTGGTGGCGACTGCACGGGCAACATTTTGGACACGATCATCACCCAGAAGAAACTGACTTCTGGATATTTCAGCCTGACAAGCCCTTCCAAACCCAAAGGTACTGAGCAACTGTTTTCACAAGACTTCTCTTCTTGTTCCCAAAGTATATTAGAAGTAAGCAAAGTCTCTTGCAAAAGTATTCACCCCCCTTAAAAGTCGTTAGATTCGTCTAGATAACAAATGACAGCCAGTATTTTTATTGCAAACCAATATGCTCCGAAAGTACATTTTCCAAATCAAAATGCAGTATTTCTCAGCAGATATTTGTTTTATTTATTTTTTATTCCACCAATCTTTAACCCCCTTAGACTAATACTTCATAGAAGAACCTTTTGCTGCAATAACAGCTTTAAGTCTGCTACAGTGAGTTTCTACCAGCTTTGTACTCTTTTTGGGAGAAATTTTTACCCATTCACTCAGATTCTCAATTAGGCTGAGATCTGAACTTGACTGGGCCTTTTAATACAAGATGGAACTAAGAACAGCTGCGTGCCACGTTTTGTGTTTGTTTTAGTTTGTTAATGTCGTCTATTGTACGTCAAACTCAGTCAGGAGCAGGGAACAGTTACCAGATGGCAGGCGGCTTGGACACCTGAGGTGGCGTGGATTTCGGGCCCCTTTAGAGTCTTTACATCAAACGAAGAACTACATCTGCTAAACAAAATCAACAAGGACTTTTCACCTGCATCTCCCCTCTGCTTTACGGAGACCTGGCTTTCTGAGCTACACCTCCCTGGCTTCCATCTGCACCGAGCAGACAGAGGCACAGAGCTCAGTGGCAAAACCAGAGGAATCTGCTTCTCTGTCTACGAACTCTGGAGTAAAGATGTCGTTGTACTGTTAAAGCCATGCACTCCTCATCTAGCGTCACTTTTCATCAACTGCAAACTGATCTACTCTCCCAGAGAGTTTTCTTCTTTTATTTTGGTTTGGTTTAGGAGACATCCCAGATAGCACATTTGATATGGCCCAAACGTGTATATACCACATGGAATGATGGCACAGGAGTGGGCCAGATATGGTTGCCAGAGCCCAGCCTGTTTGATCTCACGATTACCTGGTGAAGGAGCAATTGCTTAGTCCACTGCGGTGCGCAGGTGCTGCTGTTTACAAGCCTACATGTCCAAAATGTTACTACACTGTGAAAAAGATCTGTTCAATTTAAAATAAGTGACGTGTCTGACAGAAAAGTTTAAGTTCAGTGAACCTCAGATCAGTTTTGTTGTTTAACGAATGCAACATTTTAAGCAGCCACAAATCACTGTAGAATAAAACTTAAATTAAACTGCAAACTAGGATATGTAGTAGGATATGTAGTCTGCCTAGTACTGAGGCAGACTGAGTTGAATTAAGTAAAATTAGCATTTTAACCTGGCATTTCTTTTTGTTGAAATAACAAATAAAATGTCACAAAATGTAAAACAGTTTAGGTTGGATTTTTATGGCCAAGATCTGAATGTAAACTGTGCTCCCCCACAGTCCTGTTAATCCCTGTTTAATATATAAATGATTATCATGTAGCTCATGTCAGCACTGGCAATGTTTGACATGTGGGCCATATGAGCATTTTAATATGTGGGCCACTTTTGGCTAACAATCAATTTGCCAGTGTCAATGGTAGCAGCACTGCCATATCTCTGCCAGAAGTGGCCCACATCTGCATGCTATCTGGGATGCGAGAAAGATGCACAGCAACTGCTGGCCGATTAGATAATCAAAGTAGAAAAAGGGAATCCGGACTCACTTCTCATCATTCTGGGAGACTTTAACAGCACAAATCTAATGAAAGAAATGCCCACATTTGACAACATGTCGCTTGTGCTGTGAGAGAAGGGAACATTTTGGATAATTGTTTTACCACCTATCGCGCCGTCACGCGTACGGCTCTCGGTCATTCCTACCACAGACTCATTCACCTCATCCCAACATACAGGCAGAAACGCAAAACCAACAAGCCTGGCATCACTAGAGTGAAGAGGTGGACCAGTGGAGACACTGACAAGCTACAGGGCTGCTTTGTATCCACAAACGGGACTGTTTTTGCATTTCAACTACAGCACGGATGAAATACAGCAATGACAATGGTTTTCAGCTGAACTCAGACAGCTTCGGAGGGAAAAGGAGGCAGCATTCAGAAGTGGAGACAGAACGTTCTAGGAGGAGAAATACACAGAAAAGCTGAAAAGCCACATTGCTGATAATGACCCAACTTCAGTCTGGAAAGGCTTTGATGTGTTTGTCTTCAGTGAGCTTCTTTCTAGCCTCCCTCCGATACAGGCCAGTTGTATGCAGACCTGGTACTCCTTCACTCCAGCCTCAGCCACTGACCTCTGTATCTCCTTCATAGTGACTGCTGGCCTCTCTGTGGTTTCCTTCACAGAGTCCCCTTCTTGCTTTGAGTTTTGGGGGATGGTCTTGTCTACGCAGCGCTTGCGTGGTATCAGCTTCCATTTCCTCACAAGTGATCCAACAGGATATCCAAACACTTGGATATATTTTTGTAGCCTTTTCCTTTCTTGTGCATATCTGTAACTTTATCTCTGATTTCCTTAGACTGCTCTGTGGTCTTATTTTCAACTCTTTCCTCCAGATTCACAGTCTGTGGTATTTGAATAAGGGGGGTCAGAAAAGGTGTTTTTGTTCAGATAAGGTGAACTTTTTTAGTGATTCACAGATCGATGCCAATTGTAGGCTTGTGTAAACTTGGCGCTTCCCAGCACAGGGGTCAAATACTTACGCAAACAGGATTTTTAAGTTTATTTTTTTGTCACAGAATTTTTTTTTATAGATAACCAACATCATTTTAATTCATTTCGAGGGTGAGTGTTTTAAATAAAATAACAGCTTCATTTGTGATTCCATGATTTTTGAATACTTTTGCAAGGCACAGTAAATTGGTCGAGACTGAGGGTATAGCAGATGCAGTGTAAACAGAGCAAACAATAATCAGAATTAGCTAAGGATAAACGTGTTCGTACAACATCTATAGTACTGCATAAAAGCCAGAGCCATTTTATTTATATCATTTCCAGGCAAGTTATTCATTTTTCAAAGCAGAAAATATATAACAGAAAAGTGACCTCATGGTATCTTGTCCAGTGAAACGATCTTAAACCTAGTCAGTGTATCTGAGTGGTGGCTCTCCCTTGCTGCCTGTTAAATAAATCAGCAGTTACCCTTTAAAGTGCAGTGTCTCCCATGTCTTAGTCTATGCCATCGCCACAATATCAAATTTCCAGAAAATAAAAACTTTTGAGAAACTTTTCAGAAAATTTTGGCACATTTTAATGAGGATCTGTTAATGAGGTGAGGCAAGAAGCCCATGCATGACATTTTCAGAGAGCCCAAAATGTTCTGAATGTTCTTCTGCCTGACGGAAAATCCACAGGGAAGTGCAGCCATGGAGGATTTTTTGATTTGACGAGTCGAGTGGAGCCCAAAGGTGGCATCAACAAGGATGGCGCCACGACTGCTCATGGCAGCCTCCACTTTGTGGCAGCAGATGTGGCTACAGCAGCCACCGGGGACCTCCTGCAGGACATCAGAGAAGAAGCAGGAGACGTTGAATTCCTCAGGTAGGAATGAATTATCAGCCATTAGTGTTGAATCAGAGAGGATTCGTGAAGCGAGAGCAGCCATGTGAAAATATTTACAGGAAAGTGATTTGGTTTTGGAAGCCAAACTAAGGTAAGGTATGCAGATAGCCAGATGGCTGCCTTTCCAACTTTAGCTTTTAGCTTGTTGTCCTTCTCTTATGAAGTGTCTGTCATTTGAGGAATCCATTATGCCAGCTGTAATGACGATTTGAAGATAGTTAGTACAGTTAATGGGCTGCAATGAGACCTTTAGCTTTCTAGTAGCAGCAGTTGCAACAGTTGTGTGCAACAGTTTGTTCACCTGTGAACATAAGAGGTGTACAAACTTTTGCACCCAACTGTATCTGCTTTCTTTCAGCTAATAAAAAATCTAAACAATAGTGGAGGTGGTTCATAACCTGTAAAAAGAGAGAAACAATGTGAAGACAAATTTTCTCAAATTCTCAAAAAGACATGTCTGAATTGTTTGTAGTTATTATTGTGCACATTGTAATTAATTATTTCATGCTGGTTTGTCCCTGATCTAGAGAAAGGGAGGGGCTAGCAGATAAAAGAGATGCCTGCTGCTGAGACAGGGGTTTCTTCTGATTGGGGTTCACAGCTCCTAGTTTAGGGGTCGGCAACCCAAATGTTAAGAAGAGCTATTTTGTCCTTTCAACAAAAATCAAACCACCTTGGGAGCCACATTTTATGTCCATTTACTATCTTGGCTGTAAACGTGTCTCAGTATTTGCTAATGCGCTAGTATAGACTGAAAAATATAAAATAATATAAACAAAAACGCAGACTTACTTTGCTCTGCTTTAAGCTTTAGATCAGCTATAGCCGCTTTTCTCGCATCTCCAGCAGGAAACTTTTCCTCAAAAGTGGAACAGTTTCTTGTAAAATGTCTCTCAATGTTCGACTTTTTACGAGGCTGAAGTCGCTTCTCATTCTCCAGGTTCTTGTTCTAATTTTCCCTGTTCCACCTTAAAAGATACCTGAGGCGCCAGCATGTAACTGCTGCACTATTTAAGGTGGAACAGGAGAATTCAAATGAGAATCTGACTTCAGCCTTGCAAATTTTTAGTTTTTCAGTTTCTCGCTGCAGATTAAACGTATCAGGAAACCAGCTGGAGTGATTATAAATGTAAACAAGTCCATTAATCTCCAAATTATCAATGTTCATCTTAAATCTCTCTCTTTGTCTTTTCGTTAGCTGCTAGCTAGGCGAGATTGCTGTCTGTGTTGCTATGGTGACCAGCAGTCTGTGCTGATCTTCAGGGTTAAAGGGTGAATCAGCAGTTCTACATTAACTCCAGAGTTTAAGACCATTTATTGTTAAACTGTGTTGAACGATCAGCAGAGCTTTATTTTACTGTAAAGGAGGATTATTTTATTTTTACCTACTAATCTAATTCAGCTGCGGAGCCTCAACAGGGCAGTAAAAGAGCCACATGCACATTGCTGACCCCTGTACTAGACTGTTAGGACCTACCATGCTGATAAAAGCTGGTGGGAGAGTGATTGCCAGATATTAGCCGCAGGGCTAATGGAATCACTTAGTTAGCTGTTTAAGTGCTGCTGCATCCTGTGACAGTATCTCCAGTGTGCAGCAGCTTTATTAAAGTGGTTATAATAGAGTAGAAATGGTCTAGTATTTGACTTTACACTCCCAGCTAGGTGCAAAAATTAGGCCTGGTCTTGGCGAAAATTCAGCTGCAGTGGTTTTAAAGTTATGCCCAGAAAGTCAATAAGTTTTTGACCAGACTTAAGACCTGTTGGTGTTAGAGGTCCCTGGTGAAAAGTATGTAAGATGGAGATGAAACAAAGACACGCTGATGTAGATCCAAACCTGTTTAGATGTTTATCTTCTCTCTGTTTGTCTTCTTTATCTGCCAGACTGATGGGAATCTCTAAGTCGTCCTCAGTCCTCTGTTTCGTGGTGGACACCTCAGTCACTATGACAGAGGAAATCGCTGAGGTCAAACATATCACTTCCTTCATCATCGACAGTAGGCGGGGCACCGCGGACGAACCTTCGGCCTACGTCCTCGTCCCCTTCAGCAACTCAGGTGGGCTGTGCTGTGGTGCTTCTATTTATATGTTTTATTTTTCAGGAATATAGTTATGTACTTTTGCATTGATCATGTAGCTTTAGTCTTTTATGTATTCTGGTCCTCTGAATGAGACCACTGTGAACTGAAAATCTGAATATTACAAAGAAATTTCAATTTTTCTCCTAAATGTCCTGTATTTGTATCCCACAGGTTTCGGACCAGTGGATAAAACAACAGACCCTGATGTGTTCAAAGCTAAAGTCAATGCTCTTTCTGCTGGTGGTAAAGGAGCAGATGATCTTGAAATGAGTCTCTCTGGACTTTGGGTACGGTACAGTTCATTGTGTGTCTTATTTATTTATTACTTGTTTATTTAATTTTAGTTGTTTGAAACCTACATGAAACTAAATTGTCCTTGAGATGTATAATGTAAAGCATCTGCATTTCACTTGAAACTCTGCTGAAACAGTTGCAAGCATCTGAACTTCGTGAAGCAAATTTCATGAAACAGCCAATCAAAACGCAGATTATGCATCATGTGATCACGTTCAACTGCATACTGTTAATTGACTGATTTCACTGGATGGGAGGACAAAAAATTAAAACCCTGGGCAGTTAAAAGGAGACCACCCTCTGACTTAAGGTTGGTTTTCTGGAACAACAAACATGAGTTTTTCAAGGCTAACATTTCAGTGAACAGCTGCTTTAACTAGCCATTAGAAGAGGCCAATCCTGGTCCAGAAAGTAAAAAATCCTCCCCAGGATTTTGTCCCAACTCCCTGGCTTCTCTACTTTGCTCAAACCAGGTGTTTAGGCATTTGGAACAAAATCCTAGGGAAGGTTTTTACTTTCTGACTTGGATTACCCACCTCTTGATGTCATCTATACTGTGAGAAATAAAGGTTCTGTGCAGGGACATTTTTCATCAATCAAGATACAAATAATGTAAACGTTCCCTCAAAGGTACAAAAGTGGTTTTAAGGTCTGATCGTGAACCTTAAATAGGTTTTTCCAGGTGAAAAAGCTTTTTCCAGGTGGAAAATGCAGAAAGCTGCAGTTGTGTCTGTTTAATCTCAGCATGTCCATCTTTGTGGAGAGGAGTGAATAGTTTTTCACAGCAGGGGGTTCTTACCCCTCCCCTTTCACCCCTCATTGCTCACTAGCAGCTCAACACAGAGTCACAACATTTCACATACAGAGACACAAAAGAGTCCTAGTTCATCTGATAAGAGAATTACGGAGACAAAATATTTTATTTATATTTTATATTTTATTTAATTTTACAGTAAAAATATCCAAGTCTGTTTCCATTCTGTTGGTCGAATGGCCACCAGGGGGCCTGCAAGAAGAGGTTAACGGGTTAAACAAGTTGAAAGTAAAGTTATTATTGTTTGTGATTGTATTTAATGGGTATTATCGGCTCTGAGGGCAGAGCTGACAGATTGTGTGTGATGCATTTGAAAAATGTTATGATTTTATGATTATATATTTATGTTTTCTGACACCAGCTTCACAAAAAACACATGATAGGTATGTATACTTTACATATTTAACACATTCTTCTAATATCTCTATATATCTCTCCACAGCTCGCTCTTGCAGCTGCTCCTGTGGCGTCTGAGATCTTTCTTTTCACTGACGGAGAACCCAAAGACCCTGAGATGAAAAGTACAGTTCTGGCACTGATCGAGAGCACAAAGTCCACGGCAAGTATTAACCAATCAAGGATTTCTTAGAGCTTAGAGTCTTGTCAGGTACTTAACATTAAACTTTTTTTTAATTCATATATATATATATATATATATATATATATATATATATATATATATATAAATAAAGGAAAAATGTCTACCTGGCCCTATGTGAAAAACTAATCACCCCTTATCTACTAAATTAACCAGCTATCCAAATTCAATTGACTATTAGGTTCAACTTCACAATCCACACCCAGACATGATCACTGCCAGACCTACTGAACCTAAACATCACTTAAATAGGAGCTGTCTGGCAATGTGAAGCAGCTAGAAGGTCTCAAAAAGCTGGACATGATGCTTCATTCTAAAGAGATTCAAATACAGACACAAAACAAACTCTAGCAAAATCAAACCTGTAATCCCAAACCTGAACTCTACCAGTCTAGAAAGGGTAACAAAGCCATTCCTGAGGCTCTGGGATTCAAGAGAACTACAGTGAAAGCCGTCAACCCACAAATGGTGAAAACCTGGAACAGTGTTGAACCTTCCCAGGAGTGGCCGACCTACCACAATTTCACAGAGACCACATTGATGATTCATCCAGGAGGTCCCAAAAAAACAGACAAACATCTAAAGAACTGCAGGCCTCACTTGCCTCAGTTAAGGTCAACGTACACGATTCCACAATAAGAAAGACACTGGGCAAAAATGGTGTCCATGGGAGAGCTGCAAGGTCAAACCACTGCTGAGCAAAAGGAACACAAAGGCTAATCTTACATTTGCCAAAAAACATCTAGATGACCCCCAAGACTTTTGGAATAACATTATGTGGACTGATGAGTCAAAGGTGGAGCTTTTTGGAAGGCATGGGTCCAGTTACATCTAGCGTAAAGCTAAAACCACATTCCACAATAAGAACATCAAACCAACATTCATTAACATTTATAGAGCACATAAAGGGCTGCTTTACTCAATTTTGATGCCATATCACTATGAAAATGAACGCTCTTTGGAATAAGCCTTTATAAATGTTTATATAGGTTTAAGTTAGGTGTAATAAAACGTTTATGTAGGTGTTACCAAATGTTTTTGTAATTGACATGAACATAATGAATTAATCTAAACTGCCCATAATACAGAGTGGTATTGTCATGCAGTGCTGGCCAACAGTGACTCTCCACTTCACCAAAAGGGTCAGTTCTAATAATCCATCAACAATCTATTCTGGTCTTTTTCTTATCCAGTTATGTAGTTACTAAATATTCTTCCACACTGATCAAAGAAACACCACCAACCAACATACTACACTGGCACTGGTCAGGAAAGAAACTGACAAGCCAAAGTACCCGTGTGAATATGTGAGAACATTTTAGAGACAGTGAAAAGCTACAAAAAGGCTGTTTAGAGCAATCCAATATTTAAGATTGGGCCTTAGAAGTCGCAGTTATCTCTCACACTAACAAAACATCATTTTATAGGACTTATTTTGGACTGGTTTGTTTATTAAATCTCTTCTTGCTACTTCTTTTCTTGAGTGCCTTGCTGTCCCTCATCTCATTATTATCTTATCTCATTTTCATCTCTGTTGCGTTAACAGGTGAATTTTGTGCTGACCAATCCTCTGACCAACAGGACTCGCAGCCTCTCTAACCCTGTAAACCAGGTGTACGAGGATTTAGCGGTGGCCTCAGGTGGACTGGCCATCGAGGTCCCCAATCAACTGCTATCTAACACTACTAGCGCCATCAATGACACCTCCGTCTCTTCTCTGGTAAACCCAACACTGATAAAAACACTTCTCAACATCTCTGCACTCATAAAATATGACAGCCAGATATGCAAATCAGAAACACATTAACAACTTCCAGTCACTTTTTTGTTAAACAGTTTGGTTTGTATGTCCTGATAACTGCGCTTTGATGGGATAGAAATGATACATCTGTTGACTAAAGTCGCCCTCAGCACTCTTGAATGTTTGTACTCTTGAATGTATTAGTTGACCCTTTTTCACAGAAAGACGTTAATTCATTTCTGTCTGATCTGGTGGTCCCTCAGTTTTTGCACTATAATTTTTTTCTTCAATAATGCTGATTGAATGTATTTTGATAGAATAGAATTCAGAACCATCAGCCAACTATGTTCGCACACAGAAGTATTAGACCTCCGCATTTAACCCATCCGTGCAGTGAACCACCCACATACATGCACTAGGGGGCAGTGGGCAGCCCTATCCACAGCGCCCGGGGAGCAGTTGGGGGTTAGGTGCCTTGCTCAAGGGCACTTCAGTCACATACTGTCAGCTGAGAGGATCGAACCAGCAACCTTCCGATCACAAGGCTGGTGCCCTAACCTCCAGCCCACGACTGCCCCTCGAACGTGATGGTAGCGGTGGGATGAAAATAAGTATGGCTTATAAACTAGAAGTGAACTGGATTTCTGTCTTCATAGGTGAGCAAATTAACATTTATATAAGTGTTTTTATAATTTTATAATTGTTTTTTTATTGTGTCAGACAGGACTGTTGCTGATTCTGGTGACTGTTCTGTCCTGGTCTTGCTGGACTTCAGTGCTGCGTTTGACGCTGTTGATCATGATATACTCATTGAGCGTTTGGAACATTGTGTTGGGGTCAGGAGTTTAGCTCTTAATTGGTTTATCTCTTATATTAAATACAGAACCTTTTCCGTTAACATTAGGAAATACTCCTCTGCATCTGTAGCTATGACATCTGGGGTTCCACAAGGGTCTATTTTAGGCCGTGTCCTTTTTTCGTTATATATTTTCCCCCCTAGGTCAAATTATTCGCAAACATAACATCTCATTTCATTGTTATGCAGATGATGTACAACTGTACTTACCTTTGAACCTTGGAAATCATCTTTCTTTAGGAAGATTCAATGAATGTATCATGTGTATATGATACACCCCCCCCCCACCCCCCACCTCAGTATCCAAGAGCTTGAAAAAAACCTTGGGTTCTTTAACCCCTTTTATAAAAAAACACAAGTTAAAAACTTCGGGTCATTTTTGATACTAAATAAAAATTTGATAAGCAAATAAATGCAGTTTAAAATTATTTCTTAATGCTGGAAAAATCTAGAAAAAGTCTTTCATGCCGTTGTGACATCTAGATTCGATTGCTGTAATGCACTATATTTTGGAATTAACGAAGCATCTCTTCAGAGAGCCCTTTATTCCAGGTTTAGCATCCTTACACTGGCTCCCAGCGCATTACAGAGTCCCATAAGAATGGCATTGATGGTTTTTTTAAAGCTTTGAATGGTCAGGCACCTGCATATGTTGTGAACATGCTTTGTATGTATGTGTCCTCAAAATATTTAAGGTCTGCATCTAAAGCACTGTTAACTGTTCCGCGGTCTCGTCTTAAACAAAAAGGGGATCGTGCTTTTGCTGTCGCTGCACCAAGACTTTGGAACGGTCTCCCAAGTGACATCAGGCTCCATCTGTGACTATTTTAAGCTTAAAACACATTTTTATCAATTAGCATTCAGCAGCCGTTGAACTGTAGACTGAAGTCTGTACACTGTTGTGTGATTGTACGGTGGTGGTGATCGGAAGGTGGAAATTTTGTAGTTTATTGTAAAGCACTTTGGTTTTAAATGTGCTATATAAATAAAATGTACTTACTTTGCAGCAAGGTGTGAATCGTTTTTCACAGCAGGGGGTTCTCACCCTCCCCTTTTACCACTCATTGCTCACTAGCAGCTCAACACACAGTCACAACATTTCACACTCAGAGAGACAACAGAGTCCTAGTTCATCTGATCTGGGTGACTGAAACTGAGCTGCTGTACATGCATTTCACTGTTACTGTAATACACATCCAGAACCACTGTGGTGAATGATATTAATGTGAGTTTCTGAGTGTTAATCCACCTCTCCTGTGTCTCCTCAGGTGACCATATTTCAGGCAGTGAGGGACCCGGGGACAGCAGAACATTTCTCCTTTGCAGTGGACTCCTCTGTGAAAAACCTGACGTTCTACATAACAGGAAATTCAACACAGTTCACCATCACTGCTCCCTCTGGTGATCACATACTGTACTCTACTGTTCTGAACCTACAATGTAACAAAACATTTACCAAGTTGTCTCCAGTTTATTTTTCCTAAAAGCAGTCTTTCCTGATCAGATTGTTTTAAGTGTTCTTGTTTTTATGAGATATGCTGCTATGTATAAGTGTTTAATATTATAAAGCCAATCTGGTGGCAGATGAATGCATAAAAAGATTTTAATGTGCTTGTCCTGAAAAATATCACGGGTTTCGGTAGGATAGTAGTGCACAAAAATGAAAGAAATGAATGATGAACGGAGCTGTAGAAGGGTCTAAAATGACTGAGAAAGCTGTAGAACATTGAGAACAGAGTCATAATAAAATGAATACTGAAATTGATCATATTTCAAATGTAGAGATCAAATCTCAAGGCAGAACCCTTGAAAATAGATAAATAAAAATGTATAAATGTGGCCTGTACAAAAGTTATGGCCTATTTTTTATGTAACGAGTAACTTCCCAGTAGATGTTTGGAATCAGCTGCAGGTTTATTACACAAGCAGAAGAAGCATCAACAAAACCAGGCAGGGTCAAAACCAGGCAGGGTCAAAACCAGGCAGGAAACCATAGAAAATCAAACAAACAATCCAAAAAAATGTGATCATTAAACTCATTAAAGTTACAAGAAAGCAAAAGGAAATACCAGAGATAGGCTAGGACCATGCTTAAAAAGATGATTCAAGGGTTCTGTAATAAAGATAATAGAACCATGTACACTCAAAAGAACCCTTTGCATGCTTAAATGGTTCTTTCCATCATGAAAGATTTCTATATATAATCATTTTCAAAAAGTTTCTATATAGAACCATCTATAGCACATTCTCCATCAGTCTAAAGAACGATTTCACAATGGGTTCTGAGTGTTCATAGTTCTATATAGAACCATTTTCTTCACTAAAGCATCCTTCCGTAACCTGAAAGAACACAGTGCATAAACTGTGCTCTGATGTAATAACATATACAAGACTAGAACGTTTCTCCCCTCCTCACAGGTCAGTCTCAGTCGAGTGGTCAGCCAGATGGTTCTCTGGCTGTGATTCAGAGTGTGGTGAACTTCCACATGGTGCAAATCAAAAACTCCAGCCAACCAGGAGAGTGGCTCATCTACATGAACTCAACTCAGCCCTACACACTCAAAGTCACCGGTAAAACTCTCTCAAGCTCACCGAGAGGCTTAAAAATATAATATGAAAATAGATATTTTAGCAAGTGGAATCATCATTCCAGGTCTATGAGGTGCTTCTCATGTAAAAAGGATTTCATCCTTACTTTAGGCCTTTAGTACATTTTAAGCATAAGTGAAAAGTGTTTTGTAACTCACTTAATACTCTAAGCTTGCACACGACATAATCTCCATTGCAAAATCTGCTTTGTTTCCAGGTAAAAGTTCAATAAACTTCCAGTTTGACTTTGTGGAGGTTTATCAGACCCCTCACCCCGGCTACACCGTGTTCAAAAGCAGACCTCGTGCCAGTAAGTCAACCCTCACAACCCACAAGACAGCCTAGTTTCTAGATAGTTTCTTGTTGTTTTTATCCATGCAAACATACTTTAGTCCATTTCTATATATGTGCACTATTGTTCCAATGTTTGTAATTGATGTTTACAATAATATAAGATCAATTTGATTTCAGATACATGTATAAAATGCCTAATTTTAGCAAATTAACAGTAATTGTGTATTAAAATGTGCTGAAGTGTGTCTCTGTAGAGGATGTGTTCAATTATTTTCACTTAAACAATCAACCACATCTTGTTCATTACATTCGTGAAACATTTAATAAATAATATAAGTCTGCATCATTGTAATTCATTGTATTATATAAGTTATTATATATAATATAGCAATAAATATTAATGTGGCCAAAAATTCCAAACTTTTGATATGATTGCAGTTGTCTGCTGATGTATGCATGCAGTTAGCACTATGCTAATTGGTAGAGTTTAAGCTTTAATTACTTGTTAGCTACATCAGTCTCATAGCTTCAGTACATAGATTGACTATGTTGGGGTAAGGATTTGGGGATTTCTCAATGAACTACTGCAAACACCCCCCAGTTGCTGAGAACTATCCACAGCATTCCTTCTCTCTTTCTCCCTGATGTTAGATGGAAACGTGACTCTACTGCTGTCTATACTTGGCTCGGGGTCGGAGGTGCCTACAACAGTGCGCCTGGTTGAAGCCTCAGGCTCCGGGTTCTACACAGGCCTTCTGGAGGACGTGGGGAACGGAGACTATCTGGTGACGGTGACCACAGTGCCAAAGGGGGAGTTTTTTGTACGCGTCAATGGTCAGATCAACTCCTCCTCCACCTCAGACTATAATGTTTTTCAGAGACAGTCGTCCACCCGGCACAGAGCTTCCAACATCAGTGTCACTGTGAGTCCATCACACCATGAACACTCAACTCCACATCCGTTTTAATGATGGTTATTGTATTGTGTGATTATAGCATTGTGTGCTACACGTCAAATTAGAGCTGGGTAACAGAACCAAAAATCTTATCACAATGTCATTTTTCATATCATTTATTATCAATAATGATCGATAATTACACTGTGATAGTTACAATGTGGCCAAAAGTATGTAGACACCCCTTATAATTACTGAGTTCAAGTCTTTCAGCCACATTGCTAACAGGTATATAAAAACAAACATATTTCTGTCCTGCTAGATCTGCCCTGGTCAACTATAAGTGCTATTATTGTGAAATGGAAGCATCTAAAGCAACAACAGCTCAGCCACAAAGCGGTAGACCATGTGAATTCATCAAGCGGTGTCACCGGGTGGTGAACCATGAAGTGTGTAAAATCGGCTTATCCTCTGCTGTATCACAGTAACTAACAACAGAGCTCCAGACCACATCTGGAAGCAACATCAGCACAAGCACTGAGCATCAGGACCTTCATGAAATGGATTTCTATGGCTGAGCAGCTGCACACAAACCTAAGATCACTATGCGCAATACCAAGCTTTATTGGCCAGGTATGCTACGCATACAAGGAATTTGGTTTTGCTTACAGGAGCTCACAGTGCAGAGTACCAGACAGACATTTACATGTAGTGAATAAAATAAAATAAATATAAAATATAACTAAATAAAATAAAATAAAATGAAACAAAACATTCCTACCATCACTCACTCAAACACACACACACACAGTCATATCTGTGGGGCCTAAAGAACGACATTTCCTTCCAATGTACAAGTTACATTGATGAATGACAATGACAACTTGATGAAATAAAAGAACTGGAAAAATTATCTTTCAATGCAGTGAGATAATTTAACCTTACAATGTGCAAAGTATGGGTCTAAAGTTAAAGTACTGAGTGCAGCAGCAGTTAAAGGGTGTATAGTGGCAGAGAAAGGGATCAGTAAGGTAACAGTCTGACCTAAACTGATCTTTAGTAAGCTTTATCAAAACTACCTCAATAAGTATCGATATCAAGCAGTATTGATATTGAAATATCTTTTATTTAGATAATCATTGTTATCATTTTAATTCAAGTAAATGTTTTCATTCCTATCAGCTGTTGTTTTCCATCCTCCTCAGGCTGTGAGAAATGGAACATGGTTTCCAGGGCAGATGTTCAGTCTCCCTTTCACCGTGGCAACAGACAACAGCTACAGTAACTACACCGTCACTGCCCGGAACAGTGGTCAGTACAACATCATGTTTCCCAGCTCTCTGACAACAGGGGGCGATGGTGTGGCTAACGGCGTCGTGGTGCTCAGCGCCCCAGATAACACTAAAGCCGGCACAGAAGACATTCTCACCATTGAGGTGACACAGCCGGAGACAAATGACACCAACTACGCTTTCCTGAGGCTCGCCGTGTCCAGGGCCGTGGTGCCCCCTGCTGGCCTGGCTCTCAGTCTGTGGCTCAGTGCAGTAACTCTCCTCATCAGTCTCGTAATCAATAAGTAGAAAGAAACGGAACCTGTGAATGTGGGTTTATATGTGGAGGTGCATTTTTACTAGGGGCAGTGATATAGTAAATAAGAGAGCAATTTCTAACTCACTTCTGGGTGATGGGTCAGGTGAGCGGTCAGTGTTTTTGTATGTTTGTGAGAATCATGTCATATAGAGAAGGAAAGTGGTCAGAGCACCCCCTACTGTTGGCTTTCAAAACATGAATCACATTGGAAGTGATCCACATTATAGGCTGTACAACATAATGTGCTGTGTCACACTATCCTGATCTTCTGGAAAGTGGAACTGTTTCCATTTCATCCCTGAAGCTGGAAAAGTTCTGGATTGAATTCTGTGAAAGATCACACAAAAGATGATATATTGGCAAATCATCTTAAATCTAGTTGATAAATTTAATATGTTTAATATGATGTAATCATATATGATACATATTCTTGTATATTGTTTTGCTATTTTGTCTAGTTAGGGTTAGATGTATTTGTCATGTACGTTTATTGTTCTGTTTTATGTATTTAGTGTATAGTCTGCACTCATTTCACACTGTTCTGTATCTGCACTCTGTAAAGTCCTATGTAACGTGCTGCTGTTGTGTGTTTCACGTTGGGGCCTAAAGAACGACATTTCCTTCCAATGTACAAGTTACATTGATGAATGACAAGGACCACTTGATGAAATAAAAGAACTAGAAAAATTTTCTTTCAGTGCAGTGAGATCATTTAAGTTGGTGTGTCATGTTGAAATAATCATATACGTCACTGAAAAAGACGGCGTCTGAAAGGCAGCATATGTTGCTCCAAAATGTGTTCAGTGTTAATGGTGCTTTCACAGATGTACAGGTTACCCACTAATACTCCCCACACACCATGATAGACACTGGATTTTAAACTTTACACCGGTAACAATCTCTATGGTCCTTTTCTTCTTTAGGCTGGAGAACACAACGTCCATTATTTCCATAAACAATCTAAAAGGGTGACTCATCAGACCACAGTACACGTTTCCACTGAGCATCAGTCCATTTCAGATGAGCCTGAGCCCAGAGAAGTCGGCGGTGTTTCTGGATGTTGTTGATGTGACTCCCACTGTGCAGCGATCGACAGTGTTTATTGATTACGGTTTGTCAAAGTATTCCTGAACGCATGTGGTGATATCATCATTGAAACAGTGCTGTCTGAGAGGTTGAAGGTCACAGGCATTTATTTGTGGTTTTTGGCCTTTTCCTTTACACACAGAGATTTCTCTGAATTCCCTGAATCTGTTGATGATATTATGCACTGTGGAGGGTAAAAAAAAAACATCATAAACATAACATAAAATTCTTGCAATCACTCACTGAAGACTCATAAAGGACTCTGCCTTTCCTGGATGCTCCTTTTATATCCAAGCATGATTACATCAACTCTCTGAAGATGTTTTCTGAATATTTAACAACATAGCAGTCCTGTCCAAATGTTTTTGGGACATGTTGCAGGCATCAGTTTCAGAATGAATGTATATTTATATAAAAAAAAGTTAAAAGTTGCTAAAATATATCAAATATCATGTGTTTTTTTTTTTTTCAATACAGAGTATAAAGTAGGTTTAGAAATCCTGGATCTCTGTAGCATTTTATCTACTGTCCCAACTTTTTTGGAAGTTGAAGCAGTGTACAGCTAAGGCCCATGTTCTTCAGTTTTCTTGTCTTTCATTTTCGCTGAGGTCTCCTTATGTTGTTGGTGTAACAAAAATGGTCATAAATCATTTTTAAATGACTGTTTCCAGCTTCTCTTTGAACAGGCTGCTTCTGTTACTGTGCCTGAAAAGACTGATATATGTAAATGAGCTTCGTTCTGATTGGCTGCTCTGTATTGGTGCGCAGTCGTCACCATATGTAGCAGAACATGATATCACCAGTAATGTGAGGCTACAAGCAGGAAAGAAGCTTTGGGTTCCCCTTCAAGTGATGTCGCACACACGTCCAGGTAAGTTCAAGTGCTGTCAGTCATTTATTAAGCATCGATCACCCAGTCAAGAAGATATTTACATATTTACAGCAGTGTTGGAGGTTTAAAAACAAAACTGGTTCTTAAGGTGACTCTTAGCTCCTCAGCTAATATCAGTAACTCGTGCTCACAGCCTAAACATCAGCCTGATGCACCTAAACATGCCTTGAGGCTACGAGGCCAAACAGACTGCACACTATGGCTCCCTTGAGCCGACTCCTTGACTACCTAAAGAACCCCATATGGTCTTGCTTTATACTCTAAGCCCCACCCTAATTGAGGCTGGAACATACCAATACAGATTACAGGGGTAACAACACACCAGTGGCTCACTATCAACCCATAATATATGCATATGCAATGTGAACAATATTTCCATGGTCAGTTCTTATTTCTGTACCAGTAAGTAAATTCACATTCCACTTTAATTAACTCTTTCTTTTCTCTCTACAGGTTCATTCTGGCTTTGCTCCCCCTCTGCGGGTTAACTGTGATGGAGGGGGGAGGCCCCTGTGGCACCATTTCAAAGGAATAAAGGTAAGCATACACGTACACTGATCAGCCATAACATAAAAAACCACCTCCTTGTTTCTACGCTCATTGTCCATTTTATCAGCTCCACTTACTATATAGGTGCACTTTGTAGTTCTACAGTTACAGACTGTAGTCCATCTGTTTCTCTGATACTTTGTTAGCCCCCTTTTACCCTGTTCTTCAGTGGTCAGGACCCCCATGGACCCTCACAGAGCAGGTACTGTTTGGGTGGTGGATCATTCTCAGCACTGCAGTAACACTGACGTGGTGGTGGTGTGTTAGTGTGTGTTGCGCTGGTCTGAGTGGATCAGACACAGCAGTGCTGCTGGAGGTTTTAAACACCTCAGTGTCGCTGCTGGACTGAGAATAGTCCACCAACCAAAAATATCCAGCCAACAGCGTCCTGTGGGCAGCGTCCTATGACCACTGGTGAAGGACTAGAGGATGACCAACACAAACTGTGCAGCAGCAGATGAGCTATCGTCTCTGACTTTACATCTACAAGGTGGACTGACAAGGTAGGAGTGTCTAATAGAGTGGACAGTGAGTGGACACAGTGTTTAAAAGCTCCAGCAGCACTGCTGTGTCTGATCCACTCGCATCAGCACAACACACACTAACACACCACCACCACGTCAGTATTACTCATCCACCACCCAAACAGTACCTGCTCTGTGAGGGTCCATGGGGGTCCTGACCACTGAAGAACAAGGTAAAAGGGGGCTAACAATGTATCAGAGAAACAGATGGACTACAGTCTGTAACTGTAGAACTACAAAGTGCACCTATACAGTAAGTGGAGCTGATAAAATGGACAATGAGCGTAGAAACAAGGAGGTGGTCAGAATGTTATGCCTGATTGGTGTATATTAAACTCTTCCAGTGTCTCTCTCCAGTGAGCTGTAATGTCTGAATCAGTCCAGGC